ATTAAACGTTTCTTTAATGAGCGCGCCGAGGGTTGCTTTGCCTCGGCTGGGGATGGTGAGTCCGTTGTTGGTGTCACTGATCGCGACGAGTTTGAAGAATCGATTCCAGTCTTTTTGCGGCGAGTCGGAGACGAGGCAATTGAGGAGCCCTAAATCATGCGTAAGTCTATTGTCAGGTCATAAGAATGCGAAGCCTACCGAATTGCTTCGTCTCCGTTGGTGGGGTGGCTCATCGCCTTGTGAATCCTCATCGTCTTCGCGACCTGACCAGGATTTGCGCTTTTTCGACCCCGTTTGCATTTCGTCTTCAGAGCCGTCGTCACTCGCGTCATCTCCATCATCGTCTACCTCCGGCATTTCCAGTAACGCGTAGTATGCTTCTCGTTCGTTGCGGAGCTCTTCCTCAATATCTCCGTCATCATACACGATAATTCCGCCATTCTTCGACGTGTAGGCGGAAGTGATACACCCTTTGTCAACCCCGCGTCCTCGCCATCGCGCATTAGTATTGATCTCAGACAAAGGTTGTCCCATCCCGGCTTGTCCACCAAAGACGTTCCCTAAGTTCCACGGCCGTCGCGCGTCGAACACCCAGATCTCCACGCCTCCCATATCTTCCACCTCGTCCTCAGGATTGCTCAGGGCCAGTATTTCGCTCAGGTCCACCAGACCCCCTACTCCGAGACAGATGACAACTCCTCCGCTACCACCATTGGTGGTCTGCATCGGGCGGACCAGCTCCTCCCCCGCACGCGACAGGTCGCCATATCCTGCGACTGGTTGGATTTTATGAGGGATATAGTCGCGTTTTAACAAGGCTGTAAGAATTCGACAGGCACATAGCGCGTCTGGCTCTAATGCCACAAGAATTAAGACGGGTGGTGAAAGTGGGTGGTGAGATCGGAGGAGTTGTAGGTAGAGGTGTGAGATGAGCTGCCGAGGGAGATACATGGCCAGCTTGGGATTGTCATATGCTCATGCGACAGCTCATGAAGAAGAAGGGCTCGTAAGAATAAACTCAGAAATGTGAGGTGGTTATTTGGGGTGAAGCCCTTGCAGCAAAGAGTGTCCCATAGCGCCGGGGAAGTGGACAAGCGCGACGCGTCGGAGGCACGTGCCGGGATTCCATACCTCATCACCTCGACGATATTTGCCCTTTAATTACTTGAAAACTTGGATATTTAATTATTTGAATGTCTTACTCCTTGGCTCCTTGAATTAAACATAGGTATAGATTACCAAAGAAATATTGTTGGTTCGTTTCATTGCCCAATGCAAATTGGGTGCTTTACGCGAACTCTTTCATCTACACTCTGAATTAAGTCTTACGCGCAAATCTTTTATTTGAATCCCATTTTCTACCCACCACACAATCTTCTCAAAAGCAACTCAAGTTGTTCCAAGAGTCTCAACTGATACAGCCCCTTTGACGATATCATTGATTTGCTGGGTGAGCTCAGGTTCCGAGCTAATAGCACCGTCACTCTTCTGCATTCGAATGCTAGTAAATCCACCGAAGATATCTGAACTATCAGATAGATGGCTTCTCTCTTGTCTAGGGATAACTGTCGCATTGTGTATCTCATGGGAGCAACCAGCTGTCTATCGACATGCCAGAGAAGACTTATCTCTATGGGTATATAACAAAAAGCGAAGCTGTGGATTATCAAAACCAACCTTCTACGTATTCCTGCATTTGGGTGATGTTCAACGACCTTTGGAATCAGCATCTGAAATCGTTTCAGCTAATACGCAGTGCTGCGGTCGGATTTAAACAACATCTCTGCCTAAAGTGGGCATCTATAGCAAACGTTACAACACCTTGGTTACATCTACAGTATGATGGTTACTTTAGTCACATATCTCAATAGTGATAGTTTCCCATAGAGCATTTCGATTAGAGGATATCTTTCAAATTCAATAATCACACAGGTAACGCCTTGCGCCATGAACACGCTATATTCTCCAAAACAATTCCCGTGAAGACAATGGCCATGCATCCATAAGTCCAGGAAGAACTCAAGATTGCAGTCAAAGCCAAAAGCATTCGCTGCCTTGTTGCACAATTTAAACAGACGAGCGGCCCAAAATCGACCCAGCCATCCAGATCGCAGTGCATGCACCAACGACAGAGATTCCAACTAACCGCTTGCCCCAGTTGCCATCTTCGGCCATTTTGGTCGGCCCAACAGTGCTCTTCAGCTTTAGGTGCACAGGTGATGAATGCAGGTCTTCAGTGGCATTTCCAGCAGAATCACCAAGTATGGCTGAATATTCCTCGTCACGCTTTTGCCACTTCTCTACAAGTCGCGCAATTTCAGCCAGATCTTCCTTGAGAGACCCAGGCTCGGTGGCATTGGCATTCTCAACTTCCACATTCTGGACATTGCCGAAGAAATCAACCACAGTCCGCAGGCGGCCTTCTTGCTCGCCTCCAGGGAACAGATCCCACCGGACACCCGGCTGGGAGTGGATCTTCGACTCATCGTAGGAATCGAACAAGTCTCCCAGGTTGAGTTTAGATGTCACACTTGTGACTTGTGTCTCGAGGAATTCGAGGACATAGTATGTCCAGCGATCAATGACAGCAACGCCGACGTCGTTGTCCGCATGGTGGGAATAGGAAGACTGGTCGATCTCACTGGAGCCTGTCGCCACGATGTTAGGCGAGTAGAAATGCGTGTACATCGTATTGGCCTGGCAAGTGTCGATCATGAACAATAACTCATGGTAGCGCTTCTTCTCCCACATCTGTCCAAACGCGTCCGCAAGATCCCATGCGCCGATCTCTTCGGCGTCCTGGAACTTTAGAAATTGGTCGCCTCCATGACCAGTCATGTATACTAGTACATTGCTGCCGGCGTCGGATCCCAGGCGCTTGCTGCGCGGTACGTCTTCGTCGAGACGGTCGGTCAGGAGTCGGATAAAGTTCTCCACGGTCACTTCGTACCCCCTGTAATCCACTTCGATGTTATCGCCGTATAGATCGACGGCACGGTCTGCATTACTGTAAACGGTGCCCGGGAAAGCATTTCGGGGGTTGCAAGCCATATCATCGGGGAGCATGAGGATAATCTGTGAATCGGGAATCCCGAGCCGTTTGACGGTTCGGTATAGCGAGAGGACATTGGCGAGGTGACGGTAGTTGAACCAGAAGCGAGATGTAGATACTAGGACTGCCCAATTAGAGGTGTGTTCAGCGACAACTGCACTGGCAAAGAGCAGTAAGGCGAATGCCTGTAGAAAGCGGAAGAGCAAGGTCATTGTAACGATCAGTTCTTAGTAGGCAAGAGCAATGCTTGTATCGCTAGCCGGTAGATGTGAAATCGGCAGTGACAAGGCATAAACCAAATCAAACCCGGTAGATCTTGATTATAAGAACCGTAACAGGGCCATAGCACAAATGGCCGGAAGAAGACAGACAACTTCGAGAAGTTGCTCAGGTGAGATAGGAGATTACAAATGCCGGGGAATTATGTTGCCACCTTCCTGAGGCATCCAGACTAATGCACGGGCCAGGCATAGAGTCACCGCCTTCATCGGAGTCGGCATATTGGTCCCGCGGATCAGATCATGTAGTAGAAACTCGATTCCATCTTTTTCTTTTCACATTCATACCTCAAATTCTGTCCAGCGTTCAGTTTGGATAATATAATTCACCATGGGAGGCAAGAAAGCAGCAGGCGAGAACACTAAGAAGGCCGCCGGAAACGCTCGTGTATGTTTTCATTGAACCCCGCCCCCGCTATTATTGCCACATCCCTCAAGCATGAGACCATTTGGATAGAGACTGACAGTGCCGTACAGAAAGCGGAAGCCGCAGCGTCAAAGAAGGCAGCTGAGGATCAGAAGAAGTCTGCAGAGGAGGAGAAGGAATGGAAGAAGGGATCCAAGAACAACGCTAAGAAGTATGCGAACTCTATCTCTCGGTGAACATGCTCTCAAGGACCGAGCTAACCGCCTTCGATCTGTAGGGAAGATTCCGAAGCCAAGAAAGCCGAAGCTGCTCGCAAGAAGGCAGAGCGTGCTGCCCTACTCGCCGAAGAAGAAGCCTCCCAACCAGCCAAAGCTAAAGGCGCGAACGCCAAGACTGCGCAAAAGAAGACTCGCGGCCTCGATCTTTCACAGTTGGATGATGCTCCTGCAGGCAGCAGGAAGGAGTCTGCTCTCAGCGCCACTGGTATTGACAACGCTCTAGACGCTCTGTCTCTGGCCTCAAAGGATACATCTAAGATCGACCGACACCCCGAGCGCCGATTCAAGGCCGCATACGCCGCATTCGAGGAAAGGCGCTTGCCAGAGATCGAGCAGGAAAACCCCGGCCTGCGTCGGAATCAGCGTATGGATCTCTGCCGGAAGGAATTCGAGAAGAGCGAGGAGAACCCATTCAACCAGGTGCATGCGGCTGTCAATGCTACCAAGGAAGAGGTTGCTGCGCTTCGGGAAAGCGAGCGCAAGAAGGTCGAGAGCAGACTTGGCAGCAAGTAAATTGGTCTTTGGATGGATCAGAAGCATTCAAGGCATGGATTATTGAGAAGTTGTGGCCAATGTGCCAGTTCTGTCACATTGACTGTAGGTCCCAAGTCTCCATGCTCTCAAATACCCAACATGGATGGTTTTAAGATTGTGAGCCTCTTATCTTGGTTCGGAGTCATTTTGCACGGTTTGGGAATACCAGCCGTTTTCGAGTCATTGGGTCGCTGCATAGTTCAATCAAAAGGCTAAAAAGTATCAAGCCCGTGAAATAGACAGCTCGCATTTGTTGTTATATCGCACTATGCATTGTGTCTTGAGCCTTTCTGGCATAAAAAACTTACGAAATACAATGATCAATCCTTTTCAAGTTCTGCAGTCTGTCCCGACAGCAGATTGCCTGGCAAGTCGGTGTTTTAACTAAATATATCCAGTAAGCTCCTTTACAGTATAGCTCCGTTACGCCTGGGGGAAAATGATAAGGCTCTGGACCCTGCCAAGGCCATATGGAATGGGTTTCAAATATCCTATGACATCGTGGCTCGCACATCCCACACATATAGACTCTCATCCCAGCCAACACTAGCACACCAGCCCTCACTACCAAACAGGCACCAATCTACACCTGTTACAAACTCGGTATGCCTGCCCATGCGCCCTAATTCCGCGCCAACCACTGGACCAGCGCGCATCATATCCATATCCCCGCCGGGGCCTGCGTCTGACCGGTCACTCCACACTCGACAAGTCATATCGTAGCTAGCACTCAGAAGAACATTAGAGAGATGTGGCGACCAGGCCACTTTCCGCACGGCATATTCATGCCCGAGCATAGTGGTCAGCGGCCCTTGTTGCGGGGCTCTGATGTCAAACGTCCGAATAGCACGGTCAACACCCGCCGTGGCTAAAACAGTTGGACGGTACTTGTTCCAGTCGTGGGTGAGGGCCTCCGCGGGCGGGGCAGGGCCGCCCGGCTGGCCGGGAATCGCAGGCGCGGGGGGGACCGGCGTGGATGGGGATCTGAGTGACGAGGTGGTTGGAGGCGGAGGCTGGGGTGCGGAGATCAAAAACGCGCACATATGAGTCTGATGTCACGCAAGAAATGATATCTGGGCTGTGTGGACAGAATGATGCGGAGTATGTGCAGCTGTGTGTTGGGAGGGTGAGGAGGGACTGTGGGCGATGTGGCGACCAGATGCGGACTGTGCCGTCCCAGCTACTTGAGCAGAAGCGGTCTTTTGCGACTGGGTTCCAGCTTACGCTGAAGACTTCCCGTGCGTGCTCTTTCCAGTTTGAGATTGGGAAGTCGTTCGCTGTGCAGTCGAATAGCTTGATGCTGCCGTCGCCTGAAGCGGCGAGGACTTGGTTCTCGTGGAGTTCGGACCATGCGAGATCATATAATGAGTCTTGTGTTGTGAACCTGGAAATGAGAATAACGCGAGATGGTTAGGTTTATGTTCTTAGTTTCCGACTTCATCGCGCACTCCGCCGCGGGGTCTGCGATTATCCCACTTACCATTTTAAGGGTTGGATTCCATTTGCTGTCAACTCCAGGATATGAAGACGGCCATTGCCAACTAGTCCAAAATTTGAGGAACTTGCAACCGCTAGCCGATTGTCGAAGAATGGAGAGTATTTGACAGCGCAACCGTTAAATCCTTGTGTGCGGTAATGGAGCATTATGGGCAAATGTTCGGCGCCGACCGCTCGAGGGGGAAGGGGGGCAAGAAGGAGAAGGAGACGGAGAGAAGGAGAGATCTTCAAGAAGCTAGAGTATCAAAAGGACGTCAATGGTCACGACGAGGTCAAGTTTAGATTCGGCGTATGATCTCGGGATTGCGGGGATCAAATGAGCCGAGGTCCTTCCTTGGCTTTCAGGCACGGCCTCATACTTTCACATTCGCTTTTGATGGTTTGTTACCTACATCTGCATTCAATGAGATGTTGATACTCGCGGGTGCCAATTAGATGCTCTCATCCCCTGATAATTTCTGTACACCTACCTATTAGGTGCTCCTGTACCATAACACCTAGTTTTATATAGTGCGCGTTTGTTGACCTTCCTAATATATAGTAGAACCAATGTATAATCGCAAAAACTATATGTAGACTCAGGTTGGGAGTATGGGCGGCTTTTAGGTGATTATCGATTTTCTGTATAGAATAGGTATCCTTGCAAAATGCTGTAGTACTCCGTACAGGTGTCAGCGTGGGTTAGGACGAGATTTATCTAGTCAAATATATATCACCGCCGATATTACCATCAACTCGAATCAATAGCTAGCTAACCGACCAGATTTCATTGAATTTTCGGGGGTAACATCCCTGACCAGTGCAAGCAATACTTCTGGCAGGGAGCGCGTCAGAAAATCCAAAGCAGAACAGATATAGCTCTTGAAATATCAGTCCTCCTACCCATGAGTTTTTATCAAATTGTGGGGAAGGATTACCTAGGTAGTTAAAAATCAATTGGATTATAATCTTCAAAACTCTGTGATATTCCATCAAATAGGTGCCATGGTCTAGTGGTATGACGAATCATTGTGGTATTGTACAAATGTGCACTTCGGTTCTGATTTAGCCCCGGTTCGATTCCGGGTGGCGCCATTTCTTTTTTACATCTTACATTTCCTGTCTAAGTAAATGTCGATTTCTTACTCTTTTTGTCCATTGGTTTTATGGTTTTCAGCTATTCACTCTCATCCATCAACACATAATTCATGGTACTAATTTCCAATTTTCCTTGTATTCATTCACTAAATTTCTACCCAAGATTTAGCACGAATAAGACATGGCTGCTTTCATAGGTAGTAGATCAATGTATGAGGTGAAGTAAATGATGTTCGTGATCATTGACGTCAACGAGCTACATCCGATCTATAGCTGCATCCAGCCCTAATTGCAACAGTAGTAAGGAACCATTCTAGACCCTCAAATTTCCATTCAATGGTATAGACCTGAGCCAATCATGTCAATCAATTCCAAGGTGAGCCACGCCGATATCATTTTGCCTCAGTCCCTGCAAAATATGGGAATGACGCCATGGTTGGCCTCTTTGGAAATTTGTTCAAGTCTGCTGGAGTTAATCCCAAGTGAAGAATATTCCCCTTAACCCACAAATCGATCGCCATGATAAGCTCAAGACAATTCCAAGTCGCACCCACACAGGAACGCGACAACCAAATGTCAGTACCTCAGCACCATACATCCCCGGCCAGTGTATTCCTCAAAGAAGAAGTCTACCGACTCGGAGCATTACCAGGTGTGAGATCTCTACCTCCAGGCCCAGAGCGCGACTTTCTCACTCTATCATGGGGGCCTATCATCTACCGCACCTCATACGCCCCCGAAACCAAACGCCTGCTCCCCGTATTCCTGCGCTACCTCAACAATTCTGTGCACCGGGCGTTACGCCGGACGTTTACAGGCTCCGACGAAGAAATAGAGACTCTGACAACGACATATTCCTCTAAGGTGTTCAGCTCGCCAGAGATCTACGCCAAATTGAACGAAGAATCGATCCGACAGGCTTTCCATGATTTCAAGGTGTCGCTCGGACTGCCTGAAACAGAGCTCCCGAGCAGGCTGCGAATATGCCTGATGCTAGATGATGAGGCATTGGCACATCTGAAATGTGTCTTGGATCTTTCCTCGATGGCCGAGGAGAATGCAGATGTGGGTGGATGCTGGGTGAAGGTCGTTGAGGAGAATTTCCCGGATTCAAGGATGGGTGATCACCCGCTTGCGAAACATGATATGGAATGTGCACCTGATTGTGTGGAAGAACATCGTGGGAGATATCATGGGTGGACTAGGGTGGCACTTGATGCATTGGTAGAGGTTTTTGATGGACTTCGGCAAATGAAATGGTTGGTTGATTATCATCGGGAGGGAAATGTATACTTAGGGGATGGCAAATGGAGGAGTATATCAAGCTAACCTCGTAGGTTGCTTTTGTTCGATGAGCTTTATGGAGATATCAAGGAAGATTATATATAGGGAAATACGGCTATTCTTGCGATATAGCGAGAAGGATTACGCTATAATGAGAAGGAACTGCACTTAGAAACATTTCCCCGGTGAACACACAAATAGGATAGGTTTGTATATTAAATTCCACTCAAATGCTCCCTACGCCTTCTGTACTTCGTCACGACGAGGGACACTGGTTAGTCCGATGAAGAGGACTATAGACGTTATATACTGATTTTGACAAATCTCCCACAATTTTGCCTAGGAGGAAAACATACACGCATAGGTGATATTTAAATATCTAACTAGCTTATCTAGATAGGTAAAAGAAGATATTGATAGTCGTCGTTTCTATTACCTGTGCAAACCGAATTGCTAGTGACTATATTAACAGTATGGTAGCTGGGGTTTCGCACGCTCTCCTTCACTAAAGTATTAATGACGCCTTCATCGAAGCATTGATCCCTACTAGATCGTAGGGAACTAACTAACATAAATATTTCCTATATCAAGATCTTTTTTCCTAAAAGGCGAATATATCGCTAATAGTCGCGATGGAGGAAGGGTGGGTAACCAGCCTTTCTTAAGGTCTTACTGTGGCTGGCGCCTTATAAGACGATTGAATCCACGCTCTATGCTATCTTCTAGCTATGTATATTGTTAATTACGGACAGAGCCGTAAGGGATCAAGCCAGACTAACATTAGTGTTATACTTAAAAATCAACTATACGGCCAGTGTCAACAGCGTAGTAACCATAGCGAGAGGAATATACAACTAGCAAGATAGGTTAGACGCCAAGATATCGATATTTATACCAAAGAGACTCTGTATTTATGTTAGGCATATGTTTTGTACGGCGAAACACAAACTGGGCGCTATACCGCGATGAACATTAGTGGGAGAAAAACAAACTGGTAACATAAATAGTCAGCAACTAATGTAGTAGAAACAGACAGATAGCTTTAACCTACCGTAATCCAACTCAAGCGCTTTATGCTAATTTGTTTTTGTTTTGAAAGTGAGTTACTATGCTAGATATATACATATTCAAATCTTTGAATTTCAACCATATAAAATTTTTGTTTGTTTTGTTTGCACTATATTGGGGCCCCAATGGGTTACCCAATGGGTTTTGGGTTATAACTAATAACCTAAAACCCATCGTTGGGTCGAAGCAATGGACCCAAAACCAGCTTTGGGTTGGGTTGGGTTGGGTTGGGTCCGGGTTAGAATGGGTTGTGCCGTAGTCTAATAGTGTCTCGCTATTGCTGGCCGTTAGTACCATTATTGGTGACAACACCCTCAAGGGGAGAGCCAATGAAGTGCATGAGTCGCCTCTTGGTAGGCTGGTAGTTCCTCATAGATTTGCGCTCCATGGTAAAAATTAGGGATGTTCAAGGAGTATGGAATTGAAGCATTCAACATTGGAGGATATAGTTCGGGAAATGAGGGTATTAGTCTAATGCAGCAGTAGGAGGAAGGTCATTATATACATATATATATTCAATCTTATAATCAGAAGGCAACCACAGGTGTCTCTTGTAGTTTCGATTTTAGAAGCCAAAGCTAAAATAAATGCCTTGAGTTAATACAAACTAGTATTTATGTATATAATTAGGTTTATAGTCCGATACTATACCTGGCGATGACGTTACGGCTCTTGATACCACCTAACTATTGTTGCTTCTTGTTGGATTAGATCACTGTTTATTGAGGGCTATCTTAATTCGCCCACTTGGCGTATCCACAGGCATATAGCATCATGTCCATCAGTATAATGTAAAAAGTTTTACGTAGAAAAGTCGTTGTCACAAATTAAGCCTTTTTCCACTTGTTTCTGTCATCTACTTCTAAAATTGAAAAAATATCCAAAAGACACATTTACGGAGATGCCGAGACCATTTTAAAGGATGTCTAAAACCACTACTGTGGGCCTAACTGGATTATATCGTTCTCAAGGACAGAGGCGGCAGACGCTAACTATTCTTCTTTGATATGTATATAGACCCCGGGTTCAGTTTATGCACTATTAACGGATGTTCACTTTAGGTTGTAGGCACATTTGTAAATGTATCTTTGCGATCTGACTGCCAAGGGAGCATAGAGAGAGGAGAGAAGAAGGATTGATTCTCTACAAACAAACAAACAAACAGAAGGTAGCTGAATAGCTAGGTACATCTTGGCAAACAAGGAACCAAGGCAGGTGACTGTCTTTAAAATTGCAATCCCAAAAGATATACATAGTCCCGACCATAGCCGGCCCCAACATATATGTGTACTCAACACAAGAACAGGTCTCCAATTCTACTGTCACCTCAACATTCTCTTAGTGGCCGTGGTGGTGGCCGTGGTGGTGGCTGTGTACGTGATGGCCTTCTCCGCGTTTCGTACGGGGCTATAAAAAAAAAAAGAAAGAACCTCATTGTTAGCGGCAGCTCTGAACGGAGTTAAATTGAAGAGAGGGAAGCGAACCAAACCATTTTGACTCGTTGCTATACGAGCGCTGCTTACAGCAGCGCTAGGTGACACGATAGGGGTATCAACGGCCAGCTGAGTCTTGTTGACGGTGGTTGGATCACAACCCCCAAAGGTGAAGCCGGCGTTTGGGTCAATGGTCAGCGCCGCCTTGGGGTGAAGATCACACTGTTTGGAATGCTCGACAAAGACCCAAGCTTCACACTTCTCCACTTGACCACACCAGTTCAAACAATCGGTGGCCGTGTTCAGATTATAGCTGAAGGTGATTGGGGCACTATTAAACAGAGGGATTGTCTCATTGTGGACGGATGTCCAACATTCGGACGAAGCTTGAACTCCTGTTATGGCCAAGGCAGTAGTTAAGAAGATTGATAAGTGGATAAAAGTCATTGTATCATTGTAAAAGACGGAATATGTGACCAGGTCATCTAGGGATGGTGTTAAGTACATATAAAATGGGGAAAAAAAGGAATTTTATTCTTTGAATCCTCCTCACAACTACACTTGACCGTTTGAGCATATGGCCAGACTGCGAATTTCTGCGTATCTCTAGACTCCAAATGTAACCTCGTCGGGTTCATTGTTTCGTACCCCACTGCTCCCAACCGGTTGCCTCATGCCGGTATAATACAATATAGAAACACTGATGGTGTTTCATGACCGCCACTGTAAGAAAGCTAACCCTGATTTCTTTTGACACAGCAGTAAGAGCCGAGGGAAGGCCCGCAAGGCCCCAGCGACCTAGCGACGAAAAAATGTAGGGTGGATATACATCTCGGGGACCCTTGCCAATCCCTAGCCCTTGCGATGATGAAGTGGACCAGAGGATCCAACGCAAAACTTACAGCGTAGTGGGTACTCCGCACAATAGAGGTACTATAAAATAAGAGCGTAAGGACACTGGCAACCGTTGAGACGGCGTATACCGTATTCCTTTCTCGCTCATTCGGAACGGCCGTGTAATCCACGAGGTTGCCTTTTTAAAAACTCCTTTCTAATTTGATTCCATGGACACTTCAAGTGGGCCCAATGCTAGCGGTTGTAATTTCACATCCAACTATTAGACGCGAGGAATAATGCGGGTCGAATCAGAACCTAAACCCCAAGTGATCGCCAAGCCCTGCATACTAGCAGTAGTTAATATATAGTATGGAGTATGGAGTACAAAAGAAAAGCTTAGGGCCCAGGTACCAGTGATGTGAAACATCTCCGACATTAAATAGATTTAGGACCAAAAAGTTGGAGGGGCAACGGCTGACGGTGGTGCAACCCTGAGGCGCAAGTCTAGTCCAGATTGGGGATCAAATGAAAAAGAAATTTCCTCTTTCAATCGTACTTTGGTGAAGCTCATTCAAAAAATCAACTTATATTCATTAGTAGGTCTTGGCGGTCAATCATCTCCGGTGGTGCCGGCTGGTCGTTTATCATAACCAGACCCGCCATCGGACCGATTGCGGGTCAGATAGAGGAGATGTACCATCTACATAGCAATCTCCGGAGATATGGCTTTCTCTCTGTCCATAAAAAATAGATTGTTACATAACAGATATGCCTTGGTTGCAATTAGTGTGGTTATTCCCCTCAACATGAAATGCCGCAATCTTGCTCGTGATGACAAGTTCGTTCAGGAGCGCGTTTAGGGTTACGGAGTACTTGCTCCATACAGCATACTTCGATACAGCCCTTGGTTTCAACGAACGGGGAGGTATCATGTTTTATGTAGTTTAGATCCTCAGATGTGAGCTTCTCGCGTACTATGTTCTACTTGTTGCCCTTGATGAATGGCTGAGTACTTCCGATGTCGAAATACATCTCTGATCACTTCAGAGCTCATTATATATCAACCGCTATCACTGATGATATGATCGGGTCTTGCCTAACTAGCCAAAAGTCAATAATGAGATTAATCACTGAATATACAACGACTACAGTCGAAAACAGTCCACATTCAGTAGAGAGAACTAGAAAACATCTTTTCTCTAGATACATCCTAATAAAACATGAGTAATATACACATTGTCTGGTTTGAGCTGGATTGGATTGGTTGCCGTCACTGCTGGAAGGCAATCTCAACGGAATTCCATACCAAAGATGGAACACCTGTGGACAGCTTCATGGCTACGATGAATGCGCAAACGTACGCCTACTTTGCTGTGGCATACTGGTATTCTCTGCAGGAATGGGGTGGTAAAAAACGGGTCTCATTCTTTGATGGAGCGCCTGAATCAGCCGAAGAGTTGGGATAGACGGAGGTTCAAAAGTGGCTTGTGACTTGTGCGCAAGAGATTAAATAGGCAAGCAACTCCGCTAGGATAGTTTGGATTGGTATCAGTCGGGACGCCGTCGACTGTCCCTTGTAAATCTCTTTATAGCTTTCAAATTTGCTATCATTTGTTTCCTCCGTTCCACGGGATCAAGCGGAACCCTTGGCTGGTGGCCTGACTGTTGCATCCATTTCACAATCTCCTCCTGTCCTTTATTGATAGCTAGTAAAAACGGTGTATTGCCCATGTGGCAGGGGCAATGAGGGTTGCATCCTTTTTCCAAGAGCAGCTTGGCAATATTTGTGTGACCATGCACAACCGCAAACCAAAGAGCTGTAGCTTCGCCGTCGCATTTAGCATCACCTTTGACGGATTCCTGTTCGATGAGAATCCTGGCTACAGCCTCGTGGCCATGAATCACAGCTAGCATCAATGGTGTTGTGCCCCATCGTGCTCTCGATTCGAGCTGAATCCCTGGCACGTTGATCAAAACCTCCATCACCTCAGCCTGTCCATGCGCTGCTGCGTATGCCAGCGGCGTCCAGCCACGCGAATCCTTCGACTCGATATTCACCCGGTTTGTAGCAAGAAGAATCTTCAGAACGTCAACGTGACCATTCATGGCAGCATATGATAATGGAGTCTGTCCCTGGAGCCTTGGGGGGCGAATTCGGGCACGGCCCAACACATCAGGGTCGATCCCTGGTTGATCAAGAAGTAATTTCACTAGTTCTTTGTTGCCATCTCTGGCTGGTGCACTGAGCGGGATTTCCGAATATTTGTTCTGCTGATTGACATCCACTCCGGCATTTAGTAGGAATCGAGCCATGCTTAGATTTCCTGCGTTTGTGGCTAGGTGGAGAGAAGTGTCGCCCTTGCGGTTCGTTGCTGAGGGTTTGGCTCCATTGGCGAGCGCTTGTCGGGCGGTTGACTCATAGCCTTTGTTTGCTGCCCATAGCAAGGCTGAGGCATTGGATCTCATTGCATTGCGAGCGTAAAGGTAGTCGATTAAGATATCGAAAAATTGGCGATTCAGCTGAGCGAACACCGAAACATCTTTTTCGCTCAAAAGCTCCGCAATGGCTTGTACCAATTCTGTCGGAAGATTCGATAAGCCCATCGGATTTGAATGATTTCACGCCTGACCATGAGAGTTGTGAGAGGGAAGGAACGTCCAGTATGAAAGACGGTGATCAGATGGAAAGCATTCACACTGTGCTTAGTAAGTTCTTCATGGAAGAGTAACAGATCATAGGTCAGTAGGGTCCTACTGAGAGTTCAGTGGGATGCGTAGGCCTGTGCTCAGTACCATTCTCCTTGATTCCGCCTAAATACTATGTTTTGGTTTTAAATCCTTGGGAATTTATATTATGTCAGTATGTTTTGGTATAACGTATTTCACAAGCGAGTGGGGTAGTTAAGTACTGAAAAGATAGTTATCCAGCACCTAATTTGAGCCTTTTCAGAGCCGATGCCCAATTTGTCTACGGAGTATGGAAGCAAATTTCCGACCAAACGCGCCTCTTCCTCTGGTTGATATCAACGACTGACTTGCGATATCATTTAAGCCTTTTTCGATCCCTTTTCATTGTGTTTTGGGACAACCTTTTCAGTCTTCTTAGGGCCATGACGCTTGTATTCGGCTTCATTTGGCTGAATAAGCCGCATCCATTTCCAAGGTTAGAAATTATACTTAAGGTATAGGTGATGCATATCATATTTCTAGCCATTGAGAAAACAGCCCTGGAGGTGAGATATAATGGCCCATGGGTAGGTATATACTTACCTAGTCTCATTCCAGCGCATCTATGAAATCATGATCTGATTGGTCACTTTGACGGCAATCATGTGCTGATAGGCATTTTATCGTCCACTGATCCACATGGCTAATCAATCATCTGAGGCATCCATTCACCACTTTTTAGAGCTTTAGAAGATCGAGGCTTGGAACATGGATGCCTTCATATCGAGGAAACGTCCACGGCTCTCGGATCCGAGTGAAGAGCCTAAGGATGAGTCATCTGATCCCCACGAAGACAGCACTGATACCAAGCTAGCAATACTGCTATCTCTCTTCCCGGCCATCAAACAGGATGAGCTATTGGATATACTCGTGTCCTGTGAAGGGTCCGTGGAGGATGTGTCCAAACTTCTTTCTACAGAAGATTTTACAGCAGGCACATCTGTGAACAAAAAACGAACTACTGTTACCTCATCATTCGGCGTGCAGACATCTCTCTCATCACATGTTCTTACAACAGCCGAAGATGGAAGCATGAAGCCCATGCATGAAAATACAAGGAAGAGAAACCTTCTGACTCCAAAGAAGGGGAAAACGCTACACCTTTACTCGCCTGAGGACATTGCCACATACACACCTTGCACTATCATCCACAACTTTCTACCAGCTAAAGAAGCAGATACGCTTCTGCTCGAATTACTTGATGAATCGAAGTACTTTTCTCGGTACGACTTTCAACTCTTCAACCGGACTGTCCAAAGCCCCCACACACATGCCGTGTATGTCTCTACACCCGAAGAACACCGACAACAGACCTTAGAATACACTTACGGTGGCACATATCGGTCAAATGTGCGCCAGGCAACACCGAAACTACGGTCTGTGTCATCTAAAGTACAGAAAATTGTCAATAACGAGATCAACAAACGAATTCGAGACGTCTACCCCGACGGAAAGAAGTTACGGTACCAGTCCCCAAAGAGTGGCGGCCCAATGCAGCATTTGTCAACTGCTACGACGGGCCAAGTGAAAGTGTGGGATATCACTCCGACGAACTCACCTTTCTCGGACCCCACCCGGTGATAGGAAGCCTGAGCTTGGGCGTGGCACGCGAATTCCGAATCCGTCGGATAGTACCTCGAGATGACGATGAGACTGCGGAAGAGGATCACAAAATCAATAAGACTAGTCCAGCTTCTAGTTCTGCACAGAATCAGACTAAATCGCCTGCACGCGCTGACGCCCAAGGCCAAATCTCAATCTACCTTCCACACAATTCTCTCCTTATCATGCACGCAGAGATGCAAGAGGAGTGGAAACACTCCATCACTCCAGCTCAAACCATTTCCCCACATCCGATCTCCGGGAATAGACGTATCAACATCACATATCGTTGGTATCGTGATACTCTACGTCCACGTTACACGCCACGTTGTAAGTGTGGCGAACACACGATTCTCCGGTGTGCACAACGCAAACATGAAACACGAGGGAGATATATGTGGATGTGCTATGCAGGACTCGCACCAGGAAGGGAAGGATGTTCTTTCTTCCAATGGGCCGAGTTCGATGATGATGGGGATCCGCTGTGGGGACAGAGAGCCCGGGACGAGGCCCCTATTTTGACGAATTTCTCGGCATCTCAATAATAGACCCTAAATCTCATGTATGGTAGTTCAAGGTGCGGAACCATCCCGTTTTTCGACCTCGGATGTACAAAACGAGGTACACGAAGCTGACTGAAGATGGACGCATGTGCTGAATAAGGTTTAGAGACTGTATAGTATACGGAGTACATCTATAGGAACTACTATCAGGCTGACCAGTTGGTGTATGACAATTCAAAGGGGATACAAGCGGTGGAACCTATAATTCAAAAAGACCCAAGGCGCCAATGTTCGCTCCGAAGTATATTGTACCGTCTCAGGCGGAAAGTGGACTCACATTCCGCGAACTCCACACTTTGGGGCCGTTAGTTGTCTTGACATCCATTTGGACCAATTACGTGCCAGCGACTGCTAGCATTTCACCGGACCATGCCTCTAATGTATGTGAATGGGCCTATTTCCAACCAATGTGTACAGAACAGGTAAGATTGCCCCAACTTCTCCCTAAACATGAAGGATCGCGGAATCGGCTCCGCTCCACTCCGCTATTTCAAAAGTACGGCGTAAAAAGCTGGCGAGCTCGAAGCTTACACCGTTCGCTGTTGCTTTTTCATTTTCTATTCCTATGCAATCTTGATCTGGAGTCTATACCATGGCTTCTGTTGAGGATACTTATGACTATATTGTCTGCGGGTAAGATACCTATCAAGAGAACCTTAGAGTCTTGCTGACTATTGAAATAGAGGAGGAACCTCTGGCTGTGTGGTTGCTGGTCGTCTAGCCGAGAACCCCGAGGTCAAAATCTTGCTGCTGGAGGCTGGGCAGCATAATAAAGACCTGGAAAATGTTCATATGACTGGCGGGTGAGCTACAAAAGCCTAGTTAGTGCATTCACTGTTACTGACAGATCAGGTGGTCAAACGTCTTCGATGCCGACACCGACTGGAATTTCGTCACTCCTCCGATGGCGGGGGTTGACAACCGCCAAGTGAAACTGAGTCGGGGCCGATTCCTTGGAGGATCCAGCGGGTGCAATGGCACGCTTTGCATCCGTGGCAGTAAGCAGGACTATGATGATTGGGGACTAGATGGGTGGAGCGGAGAGGAGTTTTTCAAGTATATGAGAAAGGTGGGTGATATTTCACCCCGGTATTGATGCCAATATCTGAGTAGGCACTTACAACATGAGCAGTCGGAGACCTTCCACCCAAAGGCATGGTTTAAGGCCGATAAAGAGAGTCATGGATACTCCGGGCCCCTTCACACAGAGCCCCATGATCTGGCGCCCATCTCCCAGCTCCTGCTCGAATCCTATGCCTCGCAAGGTATGCCCTTGAACCATGACATGTTCAGCACTGGCGATATTGCGCAAGGATGTGGCCATGTGCCCCGAACAGTGTACCAGGGCATACGGACAACAGGCGCTGATTTCGTCACCAACAAGAACCACCGTGGGAACATCACAATCAAGACCGATACTACTGTCGATAAAATTATCTTCAGCAAGCAAGCGAACGAGACCCGTGCTTCCGGTGTAGCCACGCAAACTTCAGATGGCAAGTCCCACATCTACTACGCCCGAAAGGAAATTATCATCTCCGCGGGCGCCTACTGCAGTCCCGCAATCCTCCTCCGATCTGGCATTGGTCCCAAGGCAGAGCTAGAACAGCTCAACGTTCCCTCTTTGGTCAATTTACCAGGCGTGGGCAAGAATCTCATGGACCACCTCGTCAGTCATCTCTACACAACCATTGATACCAGCATAAAGCATCCTAACATTCCCCTCCACCATCTAGATTGTATTCATGTTCTATGAAACCGAAAAGCAAGGCCTAACAAACGACCACCACGTCTACCATGGCGACAACTTCGACCGAACCTACGCACAATGGAAAGAAAAGAAAACCGGCTTCTTATCCAGCTTCCCCTTCGGCAGCTTTGCCTTCGCACGTCTCGACGACCGACTAAAAGACGAGCCTCTTTGGAAAAACGCCACCCGCAAACCAGGCCGTGACCCCATGGGCCTCACACCACAACAGCCAAATATCGAGTTCTTCAGCACAGAGTGCTACGGTGGTCCCAAGCAATACGACCAATTCCCGATTGATAACCAGCACGCGTTTTCCATTATTGCAGAGCTGTTTGCACCGAAGTCTCGTGGCTCGGTGGTACTCGAATCGGCGGATCCATCGGTCAACCCGGTCGTCGACTGTAATTATCTGTCTGATCCGCTGGATCTGTTGGTTCTTAGTGAGGCTTGTCGGTTTGGCAATGAGATTGTTATGCAGGGTGCTGGGACTAAGGATATTGTTAAGGGGTCTTGGCCGCCGAATTTGAATCATCATACTTATAAATCGAGGGAGGAGTGGGTTCCGTATGTGAAGCAGCATGCGACTACTTGTGAGTTGGCAGAGCATTAGAACTTCCTTCTGCCTTGTTGGTTTACTGACGTTTTGTTGACAGGCTACCATGCGGCGGGTACTTGTGCCATGGGGAAGAATGATGATCCCATGGCTGTGCTCAATGAGAAATTGCAGGTCAGGGGTGTTTCAGGTCTTCGGGTTGCTGATTGCAGTGTCATGCCTACATTGAATGGAGGACATACCCAGATGCCGGCTTATGGCATTGGAGAGAAATGCGCAGATTTGATCAAAGAGACATGGCGGATGGCGGGCAATGTCTATCCTCGCATCTGATACTTCATGCTGTCGAGTTTTACCAGTATCTGTTTTGTGGTTATCTGCTTCATGTCTATGCTATACCCAGCTCCAGGACTGGATTGGAACACAAGGAAGAGTTTCACTTCATTAATCAAATAGCGAGTTCTTGTTCCCATTGGATAGTATACTTAAAGAGTAAAAGAGCCTTCCTATACAGGTACAAATATAAGGCATAACCCAAGTCTGTCAAGCGCAAATAGAGCACAAGGTCCATAAGAATAGTGGGATGATTCCAAAAGAGCCAATGTAAACAGTTGATCTCAACTGAGTTCGCTTGCAGATCCCAAGCTGATACTGATAGCATCATCATCCAATTCATAAGACATTAGCGCTGAAACCTTGCGATAGTCCCCAGAAGGAGGAGGCGGCACACCTGGAGTGCGCGAGATGGTGCAATGAGTCTCCAAGCAAACAGTATGCGATTTCGGTAGCAAAGAATGCTGATGCTCGAGGCGGGCGCTTAGAACATGCTGCGCAACCGGCTCAGAAGAATATGCTTTCAGAACACTGTTAATCTGCCTGATGAGGTCTTCGAGCACAGGATGTTCAGTTAATTGAGTTTCCTGGTAAAGCCCAATCGGCACACCAATTTTCACTTTGAAGATCCAGGTCTCCCCTGGTCGAAGCCGCGTCATATGGCAGTCTTCCATTGCCGACTCTAACCGGCATCCGTGCCCCTCTTCGACGAGCAGTTTCAAGTTCGATAAGGCCCCGGGGCTGAGACCAGTACGAAGCTGCCGAACGACTTTGGAGACCCTTCGCATGAAATGAACTTCACAGGATCGTGGATCATCGGCATCGGCGTCATAGAAAATGTGCCAGCCAAGTGGATGGTTTGCTGACTTGAGGGGAAAGCGAGGCTGAGGAGAGATTGTATGGATGCCAATAGCGGTGTCAACACCAGATATGAACATATTTTCTGGGGGACATGGGGATATGAATACCAGATGACAAAATGCTGCTCTGGGAGAAGGGTAAAAGAGTCGAGATGCCTGTCGAATAGAGTTACATGCGTCGGGAAATTTCCTCGTTTTCTTCTTCATGTGGCGGAGAGAGAAAGCATTTAAAGCAGTTCGCAACGTCTCGAATGAGTGGAACCTCAATGGAAGCAATAGCTCGAACTCGTTTCTAGAACTTCCGTCAACACACGCTATCGCTATTCTGTCACTGCTGGTAGCCAAATTTGAGGTAAGCACAGAAGATGCCAGGATCATTGGCGTCACAAGGCTGACAGAAGACTGCTGCCTGTTTTATGGTCAGCAAATCGTGTTTTCTTTAACGAGTAAGTCGATGAGGTCAACTCACAAGCTATCAAAAAGTATAATAATGTCGAGGGGTGCAAGGCTCGAGGTCTCAGGCAGGGAGATGGGCTCAACATCAGCAGATACATTCACTGACGCCCATACAGACATCGAATCTCTACTCATGCATGGCCAGCCTGTGTATGATCTCATGCTAGCAAACGCGATAGGTAGCTCCAACGGACAAAGCAATCCGGATGACCCTGGGCGCAGCATGTTTGATAAAGATCGGGCACTATCGACCCTGGATTTGTGTTTTGAGATGGAATCTGCTGGCGGTTCTATCGCGCCGTCATCTGAGGCTGAATTCGATGAGAGGCATGGCTCTACAGAGCCGTAAGACCCAGAACTCCAGCGAATAAGCAGTTGTGGTGCCAATTGATATCCACTCTGGGTCATGAGTCCTCTTCGACGATCAACACGGCAGCGCGAGGTCTGCAACAAAGAGTCAGTAGGAGCAAAACCATCGACACCAATGTAGGGGGTACCTGGTCGAGAAATGGGTCTTCATTCGTACCAAGACCAGTCTTGCGGATACCCCGGGAAGTTGCAGTGTGTTCCTGTCGAGTTTTCACCACAGCGATATTATAGAGACTATCACTGAGAGACGGGGTCCTAGTTGATGTCGCAAGCTCGCTTGAATCGGGGTCCACGCTGGAAGAGAGAGACGAACGGCGAGAAGGGATCTGTGGATATGACATGTTCGAAAGCGAGCTGGATGTCGAGTTGGCTTTATGTATGGATGTGATGCATGGCATGCGGCGTTTGAGCACAGTGAGAGGCGTAGTTGGTGTGCCCTCCATGAATTCGCGATATCTAGATATGTTCTCTGTTCCTGACAGGGGGCTCGAACTCAATTCGAATATCCGAAGCCTCTGTGGCACAAGTCAAATTCGAGTGAGGTCTGACAGAACAGGCTTCTGAATCCGATAGAATCTTCTTGCGTCTCTGCTGCTTCCAAAGACCGGGGCACGACAGGCACGACAGGCACGATTCTTTGAGGGAATGAATGCTCCAGTAATTAGAACACGCAAGAGCGATGACAACAACGCAGATGAGAACAACGATAGGAACAAGGACCAGTGCAATAATTAAAGCTGAGCTTTTGATATCATATGATAGCCTATAGGTCATTTTGCTCAAACATATTGATGTGAGGAGGAGAAAGTGGAAAAGTAAAGAACATTGAAGCCATATGCTCCTGCCACCCAGAGGACTGCGACTGAAATGGCAACGATGTCCAATCCATGACTTCCTGAGAGAAGATCCATGGAATTCTTTGAGCTTGAGGTCGATAAACAACTTTTCTCTAAAAAAGGTAACATCGCGTTTGGGTATCATAATCCATTGGATAGCACTTATATTCCGTTCCCTGCCATCGCAGCCATCTTCTCCCTGACTGAGTCCATGGTTGTACTATCCAGTCGCGAAAATCGAATCTAAAAGGTGGTTAACATAAGTCGAGAGGAGGTATCAAGGTTCATATACCATTTCATCCGCACTCCCACGAGCAGCACCTCCAAACAGCATCGGCTCAGAATGAGAGTTTTCAATCTCATCTTTCACCCGCCTAGCCCAGATTCCATCCCAGTGCCAATCCCCCGGGAGCCGAGCCTGCGGGCTTCCTCGTTTCAGTTGTCCTCGAGGGCCTCCTCGACGATGTGCCTGCCATGCATGCCATGCTCCAGGGTTCCCTGCGACCTCAACCGGCAGCGAATCCAAAACCAACTCGTCATCAAACGTCGACCGAATGTAATCCAATATCTCCGACACTGGGACGACATCCCTTTGTTCCACAAATTGATCCGTAGCAGGTGCCTGTGCTAAACGTGGAGCTTCCACATCGCCGTCCTCACTAGCTGCTGATGTCACCGGAGGGTTTGACGCGTTTGATTCATCACCATCCGTAGCCGGGTCGGCGGAGCTTGATTGTCCTGTCGATGCAGCACTTGCACTAGTACCACTTACATTCCGTGATGTATTTCCCGATGCTGGTCTGCTGCGCTTTGCCCTACCAAACCAATGAGGGAACCCATGGCGCAGACTGAATCCACCGGGCGGTAATCGTTCATCGTCCGTTGCGCTGACGGGATTGTCACTTGCCGAGCCAGTGCTATAGGTATATGTAGTGAGAGGCACAATTAATGGGTGGAACAAGTCAGTCGCGAAGGTGACTAGAGGAGGAAGGTCGGGATAGGTGTCCGGGAAGCGGAGCTGGAATCGGAGGACAGCTGAAGCATAAGGGCCTGCAAACGGGGTTAGTCGACGCGTAGCTCAGTACATAAGAAGGCCCAATTCACCTGAACGAACGAAAACCACACCACTCCAGAGTGTAGGGTCCCCGGGCGCGAGGCTCACATAAACCCCTGGTGGTGCCGCACGTCTCAAGCTCGCGCTGCGGTGGAGTCAGTACATGGATTGAACTGTGTGGAGTAAAGAGGCTCACAATTCCAGGTGGAGCTGCTGCTTTCGAAGTGAAGGTATGCAGGGTAACTTGGAGGTCGACATGTCTACTTTAGCAGAGGAAGTTGGGAAGATCCGGGGAGGGGGGGTTGACGCCAGCTTATCGATTGCTTATCGCCGATCGACAATCGGACCTCGAACATCATTGAACCGCGTACCTCCAAGACATTACTGTACTAACTGTAGGCCGACAAAACTTGTCGCTAAGCGTGAGAATATTGTCAAGGAAAGACAACATCTGTAACAGAAAATGACTGGGTATTTTCCTATCGATGGTGGGACATACATAATTCAGGGAAGGCAAAGACTCCCCAAGACTAACACAAAGTATGTACAACATAGTATAACTATAGGAAACTAGGAACCTTTACCTCAAAAGTGAACTGCCTTGCATCTGATATGGCGAAACCAACCTACTTAAGTTTCATGAATCATGCTCAGCTTCCCTAAGTCCCACTATAGAACTGGAGAATCCCATTTTCCACAGTCATTGGGAACGCGGCCACATGTGGCTGTCGATGATAATGAACGCCGAACCTATAACCGCCCAGCTCCAGCATAGTGCAATAGATGACATCAAATCATTCTTTCTCCAAGGTCGTCATCTTCGCAACAGAAGATATTATCCCAGCGTATTATCTCAGAGTTCATCTTGAGACCCATTCCCGACATAGAAGGGGATGTGGCCCAATGTGATGGATCAGGTCCGAGAATGAGGTTGATAACGAGTCTATACGCTCACGAATAGGGTCTATATCTAGAACAAAGAGAGTGTAGAGTTTTAACCTTCGAGGTCGAGCGCGTCTCTTGCTGTATTCTGTACTCTTTGCGGAGTATAGATTTTGGGAGCATATTCGAGTGGTTTTCGAGGCTCCGTTAACCCTTGACCTGATACCAATTGGTGTGCACTAATGTGGATCAGTCTGTCTTAGAATTTGAGATTTCTTCTAGTAAATTGGTTGAGAATTGAAAAGAAGAGTTTTGTCCAATTCAAGGAACATACTCCGTAGAAGAATCCCGAGATCCCGACGGGATCTCTGGAGATCTTATCTAAGGTGGCAAGGCGAACTAAAGAAATAAACATTGGCAAGTGAAAAATTAACCTTTGTTTTTTTCAAAAGGGGGAGTGGGGCCCCCAACAAAACCCCATGGTGTCCCAACAAGTGGGTAGTGGCATTTTTAGTATTTTTATACCATGCTGTATGGATGTGGTAAAGTATTTTATATCTTTAACTTCATCTTCCCCTTCAACCAAGCTGTTTATAGATCCAACTCAGTCAAGTACCACGTCAAGGGTCAACATGTATATTGTACTCCGTATGTTGTGGTAGACAAATAATGTTGAGGCTGTTCGCCGTAAGCGCCGAATTACATCCGGAGAGCCAACCTGAAAAAAAAAAAAAAAGTGGAATCACATGCCCTTGCGCCTACTGCCGAGTCATCTCTAGTCCTGGCTTGTACACTGATCTACAGAAGCATTTGCATCCCTCGGGCAGATGCAAATCCTCAAATTGCCCAAACACAGAGGCGAAATCAATTTGCCACACGATCTTGCATATCGGATTCAGTAGGAGAATTCCAGACCAATCCATGGCTGTCTATTCCGTACTCCATACACACGAAAATGACCCGCCGAGGTAAGTTTATCAGTTCGATCGATCCACATGCAGGGACGCCTTCACCGCATTCCCGGCATGTGAAAATGTGCAATCACATCAAACACCAGATAAGGTTTAGCCATCACATACCCATAGTCAGACCACTCGTAACAACATGCAAGTAAATTGTTGGGGCGAACGGAGATAGTAGGCGAGGCAAAGTTGAAGGACGTGAGTAGAGAGAGCCTATAGAGAGAACAAAGACAATGTTCAAAGTACTCCGTATAAGGCATCCAAATGAGATAAGCATGTGAATAGGATAGATCAGCCCTACTCCGTGAACAGTTCGAAAATCCATAGGTAAAGGTGGATCGGTAAGTAATTTGCAAAACACCATACGGTGGGATTGAACTATACAATGTTGTAGGGATGCAGTGGCGGTATGAAAATTACCACCCCATTGTCCCATGGTTGAAACCCCAGTGTCTTTTTCTTTCAATTTTCCCCTTCGAGTTTTTTTTTTTTTTCAGTTGGTTTTCCTTTTTGAGAGCGGATCTCCTTTCTCTCTTCCTTTCTTTTCTTTCTTTTTGATTGTGAATTGCCTGCTTCCTCGTTGGTCCTTCTTCAAAACGGGGGCATCTTCAGGGTTCAACATTCCTTGTGCAACATCGAAACTTTAAAATCTTTGTTAGTATTAGACACTGACAGCTCGGCGAACCTCAACTAATCTGATCTCAGATTCCCGTGTCCTTCGTTTCAGTTCTATAAACAGGGATACTGTTGTATACCCATCGTGACTTTGGACAACACTGTCAACCTCAACACCCAACATGTCCTCGACTGCAATCCCCAAGCGCGTTGCGCTCAATCGCAATCCCGCGACGGAGTCCTCAACCGTCAGCTCTGTCTCGCCCTCACCTTTTGACAGCCCTCGCCAGTCCCCCTCCTCTACCTCCCTTTCCTCCATGGGCTCGGAGCAGGAGGCCAGCAAGATGCTTGATACCTACGGCAACGAGTTCAAGATCCCAGATTATACAATCAAGCAGATCCGTGACGCCATTCCCGCTCACTGCTTCCACCGCTCCGCCGTCACCAGTCTGTACTATGTCTTCCGGGACATGGCCATCCTGGCATCCGTCTTCTACCTCTTCCACAACTATGTCACCCCCGAGACCGTCCCTTTGCTGCCGGTCCGTGTGGCCCTCTGGACCGTGTACACCATTGTACAGGGTCTCGTCGGCACTGGTGTTTGGGTTCTGGCCCACGAGTGCGGCCACCAGGCCTTCTCTCCCTCCAAGGTTCTGAACGATACTGTTGGCTGGATCTGCCACTCCCTTCTGCTCGTTCCTTACTTCTCCTGGAAGATCTCCCACGGCAAGCACCACAAGGCTACCGGAAACTTGGCCCGCGATATGGTCTTCGTCCCCAAGACCCGTGAGCAGTACGCCTCCCGCGTCGGCAAGGCCCTGCACGAGCTCGGCGAGCTGTGCGAGGAGACCCCCATCCTGACCGCCGGCCACCTTTTGGGCCAGCAGCTCTTCGGCTGGCCTCTGTATCTGATCAACAACGTTACCGGCCACAACAACCACGCCAAGCAGCCCGAGGGCCGCGGTAAGGGCAAGCATAACGGCTGGGGTGGCGGTGTTAACCACTTCAGCCCCTCCAGCCCTCTGTACGAGGCCAAGGACGCTAAGCTCATTGCCCTGAGTGACTTGGGTCTTCTCCTCACCGGTACCGGCTTGTACTACATTGGCTCCAACTTTGGCTGGCTGAACCTGCTGGTCTGGTACGGTCTCCCCTACCTGTGGGTGAACCACTGGCTCGGTAAGTTTTCAGACAAAAATATCAGTCCTCCCGTATCAACCTTGCTAACATGACCCCTCACAGTCGCCATTACCTTCCTCCAGCACACCGACCCCACTCTCCCTCACTACCAGCCCGAAGTGTGGAACTTTGCCCGTGGCGCTGCCGCCACCATCGACCGTGACTTCGGCTTCGTCGGCCGCCACATCTTCCACGGTATCATTGAGACCCACGTGCTGCACCACTACGTCAGCAACATCCCCTTCTACAACGCCGACGAGGCTAGCGATGCCATCAAGGTCGTCATGGGCGACCACTACCGCACTGAAGCTCACACCGGCTGGACTGGTTTCTTCAAGGCCATGTGGACCTCTGCCCGTGTCTGCCACTTCGTTGAGCCCACCGAGGGTGCCACTGGTGAGAGCCAGGGTGTCCTGTTCTTCCGTAACACCAACGGCATCGGTATTCCTCCTGCCAAGACGGCGGTCAAGGCTCAATAGATGCGCAGCCCTTGCTGCTGATCTTGGTTTCGGTTCTGATTATGTTTTCTTTCTTTCCTCTCGCATTGTTCTGATTCGATTTGAGCTCTGATATCTTATCTTGTTTACTTTGCGTGCATATCCATCGATGTATACACGAGGTCAGCATGATTTTGTCGAGGAGATTGGGTGACAGTCATGGGAAGGAATTCTATGCTTTTTTGTTCTCTTTCGACAATCAAAGCTCTTTTCTCTCATGACTGTCTACCCTTTCACCTTGAATCCTTAGATCCATGTTGTTTCTTTGAGGGGTTGAGATCATGTCGGCAGGTCGAGGGAAAGAAGGAAAAGAACCTGATGAAAATGGGGAGAGATGAAGGTCATCTTGGAGAAATGTGTTTTGTCATCGCTGTCCGTATACATGATTATGGTTAATTTGAAGCGTGTTCTTTTCTTCTTACCTGCTTGCATGCAAACTCAAGTAAACTGACAAATAAGTGTAATCCTCTTATTATTCCACATCTGTTCAATAAGTATTTCGGAGTCATGTCAAGAATAATTTCAGAGACAAATACGCAAAAGACATAAACCAGTATAAGTAGCTCAGTTAAAGCGCTCACACTGAGCTCAGGTATGTAGAGTGTTCCACAGCTTGGAGTAACACGACTTGGTGTTTTGTTCAACCCTCTTCAGTAAGAGGAAAACACCACAAACAACCAATTATATTGTATATCACACAATTCGTTTCCACTTTGTTCAACCCCTTCGATCTTCAAGGAAAATTGTTAAATGCAAGACGCTGTATATTGTAGATCACACACCTTATGACTTTCCACTTACAAGGCTAGCATTTCACACATATCTATTGTTTAAGGATCCTTGAGCCTTCGTTCAAAGTGTCTATATCTATTCGTATATTCACATTATTATACAACGGCTATATAGAGATCGCTTGCGTATATCATGTATCATATATAGTTCGTTACTACCCTAGTCTGAGATCAACATGCCGACATGCCCAACTATTTGGAGTAGGTCACATTCGAGACATTGCATCTGTGTGGCTTTGCCAGTCAAGAATGAACTCGCTTATATATGACATCAGACAACTCAGCCACCATGACTCGTACTTCTCAAGCCACCTTTCCAGATTTCAAACTCTACCTCGCCACTTCTTCTACTTGCTTGACCATTTCCGGATGTATCCTTGAGACCTGCCGTCCACGGCGAGAAGACAAGTTTCATGGTCCGTGTGGTGGATTCGGAGCCTGGGGTGGGGTGGTTGTTCTGCGAGTCAGAGACTCTGTTCTTGAGAGAGGGCGCAGGCATTGCTATTGAGTCTGGGTCTCGAAAGACGTTGGGATTTTCTCCGTTGTGCAGCTGCGATGCTCCTTGTGTAGACGCCATATATGCATGGTCGTCCATGAAAACACCCGCGGCGTGGGAATTTTCCTTTTTCAATGCGATTCGACAGGCGATCTGCGTTGACCAGACGAATCCTAGTGCCGGGTTTTTCAAAGATCCACTCTCTGGGTACGCGCCATCACCCCAGCCAGAGTAGAAGCGCTCCTGGTGAGCCACGTTCAACATGCTATTGCGTGCTCGAGGCGCAATCAGGTAGGAGCCGTCGAAGTTTTTATCGTGTGGTGCATGGTATGGCGATGAGGAAATAGCAGAGGACGAAGGGGGTGGCTGTTGGCTATTTCCAGTAGCTAACTGTTCAGTTCGAGATTTTGGGAGGGGAGAGACAGGGCCGGATCCACGATCTGTTGTTTGGCTTGGTACGGATAACCCTGCCCGTGGAGTTGGCTCGCTGGTTCTGATAGACTCGAAACGGTCGGAGACTTGGTTCGCGAGCACGATAGCGATGTCTTCCTTTACGGCGAGGTTGCGCAGTAAATGGCCCAGTTTTGCGAGCTGGGATGATCGTTTGGTGAGGGATTGGATGCTGTTCGATGTATATTCAGCGCGGTAATTGGATGTAACTGAATCAATGATGACCAGGCCGATGTTATAACGTTCGATGGCGACGGGAAGGTGGTAATTTAAGATGTGATCTTGCGTCTCCAAGTCCATGGCGTTGATGGACAGGATATCCTCCAGCGAGGGCGCCTGCTCGGCGGGAAGTGTTGAGAGGACGGGATGGCATTCTAGGAGCTGTGAGAGTCGTGGCGTAGATAGTGGGTGTTCTGTCGATATGTACATGGCACGTCGTCGTAGCCCCTGTGGTTTGGGTAGCTGGACGGCTAGACAGAGGCTTAGGAGGAATTGGGTCTTGCCGCTTCCACTGGACATTGATCCACATGTCAGATTGACTTGCCTGCCCGGCTCATAAGACCTGGATAGATACCTGTAACATACCTTTCGCCTGTAACTTCTGTGACATAGCCGGTCGGAATTCCACCTCCTAGGAGTGCATCCATACCAGGGTCAAGAGAGCTGATAGTGTTCCATTGTGACGTGCGCTTCGTCGACCCGACTGTTCTGCTCGCTACATCAGGGGTTATACTGGAGCTGGGTCCATCGCTAGTCCCTGTGTCTGTCTGCGACCTTTCAAAGCCAACATCGGTGTGCAATGCCTCGACGATGAGGGAAGAGAGCCGGCGAACATCTGCGGGAGGTACACGGGCACGTTTTGCGACCTCGAGAGCGTCTAGCGTAATTAGGTCGACGGTGGTGACTTTAGCTCTTTCAAGGGGAGGGAGAATGTGTGTGAAGGGTTTCGTTACAAATCCAGGTAGGACTAATAGAAGATCCATAGGCAAAGCACTGTCGATATAGGCGTTGATGTCGCCTCTACCTATGTTCAAAGCCAATCATAGTGGAGAATAATAATATTCTTTGATTGGTCAATTTCGAATCAGCGACGTCTGTGAGTGGGTGCATTCACGTGACTTCCCAAAAGCGTAGGACCAATTAAATACTATGGAAGGGCCCCGCATCCTATCTCTAGAACGAAGGATCTGTAAAGAAAAAAAAATAGGTAGCTTCTCTTTGATTGAGCGTGTCATCCTTAGTGCAGGGGCCATGCTAATCTTCTCTGTATATTTTCAGTTGACCATATGCCCCGAAGGGCGAAATATCTATTCGTTCAGTTCAATATAACCTCACTTTGTGGCAGAATCACACCGCCTATTTGTACATACTACAACATGGACTGTCAGGCTGGTCAACTCAGGCATGTTAATAATCCTTTATAGATATTATCTGCCTCGCAGTGTACTTTGGCTTGAACATATATGGGCACGCGTTGAAATTTTGAAGGCAAAAAATGGAGCTTATGGAGAAGTCGAATGAGAAATGTACATATGTAAGAATCTTATAGCACTCCCAAAACACAGCTTGGTCATGTTTGAATCCTTTAAGATACAGATTATATATCTACAGAGGTTGTGCTCTTTACCTTGCTGTTGCTTTGAGCAAGAGGGAGAGGTAAGAAGCCTCACAAGAGAAGCTAAAAGCGTGGAGAGATACGAAGTAAGAGAGAGAGAGAGAGAGAGAGAGAGAGAGAGAGAGAGAGAGAGAGCAGAGCAAGAGCTCCTTCAGGAAGTACACAGGAGGCCGGTATGACTCCATGAATAGCACTGTACTAGAGAGAGATCCAGGCCTAGAAGCCAAAATTGTAGGGGGAGGCAAACGGAAACTGCACGAATTCTCAAAAGTAAGGAAGGGAACATATTCAATAGGATTGTTATTAAACATCAAGCGAGATTTGATCAACCCCAGGATTACCGCTAGGCCTGGGGGTCTTTCCAATAATTTCACCAAGCAATTCTATGTTGTAGGGCTGCAGAATGTGCCGATTGATACGACACTGAGTAGAAGTCGATTAATATCACCCCAATAGATCAATATTCCCATATTTAGATAGAATTGGTGTATATCGTTAAACTACAGGAGCAGTCCTGGTTAATTTCTGCCTTGCTTTCTTGTTGATGCTAGCCTTCAGCTCTCCTTATGTTATACATATATCGGCTCCCCTAGTTAGGAAGGTCCTAGAACCTCAATGGCCCCCAAGTATCGAGAACTCTCCGTACTGAACACGCAACACGGGTTACAGGATAAAAGCACAGAGGTGTCTTATAGATGAAACTGTGATAAATATATAATCTCTAGAGTTATTTATTATTCACACACAAAATGTATGATACACAAACATATCCTGTATGATAGCTGAACTGTTCCCCCTGTATTATATATTTATCCTTCGTCGGGTGGATTGAATCAGAACACACCTGATACAGATACAAGTATGAAATGTTATGTTAGGAAACCTGATTGTACAATTCATGTATATACATAACAGCTTGTATAGACCACAAAGCCGGTACTTTTGGCGTTCTGTGTTGGGCAGGTGGATAAAATGTGACCTTTGAGGGATTAACGTCCGCCAGGGCCGACGTATCCGTGCCAAATGAGGATTTGAAAACTCAAAGAGATTATACCAAGTGCTGGCTGATTAATATTTCCTCACTCTATAGAGTATGTAGGCTGTTATTGTATAGCAATGTTATACACTATGGAGTAAATTCAATAGATTATGCGCCGAACTTCAGGCCTACAATTTACAGGTATTGTGCGAGTACGATCGATGTCACTATGACTTGTCCCAATGCCGTTAGTACAAGAGAACCAACTTGTTTCATGAATTTTAGGGAGGCTGGTTTCTAAGGATCTACCTAACATCCCGTCCATATGGCAGTGGAAAAATTGAATTAGTCATTCCCAAGTCCAATTCTAACAGAAAAGCGATAAATCGATATATCATTACTTCAGCCCAGTCGCGTTAAATGTACGAAGTACGGAGTAGATTTTGAGTCGTCCCGGGGATCTGGACAAACGTACCATCGGGATTTGGTTGTGGATCCTCATCCTGCCTGTGTGCTGCAGCATATTGAGATGTGTATTATTGTATGCGACGATCTGCGTGCTATCAAAGGTGGCTGAATTTTTACCAAAAGCAAGCACACGGCAGACAACGACCGTGTGGTAAAGTACGGAGTAGTAATACAGCAATGTTTCACGCTCCCACCAGATCGCGTGAGATATAATAGAATATGTATGATTGCGGAGGGAATAAGTCTAGATTAAGCCTGGATTCATCCTAGTGTGACTAATCAAGAACCCTGTACGGAGTAGCTATAGAAGGGGTAATACATTCTACCCTTTGATACTCTTCGATCCGATTAGCAGCCACTCACATGATGAAACATTCCTGCTGTCCTCCCGATCAGCGAAACAGTCCAATTGTCAAGATGGGACTACTCCGTAGAGCATTCGCATTACTAAGCGCTTCGACAGGGGTTGTCCGGAGCCGAGACGGATATTACAGCTTCCTAGATGGAGGGAGTAGTAAAGAGTATAAAGTACAGAGTGACTTGGTTTGATTAGGGTCAGGGGGATTATTTCATAGATGTATGTCTATTATTCTACAACATATCTGCTGTGTGTAAGGTAAGGTGCACACGCTTGCATATGTCCATGTGGACAGAAAGAGACTCCTACCAAATACAGAATATTGCCCCTACAATATAAAGTCATGCAACTTGTGCCTAACGTATATTCCGTTCCTATGAACAGAGTACGGAGTACCCCATATATCTGGAAGAGCAAACCCGGAGTCGTTAATAGCAGCCCTCCAAAAACATGGGATGAAGTCACTGCCAAGAGCCCGCTGAACGCTAGCGAAATTTTGCAATGTAATAATCAATCCTTCTGGAGTATCAAAGCGCTGAATTGTGAGAATACCTATGATCTTCGGCTAGAGATTTGCCACATTCATGGCGTACATGGTACTCCGTACCTGCGAAGCCACATCTACGATCACTTCTTACTTGGAACCTATGATCGTTATCGTATTGATCGTACTTCCATGCGGAGTATATATAGGCTATTATTACCTAGATTGATATTCTCATCCAGTCGTGAGGATCCACAACCCCTGCAACACATGGCCTAGTGGGAATGGATTCCGTGATTAAGCTTGGACCGCGTGTGTAGGGGGGGAAGAGAAATCCAGAAGCGCATCATTGATTCAGACGATCATTGATAATGGATTTTCGATCACGCGTACAACTACCATACGGAATCCTCTGTGCAGATTACAATAATGACGAAAAGAAATTGAGCCCAAGTCTATCAGTGCACATCAAAAGAGCCGTTGGATCCGGCCAGGGTTGGAATTTCTTGCGAGATTGTTGATGAAGCCCGTACAATCTAATGCAAATGAAACGCGGGCCCTTCAATACGGGGAAGGGAGTAATTTCTCACAATGGTTTGATTTAGTTTCAATAAACAAGCGATCCGCAAGCCTGCAATTAAAAGAGCGGTACGGAATTGGGTACGGACCGTGTGGGGGTGTAACATGAAATTCGAGGAACAAAGGAATCATGGATGATATGAAGGTCCAATTCAAGCATCTGTTGTATGGAGACATTGATGTACTCCATACTTCGTATGTACAGTATATAAGATCAGCATTCATATCGACAGGAGTATCAGACATGAACAGGAATAATACCCATTCATTACATACCCAATACTTGCCTAGGCGGACATGATGTTTCATATATCGTCATCTTCACATTCTTCAGATTCTCCATATTCTTTACGGAGTACTCCACGTGGAGAAACTACACAAAAAGAAAGGAAAAAAAGTATGCATATTTTAGCCACCTTCATAAGCAAGGTGGAAGATCAAGTTCCGCAACAGATCAAACATGGATGATCAGGGATTTGCAGCGAAAAGGAGGATTTGCAGATCAAAACTAATAGAAAATGTGCGCACATTGTCACTGGATGCATCTCCAGCCAGAAACCGTCTAGTCAGTCCTGGACTGTTATCAAAGACAGCGCTGATTGGCTCGGAGCAATCAAGCCAAGCTACGAGAGAGGATCGGTGGTTCGGTGGAGTCTGGCTTGCTTGTCCAAGCGAATCATATTTTGTGACGATTGACATTTCAGGGTTTCCTGATCTTACCGTGGGCACTGTCTGGATCGGGAGGTTCAAAGTTCCGAGTTACTTTTCAATCTCAGGGGCACTAGTTCGGTAATTAGAATACGCAGTATTGAAGCTAATCAGTGAAACTATAAGTAACGTCTGAGTAAATTAAAGATAGGTTCAAGAATGACAGATTCAAGTATCTATGCTGTAGGTATAGTTTAAAGTAAGTATACGGACATTATGGAGACCAGGGGAAATAAAGCGACTCCGATCCGTTGGACTGGGTTGCCAGATCCCTGGAACCCAGGAAGATAAACGCCGGGTAACGTGTACTCCGTACTGGAAAATAAATACGATGTCTTACGAAAAAAAAGCAAATAGATCTACAAGGGTTGATACATGATATTTCATATTTGAGATATTATATTGTATACCATTACCTGGAGGTACTACGGCGTATTCAACAATGCATATGCCATTCCGTCTAGTATCATGGAATTGGTATGAAACATGGATATTTGTTGAAACAGAACAGAGCTATGGAAGGCATATAGAAGGCAACCGGGGACCTGCGGGATCCAACGGGGAATGATCAGGTATGTGCGATGTAGGTACTCCGTACTCCGTACGGTATGAAAGTATACGGACGTACCCATAGGCGTACCAAGGTCTCGGGGTTTGCGAGTTAGTGTCACTTTTCACTCCCCCTCCCTCTTTCTCTTCTCTTTATCCACCGTCATTCGAAGTTGTCGGGAATTGTTATTCGATTTTTGTTTTCTATGTGTGTGGGGGCTTATTCGAGTACTACCTTGGAAGTCTCTCCAACTTGAAGGGAAATTAGAGGAGAATAAGGCCATATTTTATCAACATAAACCAGCATTTCTCGAAGGCTCCGTTGATTCCAGATTTTGTACGCTGGGCTCGGTGGCCGAATCGAAATAGGAGGAAACCTCCAACTGCACGATATTCAACACTGCGACCGGCAGATCATCCGGAAATACAAGCATCAATTCGCGAAAATGGCGAGCAGACCACCCATCATGCCGCCTCACAATGAGACTGAGCACTCAGTCAGCCGGATCACTCGTGAAGGCAAACAGCTCACGTACAAATTGAGTGTGATGCAACAGCCAGAGCGGGCCAGAGCTTGCGGCGCGGGAGCAAAGTGTGAGTATTTGCGGTTGAGCCTAACTAAGGCTGCACATGGACTGACCATCAATAGCATCTGCCGACCGTCGGCCTGTTGATCCACCACCCGTGGTCGAGTTGCGCATCTTTGAGTCTGACCCGGGAAACGATGCACAAAAGACCGATATCACATTCGCCTACAATGCCAATTTCTTCCTCTACGCAACCCTTGATACCGCACGCCCTATCGCCCACGGGCGCGTGGGTGGACCACAGTCGTGTCCTGTCCTAACAGGTGTGCCAGTCGCCGGCGTCGCCTATCTCGACCGTCCCTCGCAAGCAGGTTATTTCATCTTCCCAGATCTGTCAGTGCGCCATGAGGGCCGGTACCGCTTGAACTTTCACCTATATGAAGAGATCAAGGACGCCAAGGATGCCGACAAAGATTCCACTTTGCCTCTCCCCAACCAAATCACTCATTCCGCTACATCAAAGCCCGGCACCCCGCAAGCATTTCTTCATTTCCGTCTCGAGGTCAAGTCGGTCCCGTTCACCGTTTATAGTGCTAAGAAGTTCCCTGGCCTGGCCACTAGCACCTCTCTGAGTCGTATCATTGCCGAGCAGGGTTGCCGTGTTCGCATTCGTCGCGATGTTCGCATGAGACGCCGGGGCGACAAGCGGGACGAAGAGTACGACGAGGAACGCGCAGCTGCGTATGCAAGATCGTCTGATCGTTTCTCGACACCCGACAGATACGCAGCTTCGCTGGAACGTCCTAGATCAAACAGCAATGGCAGCAATATGGAATCACCCTACGGGTTTGTTGCCCCGGATCGACGACCATCTGCACCAGACTATGGTTTCCAGTGCCCGCAACCTTACCAAAGACCCATGCCACCTGCACCCATGCCACACTCCCAAACACCCTCATATCAATCACACCTTTCATTTGGTTCCACGCCTTCACATTATCCGGCCCCTCACATGCCTCCTACACCATCACCGGTCGCACCACAAGGTTACTCCCCACAACATACATATGCCCAAATACGACACTCATCAAACGCCTCCGAATACGAAGGGACGCCAATTGCATACCCCTCGGCGTCTCAAATACCCACTGAACGAGGTGGCTATCCCAAGCCTTCTATGACTTCCTATCGCATGGAGCCACAAAAACCAAACTCATATATGGACCCCCGCTCAGAACCAGGTCCATATCCATCCATATCCAGTGTTTCGGTGCCACGTTCTCAAACGCCAATTACGGGCCAGATGATTCCGCCTCTCAAACCCTTGTCAAATGACTATGGTAACCAGATTGTTCCTTCTGTGGAAACCACTTCACCCGGCGGTGGCAGTGGTGGATACGACAACGTCACAGGGAAGCGTATGGTATATCAAACAGGGCCAGCATACGGCAAAAGGAGTCACGAAGATACTTTCGGTGCTGATGACCGGTCAATGCAGAACGGCATGCGGCCTGACACAGAGCCTTATCCGAGCGCATATCGCGATTTCTCAGGTGAAAGTCGCTCTGCACTGATGGCTGAAATGGGCATTCAAATGGCTTACAAGCGTGCCAACGGCAAAATGGTCATGAAAGCTCCTCCGACTTAATAACATCTAAAATGGTCTTGAATAACCCCTGGTGCGCGGAAAACGATATGCTCACCTCGGGCTTACCTCGACGACTGAGCCCCAGTCAATGGACTGAATTCTTGTGATTGTACTTGATTGGAGGGTTTTTGTACATGACTTTTCTTCCGATTTCTCGTCGTACTTGGACTCACCTTTTCGGGAATCGGTTTCTTTCATGTTCCAGTATTTGCGAGGATTTTCTTTGATTGAGGTCCGGAGTTAGATAGTAGTTTAGCTGTTCGCTATCCTTGATTCCTAGCCTCGAGAACATTTATGTTTGTCACATAAACTTCTGGTACTTGCATCATTCTCAAATGGCCACACTCTATCACCTAGAGCAAGGCTCCCCGTTCCTTTCATCCCCTGAGATTGGAATAGGGAATGTCATCCCTATACCGACTCTAGCTAGGATGCTCTCTAGCATTGCTCTTGGAGCATTCAATCTTGAAATAGACAAGGGCTGGTCTCATTCATCTCGGGATACTGGGTTCCTTGCTTCACACCTAGAACCCCTGCTGCTTCATCTACTTTTTATACTAGCATTGTGGCAGCTACTTGATACCTAGTACCAATTCTATACTTAACCCTACAATTTGCCCAATTTCACCAGCATGCACCTGTATATTCCAGAAGTCAAGGGTTATCCTATAAGTACATCTCTCCTACGGGCATGGGTCTTATATCTGCATTCCTTATCGAATATCATAGGCACATGTTTGAAACATGTGGAATTCTACATCGATTCTAGATTTTATTGATATGTATATACATATTTGTACATTAATGTTTGTTTTGGGATATCGCCCCGGTGGACATTCTGATGATGTAACGGGTACTTTGAATTATATGGAAGGTTTGCGGTAGACGTGGGTACCAGGTACCACAACAAACTTCCCCCTTGGCAAGTGCGGAGTATGTAAACAAACCTGCGCAAATCGAGTCTCCCGTCTTCATTTCGATTCTCATTTCTTTGTATCTCCTCCCACTCTCAGTATTTTCTATGCCAAATTCTGATAAAAATTTGTCATTTTCCAAGAGCGTGGGGGAAACAGGATAACCCAAGCTGCAAAGGTATGGTCCCTTGCCATAATCCCATAATCTCCATGGAAGGGATTTCAATTACCGCATAAGAACGATTGAATCTAACTTCCCTGCGTCATTCTAGCGCCCGCGACTCCAAAATGGAAATGGAAATGGACATTGACCCGAGCCCCGCACACCAGCGCTCCTCGCGCAAGCACCTACGCTCTAGCGACGACGATGACTATGATTGGAGCTCAGACGTATCGGGCCAATTCGACGACGCCGAAGAAGGGCACGCAGACGAGCACAGATCGTCGGTAGTGAAGCAGACCAAACGACGTCGTTCAAATGACTGGCCGTTGCCCGAGGAAGCCGCTGATTACGGAGCCCATGATCGTCGCACTCAGAACGGGAGTCTCGGCGTGAGCGCAAATGGCTCAGGTTACAAGAGCTCGCCACGGGCTTCACCTCGCGGCTCACTCGCTTCTTTGCGCGCTCGCCATGCCGCCGCATCTGCTTCCAGCCAACGCCGTCCCAGAGGACGGACATCGCGATTCGTCGAGGCGACTATGAATGATAGTATCAGTGAGAAACCGCCAAGTATCTACTTCCAGGACCAGGAAAACAAGCACCCTGGCCTTCAGCGTCGCTCATCTGGTATTTTTCGTTTTGGGAAGGCCATTGCCTCGGCGTTTAATCCGTTTGGTGGATGGGGAAAGAACTCCGAGGGATCGCTTAATAAGTCGCCGCAGAAGGATGTTATCACCCAGGCGGAGCAGGCCTATGCGGAATTGAAAAAGGCAGGCTACAAGGGTACAAACAAGGGTCATTACATGGAGGACCTTGGCGTCAACACTGCCGTGGCCGACCAGACCTGGCAGTCTATCCAGCACAAGATGGGATATGGTTCGCCAATCAAAGAGTCGCATTGCCAGTCAATTGATCACAGAAGCCATGCTGCATCCTCACGATCTGAGTCATCAGCATCCAAACGCTCTTCTCTTCAGGATCTTCGCCTGCCGAAGTCATTCTTCCAGAAATCCCATGGATCGCCACCTGCTTCCCCAGCAGTGTACTGCGATATAACTTCTGATGATAACGAGCCAACTGAACTGCGCAAGAGACCATCCCGCAGGGAGATATCACGTCAAAACAAGCTGCTCAAGAAAGTTAGCAACCTCGAGGACAAGCTGCAACGTGCACGGCAGGAGCTTCGTGACCTCACAGGCAACGAGGAGCGGGTCCCGGCACCTACAGCCCAACCAAAGGCCCTCAGCACCGAGATGGATCCCGCATCGTTCCCAAGGAAATTCGTCCCTGGTGCCCTTCCCACTCTGCCGTCGGAAAGGCTTCTGGATCAACAGGCCGTAGAAAACGAGGCGTCTGCATCCGAAGCGGCCAACCTGACGGCACTGCCATCCATGGAAGGCCGCGAAACTTTTTCATTTGAAGAATCGCGGCCTCTCCCAACCTCGGCTACGGCCCAAAGTCCAAAACGGCACTCGAAAGGGTCACAGCCGTCATCCATGGGTAAGGACCGCCCTTCCCGTAAGAGGAAGTCTTTCATTCCTGAACCTATCGATAGTGGGGATTCTCCTCAGCCCAATTCGACGGAAGGCATCAAAGATCACGAAAGCGAGCCCGGTCTCAAGGATCTGATTGACCACGGTCTACTTAGCCCACCCGGAAAAGCGAAATGGCAGAAATCCGAGGCCGGCGAGAGCCCCGGCTCGGCCAAGCGTAAGCAAGCCATCGACGACGCAGCTCCCTCGACCGAGCACGAAGAAAAGGAAGCAGGAGGAAATGCAAGTGCTACGCGCAACATCAAAAGGTCCCCCTACGTTCAGCCCCGAAAAATCTCCGGACCCACCCGCTCACCAAGTTCCAAGCCTACAACCCCTCTCCGTATGAAGAAGAGCCCGACCAGCCTGCGTCCGGCGTCTTCACCTGCCGCTGCCTCGGACAACGATTCTCGTTCCAGTATCTGGGCCACGCCTCTGCCTGCTCCACCAACTGACTCCCATCGCGACACCTTCTACCACCATCCACAGCGCCAGCTCAATCCTGATCGTAGCCCTCGCACTCCGACACGGCCGAAGATGGGTCATACTCGGAGGCGATCTGGGTATCTCTATGATGACGATATTCCGCCCGTACCACCCGTTCCTGAAGAACTTCGCTCGAGTGCTGCCAAGATCAAGGTGAATGTCAATGTGAATAGGTCGCCCAGGAAGAGACCTGTGTCTGCTCCGGTGCTCTCCCCGTCATCGGCTTCTGGTGCGGACTCTGTGATCTCTGGCCTTGAGGATTACCTCTGGCCGGAGGATATTTTCTAATTGGGTTCCATTCATTTTCTTAATGATGTTTATGAGGCTTTGTTAGGTTGGGTATGAGGTTTTTATCATAGCTGTGCGAGGGTTGTTTTCCTTTGGGTTTGGTTTCTTTTTGCTGGTGGTCGACGTGATGTAACGAAGTAACGAATTTCACATGTTCTATACGCCTTGCATACTCGTAAGATCTTATTGTATGCTATTACTAGCTCTCAGAACTACAGTCCGAACCTCCTGGGGGCCGATCAGCTACATTCAAAACCAGAAGCTAATGAACACCCCTAGTCTTGATTCCCTAGGACATGTCTTTATAGTGACACATGAAATCAATGAAGCTAATATCCCAATGATACCCCTTAAACTCCATACATATACAGATGACGTCTGAGGCAAAGAAAGACACAAATCAAGGTAATAATCCCAACGCTCATGCCACTTCCCGTTTATAGAACTCGGTGTTCATCAAAGGAAGTTACAGCGCCGCTACCAACGCAGCCCCTGCAACACCAACAAACATACCGCCTGGCATATAAGTCGGCATACTCGCCAGTCCCGTGGACGTCGACGTCGACATCGACACTGTTGGTTTCGGCTTCTTATAAGGCACGATAGACGTCGGGAAATCACCCACCGCATCCGGTATCTCAGGACCATCTCCAATCTCCACAATATCGTCCGCCCCGGGATTCTCATTCAACGCAGCAACCCCAACAAACCCATTATTGTAGTTGATGGTCATATACATGCGCTCTGAAAATTTAGTCCCGATTCTCCCGGCGTAGCTAGAGTTCAAATCGTCTTCCGGTTGAATGAGGAACGAGCAGCGCTCCGAGCCGGCAGAGCCCCACGGCATAAACAGGTCGCTCCAGTTTGCGGAGATCGTGGCGCTGCCGAAGAATAGAGAAACAGTGCGGGTTTCCGTGTATTGTCGGGAACAGGGGAGTAAACCGAATTGGGGGTCGTCGTCGTCGCTCCAGCCGACATAGGAGATGTTGTAGTCCTTGTACATGCGTAGGACTGCGTCCTTGGGGAGAGTCGTGGTGATGTATTGAGCGCTTAGCATGTATGGCTTGGAGCTGGATAAGGTGTAATTTGTGGGTGTTTTTGATTCTGTTTGGAGTTGGAATTTCGAGAGAGGGAGGGATACGCTTCCCCATGTCTTGTTAAAGCTGTATGCCTGTAACGGGCCGTGATATTTGGCTTTGTTGATTCCGCCGAAAAGGAGTCCTGCGCCTCCTTCGGATGAATTGCCCCATAGACTGAATGAGGGAGATCGGATCAAGCCCCGGTCGACTAGCTGATAGGGGAATGACTCGTTGCTTGGAGATAGTCCTATCGAGTTGTCTGTTGAATTGTATTAGTCCAGGTTGGAAGTCATAGCCCGAGAGTTTATGAACTAACAGTTGCCATATTCGACAGTCAAACGGCGTAATTCGACATCCTTGACTTTTGTCCCTCCAATAGTGACAGTGTCAGTGAATACCTCGTAGGGATCTCCCCATCGATTTGGGATTTCTTTGGTCACATTGCTGGACGATTTGGTGACATTGTATGATCCATATAAGGAGCAATAGCGAATCTCCCGACATTCCGAATTTGTCACACGCGTGTCCTCGTAAAAGACATCGAAAGTGGCAGTCAGGAAGTCGACCATCATGCCCACATACTGTGGTGGTGTGCCAATTGAGACATTGACAGTATTGGATATCTGTGCAGATATATCAGATTTCAGTTCTAAGCAATGGTACTGTAGTTGAACATACATGATTGAACATGCCTGTCCCTAGAGTGGCAGTATCTCTTTTCATCAGTGGCCTAGATACTTCACGGCCATAGAGATCCATGCCAACCACTGCAGGTACGTCGCGTTGCACGGGCAATGTGTGGACATTAGCACTGGCGGTGGCCCAGTTGGACCATGCTAGAGCTACAATAAGTGACTGACGCATTATAGAGTGCTCCCCGAGTGCTTTGCTTTCAAGTGAGATACGGGGTCTTGTGTTCAAGAGAAGGCTAAAATAAAGGCCGGAGCCAACAGACAATAAATCGCCCCCAGGGCTTTACTTGGCAAGGCATTTTTAGCTCGAAAATTATGAGACATTATTGCCTTGGCAGCATTCAAGGCCAATTGCCTGCAGCGTTTCAACTCCCGTGATGAAAAGAGTGGCCAAAGAGCGTGATTCTAGAATTCCTCAGGCCAATGAACCTCGGAGAAGGAAATTAGTACAAGTAGCAGTGTGACTAAATATTGTGGTGAAAAAGGGGTTTATGGTTATAACTGTAAAGACACTAGTCACCAGCAACCTTCGTATATTCTCTTCTAGATAGGATCTCATCTCAAAGCCCCTGAAAATGTGCTGTTTATACAGGTTTTCACACAGATGTCTCCTATCGCTCTGGATCATTCAACCCCCGTCTTAAACTAAACTAGATCAATCAATCCTGATGCACGACAGCATCCTTAGGCAAGATTAACCAGCTCACACCAGCGGCACCGAGTAAACCAACAAGCATGGGCTGTAGAACCTGGACACCAACTTGTCCTGCGATGATGCCTGTCAAAGCGGGAAAGACAGAACCGCCAATTTGGCCGAGTACGAAGACGAATGCTATGTGAATTGAGGTCAAAATTTAAGTCTTCAGCCCTGCGGACTCTAAGGCTGTGGGGGTGAGGCTTACCGATTGCCGAAGAGCGGATCTCTGGGGAGAAGATTTTGGAGCCGACCGATATGCCCTGAGTCAGGAGTTAGAGCTGGGATTAGGACACTAGAGCCGAGGATAGTTACCGTTGCAAAGAAAGGACCGGAGAAGAATCCCAATAGACTGACTGCTACTGCCTCGGTAATGATATTTGGAACACTGATAAATCACGGATGTTAGTAAATAGGGAGCAAGAACCAGGATGACAATGAATTCTTGGAGATGCCAAACTCACAGCCAGAATACCAACTGCAATCCCACACACAGCACGGCATAAATGAAGATCATTCTGCGCTCGCCGAATCTATGCGTAGGCTCGGCGAGGATAAGACGTCCTAGAAACGCTCCGCCATAGAAGCCGGCTGGGACATAACCCATTGATTTGACGTCGCCATTGCGAACGTTGACAAGATACTCGACCATCCAGCCTAGTAAAATTAGTCCCATAGATCATATAGAGAAGAAGAGAAAACAAACCTCCAGCGGTAATACTAGCACCAAGGAAGAAAAAGAAAAACAAACTCAGCAGCCAAACACCAGGTGTAGATAGAGTATCCTTAATCTCCTTGAGTGCAGAATCCGAAGCAGTTCTGCTTCCTCTCTCCCCCCTCAAAACAGTCGGAGTAGCCATCCGATCCCGGAAAGAAACACTCACAAACGCAAGATTCGCCACGCCCACACCAAGCGGGAAAAGATAAAACAGATACCACTTCGAATCGACATTCGCAGACGCCACGCCCGTCGCTACAAACGGACCGACCAGACACCCGGCCATGTACATAGCGTGGATAAAGCCGAGCCATCGGTGCGCACCATTCAACCCGGAGACGAAGGTGTTAGCATGGGTATCGTTGTAAGCTTGACCCAAGCTGGCGAGACAGAATGTTATCGCGTACAGTGCGAATGGAGGTTCCCAGGCTCGCAGTACTTGGGCTAGAACTTGGATGGCGGCACCCAAGCTGAGGATTAGGCCTAGGTCTAGGTACTGGGTTATTTTGCTGTTTGTTAGGGCGGCGATTAGCCAACCGAAGAAAGTTGTACCGTATCTGGTGGGTTTTAGTGTTGGATTGTAGATGAATATAGTTGGTCTGGTCTTACAGGACGGCTACCATGTTTGTGCCGATATCATAGGTGCGTATCACGTAGGGAATGAGCGATCCTAGACTTCCGTCGTTGACCCCCGCGACGAAAAAGGATAGACCTGCACTGAGGACTTTGGCATACATCCATTTTGTTTCTGGGGGACCTGAGTCTAGTATTTCATGCTCGACTGGAGCCGCTTCGGTGGACGCTCTTGTCTGTAGCACGATTGTCTCTGTTTGCGTTTGGGTGCTCATTATGGGATGGGACCTGAGATGTGTCTTGGATATGACAGGAGGATGGAATTCTATTTCCTAAAGCCAAAGAGGCCAAAGAAACGGCAATTCGGCCCGGGTTTGCGTTCGAAGGACAACAAATTCAATGCAAGCGGCCAGAATGTGGAGAAATGCGGAGAGTTGTCATTTCTAGCCCGAGGTTTAGCCGAACAGAGAGACGTGATATATAACTGTACATATATGTCAATAGGCAGTTCTGATCATCTTTGCACCACACCCAATCAGCACCGTCGAGTGCACCGGAACTCTTTGTAAGATCTTTTCGCACAGGGAACTCGATGTTGTTAGGATCCCAGGATAAGTCGGCAACTTAAGTGGAAGACATGTTGCTCTTAATGCAACTTGATATAGAGAGTCTGGAAACACTGTCATTGAGACTGTCAGAAGTGGACGGGCTTTCAGTCACAGCTCCATTGTATAACTAACACACGTAAGATGGGCAGCTGGGTTAGAGTGGTCCTGCGGTCTAGCGCCTCGTAGAATCAGATATGTAGATATCAGGATATGTTCTCCTATCTTCTACAGATGTTTTGTGCCTACCATTTGGATTTTGGAATTCATTGTGGCATACCGAGGTTAATCTCGACTATTGGAGGTGTATGGATGTCCGCATAGATCCAATTGTGGAGTGTAGGTTCCTCCTGCGGTAGTAATAGACGAGCGTACAGTAGTCAAGGAAGTGAATGCTTTATGTAGATTTTGTCCTAGGGCTTGACCAGGAGATTCGAGGGCCTTGGGTTACAATGCTGTATACATTGTTTACATCTACAAGAGAAGAAAACAAAATGATCGTAGGCCATCTGGCCTCGTTTTTTTTTGCCTTTTTCATTTAGGTCATTGAGGGAATTGCCCCAAGATGGTGTACACACAATACAATCTGCTCTATGCCGCGCACGAGAGATAGTAGTGCATTGGCCACTTTCTGCGCAGTGAAAGCATGAAAAGGAAATATCCACCGGATTCAGGTATTTCGGAAGACGCTGCAGAAAGGGTATGCGTGACAGACGAAAAAAAAAGAGATAACAAAGAAACACAAAGAAACACCCATAACTGCTATCGCAAGAAGTATCGTATGATCAACCCAGTATGCCCCCGGCCCCAGTTTGCCATTGCGCCGAAGAGAGACTAGAAAAGATTCAAGCGTGGTCATTCGTTTCGGTCATAGTCTTGTCACCCCAAATATGAAAACAAGATAGCAATCATCGCTAGAAGGACATGTAGTCAAAAAGATATCTCGATTAACCCTGGGATGGGACACCAGTGGACTCCGAGGTGACTCGGCCGCCGCGGCCACGGCCATAGCCACGACTGTAACCACCTCCGCCTCGACCACGACCATAGCCGCGGCCACGACCACGACCGCGGTAGTTGGGCCGGTAGCCATCAACGCTACCTTGTCCAAAGGTCTCCATATTGCGTTTCTCCTCCTCACCGCGCCATTCGCGACCACCTACACGACCGGTGTTTTCCTCACGATCACGAGCCTCGCTCGAAATATTGTCGAAGAAGGAAGAGCCGCGGTTGTAGCCGTGGTGCGAAGAGGCACCGCCATTTGACATGGATTCCATGGATTCCGCCTCCTCAGCTGCATGAGCTTCAGCTTCAAGAGCAGGAACCCCGGTAGCAATGGCCTCCTTCACCAAATCCTGCTTGTTGAATTTGGCGTTTGCAGTTTGGAAATCGTAATCCGATTGGGGGACCTCAATTTTCTTGTGCTGCTGCTGAGGACGAGTGCCACCGCGTCCACCACGAGGGTGGTGGTGACCGCCTCGGGGACCACGGGTGTTGTCGTAAGGGCGCATCTGATTCATCTGCTGCGCAAGCGCATCCACGACACCTTCGGGCTGTCCAGGCTGCTTCTGGGCACCGGGCTGCGGCAACTTAGCCATGGCGGCAGCAACGGCAGCGGTGGCAGCGGCCGTTGCATCGGTGATCGACTGGTTATTTCCCCGAGGGGCGGTAGGAATATGGGTAGTCGGAGGAGCAGGCTTTGGGGCAGCGATTGGGATAGCTGGCATGACTCGGCCATTCTTCTGAGGGACAGCAGTCAGAGGAGCAGTGCTGACAGGACCTTGTAAAGCTTCAGCCACTGTAGGCTTGGATTCGATCGGAGGAGTGGGGGCGTTCTGGGCGGCGGGAGTTGCGTTACGACTAGTAGGCTTGTTGGGGAGCTTCTCCTCAACCGGAAGTTCAGAGTTGGACTTAGGTGCAGGAGCGGCACCGGGAGGCCCTGGGCGCTGAGTTCCAGACAGCTGAGACCCAGGCTGCTGAGGCTGCTGAGGTCCAGATTGCTGACCAGGGCCAATGGGCATCGGAGGTTGGAATTGACCAGGACCGGGGGGAATCCATGGCCTGGAGGTGGGTACCATCCGGGCGGAGCACCGTAGGGCGGGAAACCGGGACCGGGAGGGAATGGAGGAGGTGGTCCGAATCGCTGTTGTCCGTAGGGTGGGTAATAGCCTTGCTGGAATTGTTGCTGCTGGGGGTAACCGGGAGGAGTTGGGCCAGCTCCCTGGGGTAGTTGGGGAGGGGCCTGGGGAGGAATATTCGGTGGGGCAGGTCCTGAGTCAGGCCCTGGGCCAGGAACCGGTCGTTGCATTCCCTATTTGCGCCAGTTAGCACGCTGTATACACAACGATGAGGGAAAAACAAGTCCAAGACGGGGAATTGATCATCAGAAGGAAGGCAACGGAAATCTCTACACGGTTTTGCGCATTCAGAACAGGTCTGTGAGTTTACATCCGAGAATTTTTCGTCATTTGATCAATTTGCCGAAACAATGGGCGGCGATTTCTTGTGCTGGATGACACCATAGATCGGAAAAAGAGGGATGGTGGTGACTTACCCCGAGAATAGCAGGGTCATCTGGTACCCGAGGTGGTTCTTGCGGTGCGGGATCCTTTTGGTCCTCCCCAGCAATGCTAATGTCCTTCACATCGCTTCCTCGAAAGACAATGTACTCATAGACACTGGTGGAGGGAGGGACTTCCTCGGCGGGGTTGCCACGGCGCCCTTCTGAGCCGAATGACATGACATTCTCGAGAGCTATCGTGGAAGCTTCGGGGTTGATTTCGTGAAGAGTACCGACATAGCTGGACGACAATTAATTGTGGGCAAAACAATACATAGAATCTGATAAACTCACCGAATGTCACTTTTCGAGATCAGGTTGAAACGCTGACTGCCAGATGTTAACTCCAGGCCACCTTCGCTCCGAACAGGTTCAGACTGACCCTATGAGGTGATTCATTTCCATGGCAGCTGGGCGCGAGTTCGCGCGGCGTAAGCAGAGGGGAGAATACGGAGGGAAAGGGGAAACGTGGAGGTCCGAACAGACGAGATAAGAGGTTGGGAAGAGAACGGAAGGGAGAGGAAACGCAAATTCTGTGGTTTTGTGGAGGAGTGCGGACTACGGTGGACGATGTAAGCTCGGATAGCAATTTGGTAGTTGGCGGGGGAGAAGTTGATGGGGAAAAATGCGAGCTGCTTTTAACGTTTGACTTAATTTTGAGATACTTGAGACACGATGACGACATCTTCGAATCGAGATCATTTCTTTCAGACATCGTGAGTCAAAAAGAAACATTTGGTCTTCGAATTGAAAATATTTTGATTGACATCCCTTATAGCGCATCTCTGGATGACCAGGAGCGGAAAGATGCCAAGGCCCAGAATACCAATGGTAGCCCTATTCGACTACAAGGGAAGATCCTAGCAGTTCATTCAGACCCCTGGAACACTGGTTCGATTTATGTTGCCCAAAGTAATGGCACCGTGAGAAGGATTATCCTTGCTGTAAGGCCGCCCGTAATCTCAAAATGTCTCAAAATCCCAAGTTCTCACACAACTATAGACTGGAGAAACAGCTAGAGTATTCACAGGTCCTATGGCTCCCGTTACTTGTCTTTGCTTGAGTCCTGATGGCAAGCTTCTGTTTGCTGGGTGTTGGGATAAAGCTATCTGGAGTTGGGACACGGCCACGGGCCAGCCACGCCAGAAGTACGAAGGCCATACCGATTTTGTTCGAACAGTTACCAGTGCAAGGCTGCTTGGAGACGATCTACTTATCTCCGGCGGTGCCGATGCACAAGTCTTGGTGTTTAACATCGCGAGTGGTGAGCGGTTGGAGACCTTCAAGGGCCATTCTCGCGGTATCCAGGACCTTGCCCTTGACCCAGAATCAGAGAGTACTCAACCCATCGTATTCAGTGCGGGGAGTGATCGGGAGATTCGTCAATTCAGTATCTTTGGCGGGGGTAGTACTACTGACCCTCTCCTTCCACATGAGACCAGTGTCTACAAGCTCTTTTTCGATAATGACGGTGATCTCTGGACTGCTTCGGCTGACAAGACTGCCAAATGTTTGGTTAGAGAGGATGGGTGGAAGGCCAATTTGACTCTCGAACATCCCGACTTTGTCCGTGATATTGTCGTCTATGAAACGGGAGGCTGGGTTGTGACTGCCTGTCGGGACGAGGAGGTTAGAGTGTGGAACCGATCGGTAGGTGTTTCTTTATTCTTTAGCGTTTCAAGTTTTTTGTGGGATACATACTGATCAAATTAGACTGGAGCACTCTACCATACTTTCTCTGGACACTTTGAGGAGGTCACTGGGCTGGTGCTTGTGGGGTCAACCATTGTCAGCGTAGGAATTGATGCGACCATTCGCCAATGGCCCCTTCAACCTGATGAGCTTCAGAGGGCAGTGGAACTTGCAAAGAAGCCTGCAGAAGAGGCGAAGAAAGAGGATGAAAAGTCAGCTGAATCGATGCTAACGGCGGAGGAAGAGGCGGAGTTGGCCGAGCTAATGGGAGATGATTAGATGATATGATACCCAATTGTGTTTTTGAGTATGTGTATACCTAGAAGAGACATGTACGTTGGAATATACAAATGAAGAACTATACAGAACCTACTCCGTAGTTCAACGTGCGGCCTCCTTTAGTGCCAACTTGGCCGAGGACCCGGGGAAAAGGCGGCTATGTGGGGCTAGTCACGGCTGCTGCGGGCTGGGCTCAGGCCTCTGACCTTTTCGCAGCTGCCCGGCGACCCATTTGAGGCGACTTGAGTTGTACAAAAGCCATGCCAGTTCCCCTGGTTTTTTCTCTCTTACTTTCCTCAGGTCTCCAGCTCCATGCCCCGGATTTCTGACACATCATATCGTTTGGAGGAGCAGGCCATACAACAAGGTAGGACTAACCTCCGAGTGCCCTCATCCAGGAAGACTCCTGGGTTCTAAAAAGAGCAGTATTGCGTATACAAGAATCCTTCCCCTTGACGCAGTTGGCATCCTTCTGCATGACCGACTCGCCCTTTGCTTTGTAGCTACTTTCGATCGAATCTGAGTCGCTAGGCTCAAGCTGCGTACGGTATAGGAGCCTGGACAAGGAAGTCGATGCCATGACGATCTATTAATACTGCTGTGATAGTTAGGATGTTGAACTGCTCGCAGTGCTACGACCTTGGCGTCTACAATGTTCGCTGTGGACAGTGTAACGGATCCGGTCGCGTGGTAAGCTGTGGTCAATGCAGTGGCGAGGGTCGGGTCTTAAACACGTTTCCTTGCGACAGTTGTCACGGCAATGGCTGCTATACATGCCACAATGTAGGGTCATGGTCCCGATATTCCCCTTGCCCAGCTTGTGGGGGCGGAGATAATGCATATTCCTTATGCAACGGATGCGATGGAGATGGGATTGTATACTGTGGTGTGCTTTGTGTTTGCGGAGCAGGAATTAAAGAAAGGCAGAATCGCGGCGAATTGTGACGAATCTGGGGACCGAGCCTCTTCCGAGAGAATGCCAAACGCTGGAAATATTCGGTGCGGCCAGAAGGTGCACAACCGAGTACTGGTCTCAATCACAAAGGGGTACTGTTGCTCGTAGCTAGATGTGACTTGTATTGACAACTGATGAGCTCCAGAGCCCATCCGAAAGAGTGACTATGTAGCTGTCTAGCTATCGGGTACTTGTACTGGATCGCATCCTTGTCCGAATGATTCCTTCATTACTTGTTAGATAGTAGTTATCGTCGAATCAGAAGCTTCGATGGGCGCCTTATCCTTGCCTCTTTTTCTTACCTAGAAGCGGTAGCAAGGCTTTAAAGAAGTCATCAGTATCTTCCTATTAAGGGTGAAGAGAATTAGCTTGAAGAAGGAGATCATTTCTTTGTCTGGGGTTTGTAATTGATCATTCAAGACTGATTACTCCGTACAATATACCTGCAACCGTGTAGTACCCACGTGATCTTCCTGATGCAGCCATGACGCACAGGGCCGATCTCCCGCGTCCACCTTCGCCTCGACTCCCCCGCCTAAAGGGTGGCCCGCACACGACTTTATTCTTCAAGACACGCTCCAACCCGTCTGTCTCACCGGGAAGAGATACTATTTATACCAGCCAACAATTTCTATCCCATTAAATCTCGATCGTGGGGTAGTCTATAACATAGAGTACTTTACCTACTACCGGAACTGGTGAGTAACCCCTCTTGGACTTCGGGGCCTCGGGCTGACGGACGTCCAGTCTCCGACCAGAAAAAAAAATATTGGATAGACGCGATGGCGGCCTCGATCAACCACGCACATCCGCGTCATAATGTACCGGAAACAAGCCCCCAAATGGTCAATCGCTTAGAGCAAAGCAAATCCCCTTATGTGAGAGATGTGTTCCCTTGTAAATTGCAACAAGCTCATGGAACAACAGGTCCGAGGACACATGAACAACCCGGTAGCATGGCAAATGTGGGATGCAGAAGCTTTGGAGCTTGCCAAGAAGCATAACCGTCTAATTTTTCTCAGCATCGGTTACTCCGCATGTCATTGTAAGTTACAGCGATCTCGCTGGGGGTACCGGGATTCTAATCTTGTCTAGGGTGCCATGTTATGGAAAAAGAATCGTTCATGTCATCAGAGGTAGCTTCGATTTTAAACGAGTCCTTCGTCCCGATCAAGGTTGATCGCGAAGAGCGACCGGACATCGATGACATCTACATGAATTATGTCCAGGCCACAACTGGTTCTGGTGGCTGGCCCTTGAACGTCTTCTTGACCCCTGACCTCGAGCCCGTGTTCGGTGGCACTTACTGGCAAGGCCCAAATTCAAACACATTTACGGGCCCCGAGGCAATCGGGTTTGTGGAGATTCTAGAAAAGTTGAGAGATGTTTGGCAGACACAGCAGCAGCGTTGTCTCGATAGTGCTAAAGAAATCACCAAACAATTGAAAGAGTTTGCCGAGGAAGGGACTCACTCGCAGCAAAGTGACCAAGATAATGATAAAGAGGAGGAGATGGATATTGAGCTTCTAGAAGAAGCGTATCAGCATTTCGCATCTAGATACGACTCGGTCAATGGTGGATTTGGCCGCGCACCCAAGTTCCCTACACCGTCTAACCTCAGCTTCCTACTCCGGGTTGGCGCCTACCCGACTCAGGTCAAGGACATTGTCGGGCATGATGAGTGTGAGCAAGCAACCGCGATGGCCGTCACGACATTGGTGAACATGGCTCGCGGGGGTATTCGAGACCACATTGGCCACGGATTCGCACGGTATAGCGTGACGGCGGACTGGGGTCTACCCCATTTCGAGAAGATGCTCTATGACCAGGCACAGCTATTGGATGTCTACGTAGACGCTTTCCGGCTCACTCATGACCCCGAACTTTTAGGCGCTGTATATGACCTGGCTGCCTACTTGACGAGCGTCCCAATACAATCCCCCACTGGAGGGTTCTTTTCCTCGGAAGATGCGGACAGTTACCCTCATCCAAATGACACTGAAAAGCGGGAGGGTGCCTTTTATGTCTGGTCGCTGAAGGAACTCACTTCAGTCCTCGGTCCTCGGGATGCTCCAGTTTGCGCCAAACACTGGGGTGTTCTCCCTGACGGCAACGTTCCGCCCGAGTACGACCCGCATGATGACTTCATGAACCAAAACGTATTGTCCATCCGCGCGACACCAAGCAAACTCGCTAAAGACTTTGGTCTTAGCGAGGAAGAAGTTGTTAAGATCATCAAGTCGTCAAAGCAGAAGTTGCAGGATTACCGCGAGCGAACACGCGGGCGGCCAGACCTAGATGACAAAATTATCGTGGCCTGGAATGGATTGGCAATCGGTGCGCTTGCCAAGTGTAGTGTTCTGTTCGAGGAGATCGAGAGCTCCAAGGCCGTGCAGTGTCGCGAAGCGGCAGCACGGGCAATTGGCTTCATTAAGGACAAGCTCTTCGACAAAGCTACAGGAAAGTTATGGCGCATTTATCGCGACGGAAGTCATGGAGACACCCCAGGTTTCGCTGATGACTACGCCTACTTGGCCAGCGGGCTGCTCGACATGTACGAGGCTACTTACGACGACAGCTATCTACAATTCGCCGAACGACTGCAAAGTGAGAAAACCTACTTTAGTTTCAAGGGGAAACAATGGCTAACTTGATGATTCTAGAGTACCTCAATGAATTTTTCTTGGCTCAGAGTGGCTCTGTAGCTACCGGATATTACAGTACACCTTCAGTCACCACCCCCGGCATGCCTGGTCCCCTCCTCCGTCTGAAAACTGGTACCGAGTCAGCAACACCTTCGGTAAACGGAGTCATTGCGCGTAATCTGCTGCGCCTGTCCGCTCTGCTCGAGGATGAGAGTTACCGGACCTTGGCCCAGCAAACGTGCAACACCTTCTCTGTGGAGATCATCCAGCACCCGTTCCTGTTCGTCGGGATGCTGGACGTGATTGTGGGCCTTCAGATTGGCACTCGCACAGTGACGGGTGTGTTCTCCACCGCCGAAGTCCCCTCGACACCTAATCCACGTGGCGACAGTCTCCTCAGTCGGAATGATCTGCCTATGTCGACACTTGACATAATCCGGCAGCGGATTCGGGAGGAGGCCGGCGTGGCCGTGTCCTCGTCTACCGTGGTCACTTCGCTCGTCGACATCCGCCCCTCACATCTCAAAGACTTTGTGGGCAATCAGTCCTTCTGGCTCAAATCCCGCAATGCCTTGTTTAAAGATTTAAAGGCCGCCGAGCCGGCCAAGAATTACTTGATGGTTTGTGAGACTGGGCACTGCCGAAATATTGATCTCTAGGTGAGCGCTATTGGGGGGGGTTTGCTATCTCTTGAATATTAAAATCAGGTATTTTTTTTTGTGTGGTGTTTCGGACGTTTAGTTGGGTCATGCTTTACGTTTCAGAGCGGATCTCTTGCCGCCCCCTGTGAACTTTGGATCTTGTGGGCTTCCAATGCCGGGAATGTGGAGGTAGACTAGAATCTACCGATACTCTAAATGGAGTACGGCAGATGCGTATACAGGCTAAAGAATACATTTGAATATTTTTTTTTCTCGCCGTACAGTGTTGGTATACAGTTAGGCGCCTTGTTCCACAATGATCCATGGACGATAGGTATACGGAGAAGTTGCATTGCCGGGATCTTTCCGTCTCGCCCTGATTGGTTCCCTGATGTTTCCAAGGTACCATGGAATCGCCGTCAACAAGGATGCATATGTAAACAATACTTAGACGGACCTCAATGTCAGTATAAGTTTCAAAACAGACCTCAGGAATGTTTCTGTTGATCACAAACTTCAGACTGGTGATACCTAGGTATACTGTATTCGGAGCCTTTTGCTGGCAAAGTCTGGAATGAGTGGCTGAAACGAGGTTGATTGTTTTAATCTATCTCAGATCCGCCCGCATAGACTAAGTTTCTTAGGAGGTTTAGTGGGGATGACAATCAACTCGAGTGATTGGCCATTGAAGCTACATAGTGGACACACTGAAACTGTTCCTGGACAAGGGGCTTGGCTTATTCCCTGGCTACGATCATACCTACGATCTATGCCTCTGACCTTGGGGATTTTCCCATCGAGATTTTCTCTCGAAACCCATGGCACTCTAAATGACCCTCTTTATTTCTTCTGATTAGCGCCGCTGTACGTATGCGGACTCCATACTTCTAGGCCCACAGGGTGATCTAGGGGATAAACATATCCAGGGGACACATCACACATCGTATCCTTAATCTGGCAAACGAAATTGCAGGTGAAGTCCCGGAGATTATTTGAGATTAGGCTCCAACTCTCCAGCCTCATATCTGGGACTGGTATTTAGGACTTGGAATGTACGGGGTAATATAGAATGTGCCACTTGGAGATATTTTCAAATCTCAAGGGGTTGGAAATTTCCCAGAGAATAAGTATAGGAGAGATCCATCGCAGTTTTTCTTTTTTATCCAATAATTCGAAGAATTTATAAGAGAGAATTAGTTCATTTGGACTTCATTTAAAATTAATATCCTTCTACGCACGGCCCCACCTCCTCCGTCTCCCCTTTCTACATTATTTACTCATTAATCCCCTTGCCTCTCTCCCTTCTCTCCAAGCCATTCAATCCTTTTTGCATCTGATCTTTCTTTCGCTCTTTGAAGAAAGGAGGTGTTTTTAGGCCTGCCATTCCTTTCTTTAACTCCACACTCCTTTGTCAACGCAGTCGATCTGCTTGAACCAATCCCGACCCTCTTTACAAACTTCCTGGAGAAGTTTCTTTATCTACAATCAAAATGCGTTCTGCTGTCATCCTTGCCGCCTTGGCGGTCGGCACTTGTGCCAAGGTTATTGAGAAGGAAGTTTTCGTGACCGACTGGACTACCGTCACCGTCACCACTACTGTCACTCAGTGGCCCACCAGCTCTGCCACTGTTGTGGCCAAGCAGGACCACACCAAGCCCGCCGAGGCTGCTCACCCCACTTTCGATGTCTCTCGAAAGGCCGCTGAGGTCGATGCCGCCCCTGCCGCCGCTTCTACTACTGCCGAGGTGAAGGAGGCTGCTTCCAGCACCACCTCGTCGGCCACCTCGTCTGCCACCTCTTCCTCCACCCTCGAAGCCAGAATTCAGCCCGTGACCACCTCGGCTACTACCGCCGCTACCACTTCGGCAAGCTCCAGCACCGCCGCTGCCACTGCCGCCCCCAGCGCCGGCAGCTCCTACCAGGAGTCCATCCTGCACTACCACAACATCCACCGCAGTGCCCACTCGGTGGACGCTTTGACCTGGTCCACCGACCTCGAGGAGGCTGCCAACACCGTTGCCTCGAGCTGCTCTTACGGACACGACACGTGAGTATTCCTTCCTTTTGCTTGGAGACACAACCGTACTGACCTTAGTAGTTCCGTCAAATCCGCCAGTGGAGCGTACGGTCAGAACATCGCCTACGGTTACGACAAGCCCGATGTCGGCGAGAAGATTATCAGTGACATGATGTACACCCAGGAGGCACCCAACTTCGAAGGCCTCTACGGTCAGGCCAGCCCCGATATGAGCAACTTCGCTTCCTGGGGTCACTTCTCTCAGATCGTCTGGAAGGGAACCACCCAAGTTGGTTGCGCCACCGTTAGCTGCCCTGATTTGAAGAACGTTGGTGGTCCCGCCCCCTACACTGTCTGCAACTATGGGTCCCCCGGTAACGTCGACGGCGCTTATGCCGAGAACGTCTTGAAGCCCAGCGCATAAACGTCTCGGGATATACGGAGCTGTTGATTTGGAAATGTCGCACCTGATATTTTCCTTGGGAAGTAATCTAACCCCATCGATCTGGTTCCAAACAACATGTCTTCCCCCTTCACTCTGTGACATCTGGATTTACTTTTCTTGTCTTTTTACCTTCTTCGTCATTTGCATGTCCTGCCTCAATTGGTCATCCTGCTCGGGAGCTTTACTTGAAAAAGAGACTGAGGACGAGCGGGTTTTCGCCATTGTGACCCATACTGTATGTATGCAAGCATGCTTTGTCCTTCTCTGGAGGACACATGGCCATGCAGATATTATTGTTCCATTGTGAATATTCTTTTGACTCCTTGTTTTCCGCCACTCTGGTGTTGCGGTGCATCCTGTGGATAACAAAATCTCTGGCGTCATTTTTTTTCTCTTTTGCGAGCGTGATGTGTACTGTGTACAATCCCAGCATATGTAATGAAGTTGTCTTGACATAGGATTTCGGACTGTAGTATGGAGTAGTTGTATATGGAGACATGGTTGTAAATACCCGTGGACTGTATGGACTATGACGCGCGTCCACGTGACTCCAAGCTCCCCCCGCATGACCGGTCCCTTCGCCCGAAACGTCATTGGGACATGAAGTGGGAGTGCATGCCGATATACTTCAATTTCCGAAGACCTTCGATGTCGGGTACACGGTAAACTCTTTCCTCGGTACCGGAAGATCTTTTATAGTTATTCAATAGCCAGTTGACCTTAAATTCCCAACTCCAACGGACTTCGTACATACCCCGAGCCAAGATATCTGCAACGTGCAGGGTCCATCGGTGATTGGCATTAACCTTGGAAGTAAGTTCTTAGCCTTGTCTATCCCGCATACTACCCTATCATCTCGCCTTTGATCGCCCCCCCACGGGTGGATGAGGGGCATCCTTCCAAGACAAAAGCCATTTCACCTTCATGAAAACCGCCGAAGGTGTGATAGCTACATATTACAAAACCTCTGAAGTCTCCCATGATACTGAAAGGGACTTTGTAGAAATGAATTGTTCACGGGGCTCTTTTCTTGGCAATTTGACATCTGACAGACGGCAGAAGTGAAACTCATCCGTTTCTCCGGCGCTATCATTCCGCTCTTCCACAGTATCATCCGGTCACACCAACCCGCATCTCGGGGTTGCATATCATTTGCATTGTCCAGTGCTCTGTAAGTCTATTGCTCAGTGGATGTCCCTTTTCCATTTCCCCTTAGGCCCGAGGCGGATCCACAGTCGTCGATATCGCTCTATAATCCCCCCCCATATAAGATTATCTTGCTCTCTTCTTGTCTCCCGCCACTTGATTTCTCTCATATCTCTGTTTGGGCTCATTTTGTGGCTTCCATTTATTCCCATACATCTCCTTTCATTCCCCTAACCCTTGCCCATCCGTCGGCATTTGCACATGACATAGTCTCAATGCCATCATACTGCCTCCAAGACTGCCACTACTTCTATCGCACTGCGCTACGCCTCCTGTCAATTCCCACCGTCCTCGCTAGTCCTTACGCCTGATTTTATATTGCCGAGAGAACTTGAACAAATCTAACATCATGTCTTACTCCTCCTTGGCAGTCAAATACTTCACAGCCCCCAAACCACTCGGTGATTCCATGGATGCCGACACAAACAAAAAGTCTGGGTCTGAGCCCCAAGGTCACACGGTTGTGAGACCAAATCTACCGGCCGAATCCTCCTCCTCGGAGGTTGCTGAACTTCACAAGCCCAAGAGTCAGGGCTTGACTTTCGCAAACCAGGATTCACTGCCTAAACTTCCCATCCCAGATTTGGAGGATACGTGTCGCAGGTACTTAGATAGTCTGCAGGGCTTGCAAAGTCCACGTGAGCATGAAGAGACCAAGTCTGCTGTTCGCGACTTTCTAAAGAATGATGGCCCTGTTCTGCAAGAGCGACTCAAGACCTATGCTGGTTCAAAGACGAGCTATATTGAGCAATTTTGTAAGTCTACTTTGAATCAAGGTTGAGATACACTGTCAGCTGATTATCTCTAGGGTATGATTCTTATTTGAATTTCGATAATCGTAAGTTGGCTTTCGTGTTTGGCGTTTTCTCTGCGGTCATCTGACATTTACAGCTGTTGTTTTGAACCTCAATCCATTTTTCCTTTTGGAAGACGACCCAACTCCAGCCAGGAATCACCAGGTCACTCGAGCTGCGTCACTGGTGGTTTCAGCATTGGCATTTGTTCGAGCTGTGCGTCGAGAGGAGTTGCCTCCTGATAGCGTGCGAGGAACACCTCTTTGCATGTATCAGTACTCGCGACTTTTTGGAACGGCACGTGTGCCTACCGATAATGGCTGTGTCATTAGCCAGGACCCCTCGGCTAAACACATGGTTGTTATGTGTCGAGGGCAGTTTTACTGGTTTGACGTCTTGGATGACAATAGCGATTTGATCATGAGTGAGAAGGATATCTCGCTTAACTTGCAGGTGATCATTGAGGATGCGGCTCAAACCCCGCTTCATGAGGCTGCCAAGGGTGCTTTGGGTGTGCTCAGCACGGAGAACCGGAAGGTTTGGTCGGGGCTACGCGATATCATGACGAAAGATTCCAGATCTAACAACGCGGAGTGCTTGAACATTGTCGATACCGCGCTTTATGTCTTATGTTTAGACGACACAGAGCCATCCACCACGGCTGATCTTTGTGCTAACATGCTTTGTGGCACAAGCGAAGTCATCAAGGGTGTCCAGGTTGGAACCTGCACCAACCGATGGTACGACAAACTGCAAATCATTGTTTGCAAGAACGGCAGTGCAGGTATCAACTTCGAGCATACTGGTGTCGATGGCCACACGGTGCTACGATTTGCCAGCGACCTCTACACCGATACTATACTCCGTTTCGCAAAGACCATCAATGGCCAATCCCCAAGCCTATGGGCCACCAGCAGCCCCGATCCAGCAAAGCGTGACCCGCACAGTTTCGGAAACGTTAGCACGACACCGCGTAAACTAGAATGGGATATGACACCGGAGCTTAACATCGCACTCCGCTTCGCTGAATCTCACCTCTCCGATCTGCTCTACCAACACGAATTCCAAGTCTTGGACTTCGAAGGCTTCGGCAAGAACTTCATAACCTCAATGGGCTTCTCTCCGGATGCATTCATCCAGATGGCCTTCCAGGCCGCCTACTACGGCCTCTACGGCCGACTCGAGAACACCTACGAACCAGCCATGACAAAGATGTTCCTGCACGGACGCACGGAAGCCGTGCGCACCGTAACACCCGAATGCATAGACTTTGTCACAGCATTCTGGGGCGAGAACGCCGCCGAACAAAAGGTCGACGCCCTCCGCACCGCATGCCAAAAACACACCGCCGCCACAAAGGAATGCTCAAAGGGCCAAGGCCCAGACCGCCACCTCTACGCCCTCTACTGCCTCTGGCAACGCTCCTTCGACGAGGGTCTCTTCCCAGACTCCAGCTCAACAGGCGGGTACTCCAGTCCTGGCGAAACGCAATCCCAAACCCAAAGCCAGGGTCCCGAATCACCGAAAACTTCCTACTCCTCCCCCTCAGAAGACAGTCTCCCCTCGGGAAGTAGCGCGCGCGCCTATCGCACAACGGCGCCCACGCCCGCGATTTTCGCCGACGCAGGCTGGGACAAGATTAACAACACCGTGCTGTCGACTTCAAATTGCGGAAATCCGTGTCTACGACACTTTGGCTTTGGCCCCACATCCGCCGACGGCTTCGGTATCGGATACATTATCAAGGATGACTCGCTTTCGATTTGCGCAAGTTCCAAGCACAGACAGACGTCGCGACTTATGCACACGCTTGAGTCGTATCTGTTTGAGATTCGGAAGTTGTTGCGCGCAACGAATCGCAAGCCGAGTCCGCGCACCAGTCGTGCGAGAGAGACGGAGGCGCTTGCCGAGAGTGCGCAGTCCGAGTTGCATCGGCGTGGGAGGATTGTTAGAGGTGGGGGTGCACAGGGTATTGATACGCCTACTTCGGCTGCTGATAGTAGTTATTTGGAGGATGATGGAATGGGCGGATGTAAGTCTTTCACTTCTTTTGGTGTCTTTGTTGCGGCTTGCTAACTTTTTATCTTAATAGATGGCTTCTTTGATGCTGGTATGCTACTTCATGCGCTCAAGGGCCTCAGTGTGGACCGGGAACAACGTGGAGAGAAGCCTGCTCGGCGGAGGTTTGTGGGGAAGAAGCTTCATCTCAACGATTATTGATCAGTAGAGAGTTGCTTTCAGTAAATGAAGTACGAATTTATATTCCTTATCCACGAATCCCTTTAAAAATTGCTCTTCTCAAGATGCGAAGTATAAAGAACAGCATCCTCGGCAAATGTGGATAAAGCTCCGAGCCCGGATTAGCCGACTTGGCTGAATAGCCTTCTTGACATATCTTGAAAAATCGACATTGTATATAACTCATTCCATATAATTACCGTGCCAATCTGCATGTGTATTTTACCCTGAACGTCATGACTCTACACGTCCTATCAAAACGGGCACCACAGTTGCGGATTCCCCTAACAAGGCGCTTCACAACTACCCCCCGCACCGCCAGTTATGCGGACACTCTGCCAAACCTCAAGATTGGCGCCCACACGAGAGTATTATTCCAGGGATTTACAGGTAATTGTCTCTTCTAATTGAGAAGACCTCGCAATGCATGGAATGCTGAACCCACTACAGGGAGACAAGCAACTGCCAATGTCAAGGAATCTCTTGAATGGGGCACTAAGATCGTGGGAGGTGTCAAGCCCGGCGTTGAAGGCGAGCATTTAGGTCTACCAGTCTTTCCATCTGTCAAAGCGGTATGAGTATTCTGACTGTTCTCACATTGGATAAAAAGTAATTCGACCAGTTGGCTAATAAACACAGGCTCAAGAACGGGCGAAACCTGATGCATCTGCAATCTATGTTCCGGGTAATCAGACAGCCAAAGCTATCGAAGAGGCTATTGAAGCGGAAATTCCGCTCGTCGTGGCTGTGGCAGAGCATGTGCCTATCCACGACATCCTTCGGGTATGACTTTGTTACTCATACCGGGGAGGGCTGGAGTATCTCGTTGCTAACAGTAATATAGATCCACTCCATGCTTCAAACCCAATCCAAGACCCGTCTGGTAGGTGCAAACTGCCCGGGCATTATATCTGCCATCGGCAAATGTCGAATCGGCTTCCAGCCATTGCCCTGCTTCGCGCCGGGCAATGTCGGTATCGTGGCTAAATCGGGGACATTGAGCTATGAAACTGTCGCGTCGACGACACGGGCTGGACTTGGTCAGAGTCTTTGTATCAGTATGGGCGGGGACGTATTGGCAGGCACGAATTTTGTCGATGCCCTCACACTCTTTGAGAATGATCCTGATACGAGGGGAATTATCTTAGTTGGTGAGATTGGGGGTACGGCGGAGATGGATGCTGCTGAGTGGATTAAGGACTATCGACGGAGGACTGTTGATCCAAAGTAAGTTATCGTGTCTTTTAGTATTCGGTCTCTGATTTTTCTGAATGCGATGCTAAGCTTGGATAGACCCATTATGGCCCTTGTTGGCGGGCTAGAAGCACCCCCTGGACGAATCATGGGACATGCTGGTGCTTGGGCTGCGCCGGGGGAACCAGATGCCGAAACTAAGTATCAAGCTCTTGAACGTGCTGGCGCGGTCATGGTCAACCACCCCGAGAAGTTTGGCGAAGGAATGAAGACTTTGTTCGCGAATCAATCTGCTCGTCCGGGTATAAGTGTAGGTGCGTTGATTTAATCCAATATGTTATATACTGACATACCCACAGTCAATGCCCAGGGCTAGCTCACACAAGCGTGGCTTTCATACTATGAGGCGAGTTACGCCAATTCCAAACCCGACAGGTAAACTCAGGCGTAACCTGTACATTAAGCAGTTCCAGGCATTTGATATCCTCAAGCAGAAGTCTGTCCCAGTCAATGACTCGGCTTCCGGCCTCGAAAGTTCTGTTTCTATTTCCATTGCAGTCGACCGAACAGCGTTGTCACCATGCATCATCGCCTCGCCAACTTCCGACTTTGATTCAGCTCAGTCGCGAAAGTTCCCATTTCCTTACACTCAGAACAAGTTGGAAACCTCCACCACCACTGCCGTTGCCTCACACCTGGGTCTCCCAGCGTCTGTTCATAAGCAGCTCTCAAGCTTTGTACAAACGCTATGGGAGATTTACAAAGAAAAAGAGGCATTTACACTAGAAACAAAGATTGGCATCTCTACTGATGGTGCTTTGGAGGTCCGCGATGCGCGTTTTGGCTTCGACGATGCTGCATTCCGTAGTTCCGGCCGACAGGAAGACATTCACAGACTTCGAAATATATCCGAAGAGGTCCCGGAAGAGGTTGAAGCCGAAAAAGACGGAATTGTCTACGTCAAGTATGAAAAAACCTTCATGACTCTAAAATCTTATCTGCATCTCTGCTAACATACAGTAGGTTGGAAGGCGAAGGCAGTGTTGGCACACTTGGTATGTATTCTGATCTATGTCCCGTTCAAAAAAAAAGTTGCTTACAATATCACGCAGTCAATGGAGCCGGCCTTGCCATGAACACGGTCGACGCCCTCACTATCCACGGCGGCCACTGCGCGAACTTTCTTGACACCGGTGGCAAGGCTACTTCGGAGACGGTCAAGGCGTCGTTTCGTGTGATTTGCTCTGATCCGCGCGTCAAAGCTGTCTTTGTTAATATTTTTGGCGGACTTACCCGCTGCGATATGATTGCCGAGGGTATTATCTTGGCTTTCCGGGATTTGAATATGAAGGTTCCAGTGGTTGTGCGACTGCGAGGTACAAATGAGGAACTGGGGCAGAAGATGGTAAGCGTTGATTTAAATGTCCATTGCTGTTGTCTAATTGCTAACTTGGAGATTCGCAGATTGCGGAGAGTGGTCTTCCCTTGCATGCATTTGATGGATTTGAGGAGGCTGCAAAGAAGGTTATCGCATTGGCGAAGGGCCAATAGTCGATTTACGGTGATTCAAAGTGTGTAAGTAGTTATACTAGATAGAATATATCCGTATAGATCCCGGTCTCAACCTCATGGAATGAATTACAGATGATCGTGATGTATCGCAATGGCATTATAGAGAAACCGGCCTATAAAATCGAACAATAAACTAGTCATCGACAAACATTGCCGCTCCCGATGCTATATTTTCGCAAAAGAAAGTGAAACCTCGCCAAAAATCAGCCAAACTCCTGGTACTTGCGTCTTCGCTCTGGCTCCAGAATAATGGAGCCATTCGCCTCTTTTATTTCCTTCACTGGTCCAGCATAATCCCCACGCATTTGCGGGAAGAAGTAACCAGGAGGAGTGATACATAATGCTATCACAGCGACAGCACACATTCTAGTGTTGATATGTCAGCTCTCTGCAAACCTTGGAATGCTTGACAGCCTGCCTTGACAAATTTCGACTTACATTGATTCAAGGATAGTGAAGTCAATTTCGTCCTGCATTATGGGATTTTTCCACCCACCAGCCATCTCTGCGATACTGGGAAATCCAACATCAGTACTTGGGTATCAAGATAGTTCGGCAAACAACTCACCGGTAGACACAACGAACATAAGTTGTGAGAAATGCCACAAGGATGCCCCAGAAAAATACCCAGAAACTGCGACTGTCCCAAACTCTTCGGGCCTCAGCCGTCATTTCATCTTTCGGGGAACCTCTTATACGAAGAAGAAAATGACCCGACATCACCGCAAATACCGTCAACGTAACGACTTGCCAAACAATCCCAGCCAACATGACATTGCTGCCTATATCATTGACACGTTGTGTCTTGGCTGCCGCTGCAAGACCACCCCCAACGCCTTGGAGAATCAACGAAATGATATCGCAGGTGACAAAGATGTAAGGATACCACTTAGCCCTCAATGTCGAGTATTGCTGGCCGAATACATTCACTCCATGCTTCAACGTCAGATATATGGCCGCCGACCAGAAAGCGGGTGCTATTGTTAACGTGCAAAGCTGTGTCTTGAAACCAGCGGATGAATATGCGTTTTTGTGGAGTAATATACGACCAAAATAGCCTGTTGTTTCGTCAATACTTTCCAGAGCAGCGGGGCACTCACTCTCATGGAATTGTAGTTTGACTTACCAATTACTTCAGTCGAAGAACCGAGAATCACGGCAATACTGAAAGACCATAGACGCCATTTGATCAGCTGGCCGATCTGTATCAGAGAACAAACACCGAATATTATGCAGAATTCAACGCTAAATACAATGTCCGGCGCGTAGCCGTAGATAGTGCCTTCGACTGGGCATTGAGGTGTCACCTCCGTGCATTTCACGGCTGCAGCGCGGATTTCAACCATACTTCTGGCATAGAGAAGATGGATGTGATCAGGTGTACTCCATATCAAAGTCACGGGGATAAAAAACTAGTTTCGATGCCCGCTCAATACTCCCATTAAAGAAAGATATTTATATATTTCTTTGAGAGATTATGTTGATGTCCACATTTCTCCGCCACGATAGTTCCGTTTCATATGAAAGCCAAGATTGCAGGGTCACCTTTATCCGATATGCACTAGTCGGGTCCCAAAGCTTTGAGATCAAGTTATATTATTTCTTCCATGATATCTTTCCTTCGCCCTACAACCTTGTGGCCTAGGCCTCTTTCAGTCCAATGGTAAACCCTTGCAAGTATATGCCAAAACCCGCAGATGATCCACTTTGCAATGTGTACATACAATTGCTGTTTCTTTGATAATCACAACCAGCTAGACTGGAGTTCAAGGGTAAAGTCTCAAACCTGCCGGAGGTGGGCGTGGAGGTATGCCAATACAGCGGAAACCCGCACCACATAAAACCCAAACTAAGATAAGTGGTAATTTCAGATCATAGAGAGATGGATGCTTATCGTGGTTTTCTTTCATGACTCAACGCAAACGGCATTTTTTGTGTTATAAAGCTCGTCTTAGTCTTACGACTGTACGCCCAGAGTCCGGAAATCGGAGATACATCGAATCCCTTTATACTCTGGGGGTGTTTGATTAAACAATCATTTTCCAGCCGTTAACAGAAGTCTGAGCTGGAGATACTCTAGAGAATAAATATCTCATGAGAGTCATGTACATCTACAACATGGTAAACCCACCAATCATTTTGTCAATGTCACGTGCAATATGGGCCTGGGGCATCTATTTTCCGGTCCGAAGTATACTAGCTGATGGGAACATAATTTGGCAATGATGAAGATGAAATATGAAGATCAAAAAAAATGTGAAGATGAAGAAGTGAAGAGAGCAATGAAATAAAAAAAGAGGATGAACGCAGCTTCGACGGATCGAACCGGAACAGCAAGGTAGTGGAAGATCTTTGGCACTTCCCTCGTGGTACACATTGTCATGTTACCACTAGGCCACCTGCTGTTGATTGATAGGTACTAGGTGACACTTCATTATCTCCTACACTTTCCTTGGTTTTTTCAAGGGCTTAATCACAGCTGGCACACCCAAGCACTAAGCGCTCTTTCGGAAGTGACCAGTCACGGATGGTTACTATGGTGACCCAACAATTATATATAGGGAAAGAACCGCTATAATTCAATTTCGGGGGCATTCTAAAACGTCACACTCTTAAGGTGAAACGACAGAGATCTCCAATTACTTGAAAAGTATTAGGGGGTCTGTAAATAGACAATACAAGCAAGAGTTAGTCAATCAAGGCTTGATGCCACAGGGGCGTCAAGTCTAGTACTCTACTGATGATTATACACACTCTACGCGTTCACTATAAAGCCCTATATATTCTGTCTATCTTCCATGACTATCAATTCATAAAGTGACTGAGAGATCATGTTCACACAAATTGGTAACTGCCGGAACAATATAGAGCTCTCTACGATGATTTAGGGAGCTCAGAGTCTCTGAGCCTAGTATCTCTTACTGTATGGTTTCGTTACAAATCTCACAGTTGATTTTCTCAAATGAGCCAGTCGTTCTATCTACTTAGTTCAAACTGTGTCAAAGGTGCTAATCACAATTCTATGGGAAATTCCTCTTCTCAACATCTCATAAGATCATAGTGATGATATCAAGTTGGAAGTAGCGTTTAAATCCCGGTACAGTATACCCAGTCTCATATAGAATTCTTAAAGGTCGTATCAAATTGATCGTTCAAGTGTTCAAATGAAAAAATAGATATAGTGACTCGGACTTGTTCCGGACTTTCTGAAGAACAAAGCCCGTCTCAACATCTGAGCTCAAAGAATAGGCCATGAACCCAGAGCCCTTCCCAACTCCCACCGACCGGGAATCATTTCCTGAAAAGGGCGATTACCGCGGGTGTCGAAGAAGCCTCCGTAATGCATGGGCACTGGATTGTGATGTCGAAGTACTGCAAAAGGTTGTCTTCAGCTCCGTCTCACTTCGCATTTGTAGCTCAGTATGTGGGAATTCCCTTGGATCCGATTGTTTTATATATAGAAATTGGAGCCGGAGGAATATATTTTCCAGTACTCTGTTAGGTGGCGTTCCGGGCGTACCAACTCAGCCTGAGATCTACCACTGGTGGGGTTCCGAATTCCCCAGACATCGCCACTACATGACTCGATTATGTAGACTCCATTGGCAAATCTGGCAATGGTTTGGCGGAACACGCTGGCCAGGGCGACTATGATAACAATGGCATACTTCATATTGTACTTTGAATATGCCCCATTAGGCAAAGGGATATTGATGCCTGACAATCCTGAGGCACAAAGTCGAACCAAGGTCTAGCCCTTCTCCACGATCGACCATGTCCACTGACGCCATTAATTCTATTTCTAGATGACACAACCCTTAAAATTCCGAGTATATACCCGGGGACATCCTTGAACACTTTTTTCTATTTACTCCCATCTACACCCGTGCCAGTGTCATGTCTGATCCAAGCGCTGAACTCCAATCCGCTCTCCGCAGCCTGTCCATAGGTGAAAAGGGCCCAGTGCAAGACATTCCCCGGCCAGACGTGAAAAAACTCTCCACAGCAGGCGTGACTTCACCCCCCAAATCCAACCACAAGATACAGCGCAAACCCGTTGCAGACTCCTGGGAAGACGAAGCAGACCTCTCTGCTCCGGAAGGCGAGGACGCCCAGCTCCATGACGAAGACACTACTGGAGTACTCTCGCCAATTGTCAGCGCCGAAGGACCGCTAGATCCCCCACCGACACCTATTTCTCCGCAGACATCCGCTCCGTGGATGGCGAGAGCTGCTTCTCCTGCCTCGGCACAGGGCCCTCCTACCCGTCGTCCGGAGAAGCAGACAGCCGTTGCGGAACGGATGATTGCCGGCGCGTTGGGGATCCGCGCCCCAAAGCGGACTGAGCAGCAGCGCGCTTACGATCGCTCTGTTAAAGAACAGGAAATTCGGAGGCGAAATCGCGAGCGCGAGGAAAAGGCTAAGGCTAAGGAGGAGGAGGAGAAGATGAAGGCTTCTATTTGGGACAGTTAGGTGAATTTTGAGGGGATTTTTGGCATATACAAGGCGGTTTTGGCTCTATACATGTGTACATATCTATTGAATTTGCATTGTGTATATTTATGTCTGCTCTCTGCATGGTTGTCATGGGTGAACCCGGTGGTTCTTCATTGTTTTGTGTGCTTTGGGCTTTACTCCATTCAAAACGGATCTGGTCCATCAATTTGATGCTGATGAGACAACTGCGGGGTTCGTTGGCCTTGGAATTGATTACCTGATGACTTATTATTATAAGGCGACTATTGATGTCGGACCTAGTACAAAACGCTATATTGACGAGCAAACTTGCAAAGATCTCAAAGGCCATTCAAGGCAACAAGAGCTGTTGCGGCAAATATGTTTCCTGTAAAGAAAAGTTCCCACTACTTTAGCACAAGCCCCCTGTGCAAATAGAAGCCTCAAAATCAGAACTATGGCTACGGAATGCAGTCATGTTGAACTCGAGGGAAATTTAATATAGCGCGAAAGTACTTTCAGTCTGCAAAGAAGACTGGGTGACTTTTGATAATCATCATTCATAAGAAAGGAAAAGCAGTATGAACGCCCCCCCTTCACCCACGGGCCGTCAAATGGGATTCTCTATCCACTGCTGGCCATCAGCCCAAGCATATCCCGCCACATATGTCGCTCCAGCTTCGGTTACGTCGGGAAGTGCTACTGTAGCATGCAACGCTCGTCTAGCAGCCTCCGATCTGCTCCTGGTGAACCTCCAGGGTATCTCCATCAGCCATATCAAGCTATTTGCAGTCAGTTTCAATTTCCCAGACACCAATGGATGGCAACAAAAAGAGGGAGAAGCTCGTACAGTCTCGGGCGAATCTTCAGGGCGAACCCGGGTGCCGTCAAAAAGGAACCGAACAGTAGAGATTTGCTTTCCTTGACGGTCGCAGAAGGCATCCATAAGCTTCTTCAGTTGCGTTGTACGCTTGATCTTGAAGAAAACTTCGTTGTTGTTATCGGTCACCTTGATGTTCAAGTGCTCAGTAGGAGGAGCGCCGCCTTCTTTGTCGGACATAATGATGACTGTTGTGGTCTAGAGCTCGTTAGACGGCTACATCGCACAGAGTATGGAATAGTGACGAGACAGAATGCTTACAACGGTAAACGCGAGTTCAGGAACCTCTTCGAGCGGGGCTTTGGATGTCTGAAATGTTCAAAGATGGTTAGGTCATGATTTCAAGTCGATTTAAGCCAACCGAAGGATGAGGTACTCACCTAGAAAGCGAAGGCTTAGAAGCGAGACAGCGAAGAGTGTGGAAACGGTCAAGTTAGAAGAGAGAGGAAGAAGAGAGATCAGCGGCGGCGGCAGAATAGCACCCTCGCCCCACGGTCTGAAGGCGGAGAATCTATTTTGCGTTTGGCTCTTCTATCACTTTCGTCACTTCCAAGGAACAGTGTCTCCAACATTGCTTTGTACAGTCTTTGAGCATTGCATTATGGTATGAATATCGTCACTTGAAACATATTGCCTGAATGCTGAGACTCTTGTAGGATAATTTAAAGCAAGATCTATCGCACGATCAACCCTGCCATCCGCGTGCTGTATGTGTCCCTGTCCTAAACCGTCCATTTAGAGTGGTCCACAGATATTGCTAGCTCTTACTGACACTGCAAATAGTGCGCCATCCAAGGTATTTCCCAATTTAAAGCATGTTCACACAAAGCCTAACCGAAGCTAGATTGCTTGCAGAAAAACTCATTTGATGAGTCCAAGTGCCAAGCACAAATTGATGCGCTATACGAATGCTGCAATGCCTTTTACCAAGAGCGAGGCGACCAGGCATCTACAGTCAGCTGCCCTAAGGCGAATTTGCTGCGGTTGAAGATGAGACAACGAGCCCAAGCAGCAGAGAAGAAGTGAAGCCGTTAAGCCGTTACTTTTTAAAATTCAAGTGACCCATGTCGAAGATGGTGGATGTCACAATTCCCTTGCGGTCTGAGTTTCCATATGGAGGAAACCAGGCTAATTGAAGAACTGCATTTATTATAAGACAATCGTGAGCACGCAAAGAGGCCTCAAGGACCTGTACGAAAATTGAGTTTTCATACCGAGACTCTAATGAAAGCCTATAGACATTAGAGAAGAAAAGAAAAAGAGAACAGAAGGGCGCGGGCGAAAATTCGTTGAAATAGCTGCTGGGGTTGGCGCTAGTCTATTTCGGGGTTAGCCCGTCACGAAAACCAAAAGAGACAAACACAACTTATTCCAAGTCTCTCTCTCTCTCTCCTCCCCAGGGCTCTCTTCTAACCAAAGTCTTCCATTATGGCGCCTTTAACTCGATCGGCCGCCGGGGCCTCCATATTTACACCGGTACGACCATTTTCTTTGCTCTTTGCTTCTTGTCTAATTCTTTGTATAGGTCCCCCAGCCGCATAGACAAACCGAGGTCATCAGTATCGACGATGATTCGCAACAATCTTTCGATGAAGATGAAGAATTGGATGATGAAGAACAAGTTTCGGAGGATCAATCGGAGGATCAATCGGAAGACCAGTCGGAAGACCAAGATGGCATGGACGAAGATATGGATGGCGACACCGCATCGGAGACTGGGTCCGATGTTTCTGATCCCGAGCCTTCTATGCAGTCTACCTTTGGGATTTCCGCCAAATCTCAAGGTATGTTTCAAGAGCTACTCTCTAGATCTCATTTGCTAACTTTGTTCCAGACACTCCGCTATTCACCGCCGCAGGCGCCCAGGAAGCACTGCACCCCCTTCGCCGGACGGCTGACCGCGTCACTCGCCAGATCGAAGCATTTGCCGACAAGCTAGATCAGTTCAAGCGCGACAATTCAACCGACGATTTCAACAGCGCTCAGGCAGCTTACAAGCTCGTGCAGAGCTACCGTGACATCGCGAACAATGCAATCAAGGAAATCGAGACCCAACAGAACGTTGACCGGACAAAAGCAGGTTTCCGGTCAAGCGGATCGCAAGACAGCAAAAGTTACGAGGAGATACGGCGATTGCAACTTGAAGCCGACACTTGGCGCCTGCTTCTTAACCTGATCAGTATTGACGACCCCTCCAGCCGGGCCAGTTACAAAGTAGGACGGCAGACAGCTTTCCAGAACCTTCACCGGTACTCGAGTGATCGTGAGATTTGGGAGGAGTTCCTCAATGCCGACCAATATGGCCTTGAATGCGTGGTTGCCATGCGATGGTTGGAGGAGACCTCCAAGACAGCAAGCCAAGAATTCGATACCCTGATCACGGAAATGGAGGGACAAGCAGAAAGAGGCCAAGGACTGTGGACAACCGGTTGGCTTTTTACCAAAGAAGCGATTAAGGGCCACAAACGTTTGCGCGCCTGGCCACAACCTCTCGAGCCCAATGACCCTGGAATCTCGCGCTCGCTTTTGAGCAACGATGAACAGAAGCCACTTATCACTCAACTCGATCCCGATGCCATCACTCGTCAAAAGCACAGTTTACAAAAGCAGGACGAATTCCACGAGCGCGCTACCTGGATATCTTGCTGGAAGATGCTTAGACAAGGCGAGAACTGGACTAAGATTCGTGAATGGGCAGAGACCCGTCTGGAAGGATGGAGGGCTGTCAGCTTGTGTGGCTCTAGTGTGGATCCCAAGTCAGGAAGTTCTCGATATCCATCTGACGATGGGCACACACGTTTGATGAACAGTCGATCTCACGATTCATGGCGCACCGCCTGCGCTGCGCTAACGCGCGACCCCAATACTGATGAATTTCAGCGAGCAGTCTATGCCTTGCTCGCTGGTGAAACCGATGCTGCAGCCAGTGTCTGCCGCAGCTGGGACGACTTCCTTTACGTGTACTTTAACCGTGTCGTGCTCTCCCGCTATCAGGGATTTTGCAAGCAATTCCAGCGGAAGCTCAGCCACTCTCCCAACACCGCCGTTGCCTTTCAGCCGGAACCGGCTGGGCACGCCGAACTTCAGAAGTTCCTCGTCTATCTCAAAGGCAATGACCGAGTCAGCGGCGAAGCGCGCAATCCGTTCCGCAACATCCAAGCCACTATCCTCAGCAAAGGCTACGATTCATTCTTCACTTCTTTGGCTCAAGCTGTATCTCAAGTCAGCGCCGATAAATATGGGAAGAATTCTGTCATCCCTGACATTGTGCGCAAGCCAGTAGATGAGTCTTTCCTCATAGCTGCCGATGATGAAGAAGCTCTCAGAATTGCAGCTCATGTTTACGTTGTGGCCAGTGCGAGGGGCTACGCCCGCGCGGATGCCCACTTCGTTGAAACGGCGTCGGTGATCTTGGCTGGGCATATTGCCAACCTGGAAGATAGGGGTCTATTCCATCTTGTCCCCCTTTACGTGTCTCTTCTCCCCGCAACGATGGGACACCAAGTTCTATCCAAGATTCTGATTGAAATTGTGGACCCACAAGAAAAGGTCCAGCAAGTTAAGCTCGCGCAGAAACATCAGATTGACATGGAAACTGTCCTCGATGTCCAATGGGCGTGGGTGAAGGAGAATGTATCTGCGATTGAACACTCTAGAGGCGTCACTGGCTATTCCAGAGTGCTTCGACGACCTGACGGTTCCCGGGCATTGGTATCACCTAAGACCGACCTGATTGGGACCTCCGTCGCTCCGGAAGACGACAGGATGATTCGCAGTCTGGAGTGGCTTCGCTACATAGATGGACAGTGGGATAAGATTTGCGATCTTGGATCCTGGCTGTATCGCAAGTTCTTCCGTATGTATTCGTTCCTGCTGTTGCTGAGGATCCGCCGAACTGACTTTTACTAGTTGCTGATAAGCTTGCCGCTGCTCGCGAGTTGAGTTTCCGTCTTCGGTTGGCTGACATCTCAATTGAAAAATTCGGATCCGATATCATTTCCATGCCTCCGCAGGAAGTAGGACATACCGAAGCAGCCACACCAACTAGTCCCAGCAAATCAAAGAGGAACAGCCTCCACCGCCGAAGTCTGTCCGGCTCCAACAATGTTGCACTGGTTTCAGCATATTACCGAGCTCACCGGGTTTTAGATCTGGAGAGTTTGGCTCTCGGGTTCGATGGGGTGGAGCAGTTTGCCTTGGTGCACGAGCAGATGTCCAAGTGAGCCTTTCCTTTTCCTACTTCATCTCACCACCAAAGCTAATCAATTTAGGACCAAACGCCGACGTGACTCGGGCACCTTGAATGGCATGGGTCAAGACATGAATGAATGCGTGGCTGTTTTAGAAGAATGGGTTGGGCAAGTAGTCGCTGAAGAGTGGCTGCCCACATCTACTGATGGTATGTACCTGATGTCGCGGCATTGGAAACTCAATACTAATCTATTTTTACAGCCGAGGAGGAACAAGACTTTGAGTACATTCGGACAACCTACGTTCCAGAGCTGATTCTTGATTGGCACAATGCCTTGTACTACGCCAGTCACACCCTCGAGCGACACGATCTGTTGACATCTTGCATGATTGTGTCTATCTGGGTCGCAAACTACGAGCATGTCACTCGCGCCTTTACAAAGTCACGACGCATGGCTGAGCTCGTCGATGTCCTTGCTTTGTCGAGCAAGGCCTTGGTCATCCGAGACTCCACCCAGCGCAAGTCCTCGATGGACCACACAACCTTTGAAAAGGGCCAGGAATTGAAGATCTGGGATGTCACGATCTCCGAAGAAGAGAAGAAGAGGCTTGGGATTGTATCGGACCCAGACCGCGAACAGTAGATCAGCGGCAATTTGTTCTGTGTACATTAGCATGGGATTTGAGTGGTTTTTAGTTTTTTAACGGCAAGGCTCTGATACGAACGAAACTGGATCAAACATGGAGGGACAGGTTACTTTATTTTACTGTTACATGTCAATAGGACATCTACGAATGCATCGACATCGTTTGTCAACAATATAAGTTTGATTGCGGTTTTCATTATGTGTTACTCGTTTCTCGTCACCTTGCCTATGCCTAGCCACTAGTAGGTCATTGGTATCAAACCCGGAGGTTAAATTATGAAAGAACACTACCTACATACACTACACATGGATTAGGCACACTAAAACGTACCTAGTCACTTATATGGCGCCATTGGTGTATTTCCCAGACAATCAGCGGGGAATTTCTCGCCTAAAGCGGTGGTTTGTGCCCAAGGCTTGAGACACTTCTCTCGCTGGATTGTGGCTGCAACGCAGTGGCTCGAACACTTGCGCAGGAAATGCGTCACGACATACTCGATACATAGTATCTGCATGAAGGAGATCGGGTTCATGCGCCGATGCTATCTGCAGATTAGTATTCAGAGATCAGCTGATGATCTTGTATTGCGTAGACCTCAAGTCAAAAGTTTCAGAGAAAGGTCAGGTCTTTGAAGCACAATAGACATGAACATGGACAGCAAGAGAACAGCAAGAGAATAACATGGGAACAGCAGTCATCTAGGTGTCTCAGTAATTGTACGAGGTATAGTTGGTATAGTTGCACAGATGGATGCAGAGAGGATATCTTAACCGCATATAGACATCAATTGACAAACATATACGGAGTATATACCTAATGTCATCGCTGGCTGCAACAACTGTTCCACAGCAGTAATGCTACCCACAAACGACAAATCCCGATGTCGAATGATCGCCACATTCTCCTCCTGTTTACGCGGGGCCATCGCCTCACTCAAGTACGGACAGGCTCCCCGATCACGGCCATGGACAACCCTACATCAGCCTCGTCTTCGTCTTCGTCTTCGTCCCCGTATCATTCTGCCAGACACGCAATGCCAACAGGCCGTCGAAGAAGTCAAAACTCCGTCTGGTGGTATCGGCCTGCGTGATTCCAATTTTGGTCCCAATAGCATGTAACAAACAAGGATAAAAGTCTCATCACAGTTCTAGTCCACAAACGGGAATTAGTACCGTTTGATCGCGAGCCCAATGTGGTCAACCTGTCGTCAGTGGTATGTTCGGGGAGGCGCGTGCGTGCATAAGCGTTGATGCGCTGGGCTGTGGGGTTGGGATTGAGATTGGGGTTGGGAGGTTGCGAGTGTTAAAAGGGTGGGGACGGTGAAGCCATATTTGCTGGTTGGGTTGGACCTTATGAGGGATATATAGGTCCACCTTGTAGCTATAGATGCCCGATTGGGAGGCCCTTTTTTACGGTTCTAAGCCTGTGATTTTCATCCCATACGTTCTATATACTCGATACGCCGTACGATGCAAGGATGGTCTGAGTGTGGCTGAGCTTTCCCGAACTTGTTTCCGGAAGCAGAGTTTCTTCGACGTGTCAAAGGGAAATAGGGGACGTCACCACTTTCGAAGTTCTATAGACACGTCTTTTGTACAGAGAATTCGATACAGAGTCCTCCATACAGAGTCCTTCGAGATGAAAACTCCGATCTTCCAGTCAACAATCGTCAAATGAAAAAATTCTACCCCTTATTGTCCGAATCCAGGTTTTGGGCATGTTGATGTCTTGGCAATGAGGCAGTGCAGAACACATATTTGGGTACGGACTCCGTATACAACGAGGTATTGCGGTCGTATTGTGCTCCTTAGTTATTCATACCAACGAATTTTTCTCCCTAGAATGCATAAAATAGTAGAGGTTGAAGGGGAGTTTATAGAGAGTCCTATACAAGAACGGGGTGCAAGACCCGGGTGGAGTTCAAAATCCAAAGAGAGGAAGTTCTCGACCATAGTGGATAGAGAAACTTGACGTTCCCGGGGGGCAATACATGATTGCCGCTAAGCTCGCCTCCTATCTTGTTTCCTTGCAAGTTCCAGCCCTTATGATTCTTTCTACTTTCTCCTTATCCACAGGAACCCGCCCATACACCCGGGTGTGAGCCACGCATGAATCGATTGTGAACAGACACTGCCACGATGTCTGACCGAAATGATGAGCCAGGCCAATCGAGCCTGCGCAGAGAGCGCGCGCCGACCATTACCATCGACACCTCAGCCGTAAACTCCCCCGATTCCGAATACCCTCCTGTCCAAGTCCTCTCGGGAGGATCACACAACTATACCGATCACGCACATGCTACCGACACCAGCGCACTACTGAACAATGGCAGTGTCTCCCCCACCGATATGCGGTCCACGGCCTCAATTCGATCCAATGCATCCTCCGAAGCTCGTGACCTAGAGAGTCGCCCGACGTCACCCCACAATATTTCGTCACCCAAGTCGAAAGCGCCTGAGGCGCATTCCAACTTCCTTTCTGTCCCCGGAGCACGCTCCCGAGGCAATTCCCTAGAGTCGGACGAGACCAGCCAAACATCGAGCACCTATGGGGGCGAGACATATGTGCCCTCCACCTCTCACGAATCGAGATCGGATTTGGCCAAGCACGCCGCCACAAACGACATACACGATGAGGATGCCCTGACCCCAGACCCCGGCCGCGAATCTGAGTTCGAAGTCGAGGATAACAAATTCGCTTTCTCGCCTGGTCAGCTGAACAAGCTTCTCAATCCAAAGAGCTTTGCCGCCTTCCATGCGTTGGGGGGCCTGCGAGGACTAGAAAAGGGACTCCGAACCGATGTCAAAAGTGGCTTGAGTGTTGATGAGACAACCCTGGATGGAACTGTCAGCTTTGACGACGTTGTCTCACCTGCCTCACCCACGTCACCAAATAATATACCCAAATCTGCCTCGCCGAAGCCATCACCGCCAGCTGCCCAGAGCTCCATCATAACCCAGGGCGGAGAATCCTTCGCCGACCGCAGACGAATCTACGGAGACAACAAGCTTCCAGAGAGGAAGTTGAAGACTATCTGGGAGCTTGCGTGGATTGCCTACAACGACAAGGTGTTGATCTTGTTGACAATTGCGGCTATAGTTTCACTTGCTGTGGGAATCCCGCAATCGATCCATCCCGCAAATCCTGATGAACCGGGCGTTGAATGGGTCGAAGGTTTGGCCATTCTCGTGGCCATTATTATCGTGGTTACAGTCGGTGCAGCAAATGACTGGCAAAAGGAACGACAATTCGCAAAACTCAATAAGAAGAAGGAGAATCGACAGGTCAAGGTAAAGCGATCCGGCCGAACGGAGGAAATTTCCATTCACGACGTCTTGGTTGGCGATTTGATGCTTCTGGAAGCCGGTGATATGGTCCCAGTTGATGGGATTTTGGTCGAGTGCCACGACCTCAAATGCGACGAATCTTCGGCGACTGGCGAGTCTGATGTCCTCCGTAAAACCCCTGGCGAAGAAGTGTACCAGACAATCGAGAAACATGAAGACCTGAAGAAGATGGACCCTTTCATCATTTCTGGTGCCAAGGTCTCTGAGGGCGTCGGCACCTTTTTGGTCACCGCTACCGGTATGCACGCTACCTTCGGCCGGACGATGATGTCCCTCCAAGAGGAGGGCGAGACAACGCCTTTGCAAACCAAGCTCAACAAGTTGGCTGAGTACATTGCCAAGCTTGGTCTCGCTTCTGGGTTATTGCTGTTTGTGGTTCTTTTCATCAAGTTTTTGGTTCGTCTTAAGGATATCGAGGGTGGTGCGGACGCCAAGGGTCAAGCATTCCTGCAGATTTTCATTGTTGCTGTTACAATTGTCGTCGTTGCGGTGCCGGAAGGTCTACCACTGGCTGTCACCCTTGCTCTGGCCTTTGCCACGACACGAATGCTTAAAGATAATAACCTGGTTCGCTATCTCAAAGCCTGCGAGACTATGGGTAATGCCACCACGATTTGCTCCGACAAAACAGGAACCTTGACAGAGAATAAAATGACAGCAGTGGCTGCGACGCTAGGTACAACGTCTCGGTTCGGAAAGTATTCTGGTGTGTCGTCTGATGATCAGAGTGAGATTACCGCGCCCGATTTTGTCTCTACTCTATCTTCTTCGGTAAAGGATGTTCTACTTCAGTCGATTGTCTACAACTCAACCGCATTCGAAGGCGAGGCAGATGGAGTCAAGACATACGTTGGATCCAAGACAGAGACCGCCCTCTTGACTTTCGCTAGGGATTACCTCGGAATGGGGGTCCTTAGCGAAGCGAGAGCAAATGGCAAGCTCGCCCAGATGTTCCCATTCGACTCTGGCCGAAAATGCATGGCAGTCGTAGTCCAATTGGAGAATGGAAAATACCGAATGCTAGTCAAGGGTGCCGCGGAGATTCTAGCCGCCAAGTCGACCCGCATCCTCCGAGACCCCACTGACTCTCTGTCAGAGACTCCTGTTACTGAGGAGAACAAGACTGCACTGGACAGCATCATGAACAACTACGCCACCCGCTCCCTCAGATGTATTGCGCTGGTTTACCGTGACTTCGATCAATGGCCACCTCGTGGCGCCCCTACCGCGGAAACCGATCGCAACCAGGCAGTATTCGAACCTATCTTCAAGGACATGGCAATGTTGGGAATCTTTGGTATTCAGGACCCTGTCCGAGAAGGTGTTGCCGAGGCAGTGCACACATGCCAACGTGCTGGAGTGTTTGTCAGGATGGTGACTGGTGATAACATCGTAACGGCCAAGGCTATTGCCCAGGAGTGTGGCATCTACACACCTGGCGGTATCGCGATTGAGGGACCCAAATTCCGCAAGCTGAGCACACGCCAAATGAATCAAATCATCCCAAGACTCCAGGTCATCGCCCGCTCTAGCCCCGACGATAAGAAGATCCTGGTCAATCAACTCAAGAAGCTTGGAGAGACCGTTGCTGTCACTGGAGACGGTACCAACGACGCTCAGGCCCTCAAGAATGCCGATGTTGGTTTTGCAATGGGTGTCACTGGTACCGAAGTTGCCAAAGAGGCCTCTGACATTATTCTTATGGATGACAATTTCTCATCTATTGTCAAGGCTATGGCATGGGGTCGCACCGTCTGTGACGCCGTCAAGAAGTTCCTTCAGTTCCAAATCACCGTCAACATCACCGCCGTCATTCTCACCTTCGTCTCTGCAGTGGCTAGTGATAGTGAGGACTCTGTGCTCAGTGCAGTACAGTTGCTGTGGGTCAATTTGATCATGGACACGTTTGCCGCTCTCGCTTTGGCGACAGATCCTCCTACACCCACAGTACTTGACCGCAGACCCGAATCGAAAGCCGATCCGCTCATTACTCTGACAATGTGGAAGATGATCATCGGACAGTCTATCTATCAATTGGTTGTAACTTTCGTTCTGAATTTCGCCGGATCCAAGATTTTCTCTTGGGATGAAGGGCATCTGCAGACTGTGGTTTTCAACACTTTTGTCTTCATGCAAATTTTCAACCAGTACAATTCCCGTCGTATTGACAACAAGCTCAACATCTTGGAAGCAATTTTGAAGAACCGTTGGTTCATTGGTATTCAGCTCATCATTATTGGGGGTCAAATCCTGATCATCTTTGTTGGTGGCGCTGCCTTCTCCGTCAAGCGTCTTAACGAAGGCTCGCAATGGGCTGTGAGTCTTGTACTTGGAGCGATATCCATTCCCATCGCCGTGATCATTCGTCTTATTCCAGATGAATTCTGCGCAAGGCTCGTTCCCCACTTCTGGCATCGCAACAAGGGTCCCGAATTGGTCATCTCAGACGAGGACCGCAATTACGAGTGGAATCCCGCATTGGAAGAAATCCGCGATCAGCTCGCCTTCATCAAGCGTGTCCGCGGTGGCCGTCTGCGCAACATCCGCCACAAGCTCCAACACCCCCAGGAATTCCTTCCTCGGTCTCGCAGTGGCTCCCGCTCGCGTGATTCCTCCGCCCCACCAACTCCCAATGGCGACGACAACGACAACGGCAGTCCCACCCCCCCAGCCGACCACTCCAGAGTCTCGTTCCAGACGTAATACACGGTCACGATCGGACTCGGTGTTCGGACCCGCCGCTGCTATGGCCGGCATCGTTGCCGGTAGTATTGGCGGATGGTCTCCCATCGAGCGAACCCATGGGTCCGACTCCATCAGCTTCCCGACAAACGGCGGCCCTCACAGCGGCCTTGATCGCGAGCCAGGAATCGAAGTACACCCGGATACCGCCGCTGATGATCGTATTCTGAACGAGTACTCCGCGACATCCAGGTCACCCCCGAGCCAGAACCCGGACTTGATTCCATTCTTCGAGCATGCTCCACCGGTAGATCGCGCTCCTTCTAGCCGTGGCCGTCGCTCTTTGTCTCAGCGATCAAGATCGAGATCGAGTATTAGCCAGTCGCAAGTCTGAGCCCCATCTCTCTTGCCTTTCTTATCCTCCTTTCTTCTTCCCCTTTCGGGAAACCCACTTTAATCATGCCCCCCCTATTCCCCTTTTGATTCAACTCTGCTTCTATTTTCGGTGTCTGGGAATGGGTAATTCGGCGCAATGCTGATGAAAATTAGGCATAGACTCTTGTTGTACTTTTTGGGTTCATACTGTCATTTGCATTTGGGTTTGGTGGCCAGGATGGCCTTTTTTTTCTTTGCTTTTGGATATCTCTCGGCGCATACAAGGCCAAGGCGCCATTCGACTTTTTTCTTTCCTTCTCTTTTCCTTTTTCTTTTCTGCTGTGTCTGATTGTAAAATTCTCAAATATTCTGAAGATACTACGTTTTTTTCTATGTAAATTAGTCTAAATCCTTTCTACAGACTTGTATTTTAGCTTACTTATACTGCTGAACCATTCACTGGTTAGTTGCTCCAGGTCTTAGTTTTCATGTCAGTCACGACGTATACTACGGCTTACAACGTTCATATATTGTAAGCCTGTACTCTAGCTTAGGGCACTACTTGTAAAAAAATGATAATCAATATACTATAGCTGTTACGATACAAGTTTGTAAAATCTCGATATGTTTGGGGTGACCAGCTTGCATATAGAATACGCTGAATATTTAGTTAATTATTAATCCTTTCAACAGTTACTTTAACTGGTTAAAAGCAAAAAAAGTTGGAAAAACATATCGGAGATGTAAACCCCTGGCGAGGCTCGAACTCGCAACCTTATGATAACCTTATGATTCGTAGAAGTCATACGCGCTTCCAATTGCGCTACAGGGGCTCCTGTTGAAATTGACTCGAGATAACTAATTACTTAATTGTCAAATCATCATTCACCCTCTCATACGAATTCTATAATGACGCCGTAGCCTACCTACTGGAAAAACAACCCGTGTACACGAACTTCTTACGATGTGACTATGACATGCTATCATATGCTTCGTTATTATCTGCTTAGTAATTATTCTTTGTTGATTGAAATGGTACGGAACGTAGGATACATTCCGTATGCAAGGCGAAGAAAGCAGCCCACTCTTCGGCACGGCTTTCTGTGCTTGTGTTCCCTGCCAACTTGGCTTCTATTGCGTCCGGCTCCTTACTGAGAGTGAGCGATTATCAAAAATAGCAAGCAGGGGGAGTTGAAGGTCTTAGTTTCTTGGCGGGTAACCCAACACGCCCAAGACATATTGCAGTTGACATGCGTACCGGGCTTTCAGAATCGCATATATGGGGACGAGAAAGGCATTTTACCTATTGATATCTAGTCAACTATATAACTGTGCCGAGTGCCCCAGATTAACCCCGCCGGTATTGTATTTGATACAATATACAGCGATGGGGTAGACTGCCTTTATAAAAGAGATATATATCTGCCTACAATGTCCACTATTCCGAGGATTGAGAAATTTGCATATTGCCCGTGAGAGGCTCGAGTATCTTTCCGGTTTTCAACTCATACAAATATATATAATTCATATAGATATGACCCAGTGAAAGATTGTGATGGCCTGGGCCACATCAATACCAATGGATGTGGTTGTTGGGCCATAGTAGGACAAAGCAAGTGAAAAGAGAGAATTAAAAGGCTTTGCTCTGGACTTATCCAGATAGAAATTAGGCTAGTTATAGCAGCTACTGAGGCCAGTACAAGCGTATAAGTCCATGCCAATGGCCCTGGGAGACACTAGAAGGATTGAATGCAGGTTGATACACAGCAATCTTGGGTAAAGTGCTCTAACCATGGAGTATCCTAGGTTACTGACTGGTGCTTCAGGACACACAATTTACTTTATCTCCTTCCCCCCTCCCTCGCTACATGAAACTGTACGCGTACTTTACCAGGCCCTCATACCACACCCTCTAGCCCGAACCCAAACATCCACAATCCGAGTAGCGTCGCTGTCTTGATCCGAATCGACAATAAAATACCACCCGTAAAAGGCACCAGTCACACAGGCATGATTTGGGTGCACTTTGACCACCTGTCCAATACGCAGGGGAATTTTCGCCTGGGACTCATTCCCCCAAGTGACAATCGCGTGCTCCTGGCTGATCCTCGCAACAACCAGTCTCTCCAATGAGGACTTTTCAACCCCATCCAACTGCCAAGAAGAAACAACTCCCCAGCCCGAGTAACTCGGACACGGCTCTCGACCCAGCGCGAGCGTCCCTGCAGCCAGGAGCGCCTCGGGCTTTTCACGCTCGCCATCGTTATAGACACTGCATACTTCGGTTACCACTGAGATGGCAATTTCATCCTCCAAAAGTCCAGAATCAGCACTAGCATGTGTGGAGAATTGCTGCATATCCAGGATGGGATAGACACCAGCGTGCAGCTCGACATTCGTCTCGCGTAGTAAAGTCTTGAGCTCGCGCGCTTCCGCATAGGGAGAATCTTCACGTAGCAAGTTCTGCGACGAGACTACCTGCGGCGTAGCACCGACACTAATGACCAGTTCCCTTTTGGGCAGTAGGTGCAAGTTCTTCTCCAAGGCATCTTTGCATCCGCGGATCTCGCTGATTAGATGACCCATAGCTTGCTCTGGAGTTGTCCCGCTATAGCTCAGACTGCTGTGTGAATATAGACCGAGGAGTCTTGCCGCGCCTGTTTCCTCTGCGGAGGCGAGTTTCTCAAGCAACCCGTTCTTGTTGAGGGATACGGGCGGTAAGCCGGCGCGGTGATAGCCCGTGTCGACCTTGACAAAGACACAGGCTGGATGTCCTGCTAGAGAAGATAGTTTCTCCAGGTGGGGAAGTTGATCTGGGTGGTCGATCATCACAGCGATGCTGTTCTCGCCGAGCTCGTGAGCTGCTTTGGCTAGCAGTGGTACCTGTGATGGGACGAGGGGGATACCGTAAAGAATGTTGATTTTGCGACCTTTTTGTTTCAGATCCTGTAGCAGAGGGATCATCATCTCGATTTCTAGGACTGTGGAGGCTATAAAATTGGCCTCAGTCCTGTCGCCGACTTGGAGCTTGGCGATCTCGGGTGTCTGTAGTTCGTAAGTTGGGTGTCATTGTGTTGATGGCGTAGTGCTCGAATCCTCTCACCTTGTGGGACTTTACATGAACTCTGAATCCGACGTCGAGTGTTTTGATAGTGCGTAGCATCGTCTCGCAGTGCCGTCGGATGATTGCTACATCGAGAACGGCGGCTGGTTTGGGCACATCGTTGATGTCTTTGCCGACGTAGAACTTCTGCAGGTCTTCCTGGGAGGGCATGATGGAGGCCATTTTGAACATATGCAACAAATTACTGGAAAATGTGAGATGGAAGTCGGATATTTGTATTCTCGTTCTCATATGTGGGGCGGAGGATGTCAAGTCCGACTTCACCGTTCACCGACGTCTGCTCTCTTTTATCCCCGTCCTCCCTTGGATATTCCCTATTTGATACATCCATATTCTCAAGTCCGGCTGGTATAACCTGGGTCTTAATCTTGACCACTGTTGTTCTCTCCCTCCTGGTTCAGATCCTCCACGTCTAAAATGTAGTTGTCAGACGAAAACCGTAGTGTCAGTCAGGAGGACTGAAGACACGATACCTGCAATTCGCACAATAAAAAACTGTGCCGCAGCCACAGGTGGAACACTGTGGCGAACAGAGCTAGTCACAAGCCCATTCCGAAGCACGGATTCAATGCTCGATTCCTGCATTAGATGAGAACTTTGCATCGCCGCCAAGGCTGCGAGCCACTGGTTGTAGGTGCGAACAATGCCTACATCAGGCTGTAGGTCTTGGATACTGTTTATCTCAGGCAAGGCAGGGTCCAATGCAATGCCTCGGTATGAGGAGGGCATATGGAATAGGATCTCGTCTAGTTCTGGGTCGTACCGGAGGAGGGCTTCTAGGTCGGCAAGAAATGCAGGGTAGTCCATGGCGACGGCCTCGTTGGCTTCATTGAGAACGAAATAGGTGCCAGCCCAGAAGATAGCGGTGTCGTTTCTGTTCGGAGGTCGGCGCACGACGATCATGCCGTCGCGGACTCTGGGCCTAAAGATGGACGGTGGGGAATCACGAAGTGGGTCGTCGGATGCCATTGTAAGTTCAGTATCGATGAATATAGCGTGAGATCGGCGGAAGGCTTGACTGGAGAAGGGCCAGATAGGGTGAGCCAAGCTGGTAAAGTTCGAGTTAGGAGCATTCAAGACAAACCAAGATGAGAACGACCGGCATCAGTTACGAGTCAAACATATCCGACACCTTCGGTTGTTCATACTCAGCATTACAAAGGAGAGACAATATAAATTGATCTATACTTTAGATTTCATGATTTCGATATAACTAAATATCCCCTTAGCTTTATCTTCGTCGTGAGCATCCATCCAGAGCCCTTGGTTCCCTTACGCTGGCACCTGTGCAAGGTCTATCATGCCACAATCCTTTTCCAATTGCATGTAGTCACATACATCACAATTTAACCACCTGTCAGTGACCTAAAGAGTAACCTTCGGGTGCCACGATCGCTTCGCCAGCCGTTCAAGCTCACTTGTGTTTGCTTTGTGAACCTGTAATTCTGTAGGTCCCATCAAAGTTAGAGTCAGACCTTATTGAAGTGCTTCAAGATATCCTTCTCGTACCGAACTTGCTCTTTCTCACAATAAAAAAGCGACACATCAGTCCATGTCCCGCGACTGATTCCTGATTTTGCATGGCTATCAAATATCAAAGCAGCCAACCAGCCATTTCAGGTTGTAATAAAAAACTCACATTCTAATGCCCCAATGCAGCTTCGAGGGTCCCACATAAGCGTATGAATTTTCATGACTGTAGCCAGCCTGGGAGCGCAGATCCTCGACAAATAGATCATAATCGGGCATCAGAATCCCATCACTGGACGAGATGGCTCCATTCCTATCGTTAGCACGAAGCCAGAATAATCCTCTAGCTATAATGTAGTGATGAACCTTGATAAGTCCATCTCGTAGGTAAAGGTTGGTGCTGTACGGGATTGTGAATCGATTCCGCTGTGTATCCACTGGGAACCCTGCTTGAGGTGGTGCTGAGGATGATGTGGGTTTTGCAGGGGGAGGGTGACCTTTTTTGGTCAAATCTTGCTGTGAAGTCATGACGAAAGGTATCTGGGTATGTTGGTCTGACCAGAGGGGTCGTAAGAAAAGTGTTGTGGGAAGTTAAGTGCTGGATAGACGGAGTTGTTTGATGCTTGAGGATTCTGTGGTGTCTATATCCATCAAGATATCTGTAACCATCCTAGGATTATCATAGCAAACTGTGCCTATGTTCCAAGGCCGCAATATATATTTGCATGACGCCGCAGGCCCAAAGCCCGCATAGAAAGTCAGATATACCAGATCATAGAGTGATCAAGCATTGTCGCTTATTTTGAAGCACACAAAATTATGATTTTAGTGTGATCAAAGTATAGAACGGGGTAACTGCAAACTAGAAGAGCCATGCAAGTTGTTACAACTCTCAGTTCTGACAATTGCTTGAGAATCTCGAGCTTGAAAACCCTCGTATTAGCAGCTCATTGCAAAGCCATTGAGACGGCTGCTACGGAAGATAGCAAAGTGCATGTATACTAGGTACAATGTGCCATATCATAGAATCTAATATCATGGAAAATCCACCCATTTTCAACGACTATGATTTTCAGACCATATTTCGCCAACGCCTAAGAAGTTAGGACAAACCAGTAGAGCCTATCTTCACATATCCGCATCATGGATTCTGGCTTGGGGGTCAGAAAAGAAGATAGGCGAAAAGCTTGGCTGGATTTGTAGGACATAATCTGAGCTCCAGAGCTACCTCCAGGGCTACAGACTCGAGCTACGTAATACATAATATGTAGCTCTCCGTAGAAGCCTTCTGAAGTGAGCCCAGAAGAAGATGGGAGAAGTCAGGTTCAAGGGTGATTTGCTCGGGCAAAGAACATGTAGCAGCACCACTCAAACATTCATAGTGCCTCCAAGATAATCTATCAATCAATTCGTGCCTAAATAAGCTATACAAAATGCCGAGAATAACCGAACAGCACTCAAGGACTTCTATATATAGTATTTAAGCCACATTATGGATGACTGAATAATAGTAAACATTGATTCGAGCTATTTATTGATACCCCTTTCCTCAGACCTTCCACTCCCAGAGCTAGGGTAGATGTCGCGAAAGTACCTGGGAAAACATTCGTCTCGCATCAATCACAGGAGACCAGATTACATTTCGTGGAATTCGCTCAACAGAGCTTCGGGCTGATCACCATCCTCCTTCCTAAGAAATATGACCATCGTATAGGATCATGAGTTGATACATGCTCCTTACATTTACAGCATTCCAGAACAAGCATATTCGGAGCTTTCCAGTATGCCACTTACCCCATACGGAAATGTATCGCGGATCACAGGGATCGGCGGACTTTTATCTTTATACTGTGGCTGTCATGAACCTATCCCTTCCCTTGGTATCATGGGGTGGTTACAGGCCCACCGAATATGTGGGTGGGTGGGTGTCCTGCTGGATGGGCCGGCATTGCACTATGTATTGCACTATGAAGCTCCTTCCCCCACTTGTATACTGGGATGAAGCTTGATAGCTTGCTTCTTTACTCCACACGACGATCAATGAATGATCCACGATCTGCAGCGCGTCTTCACGGCTGTATTGTAGCGGTACAATTCCAGTTCTCATCATTGGATGCCATCTGCAAGCTGCTTTGGTGGTACCTTGATTGCCGAGGAATGCGTCTGTATCCAGTTTCCCCTGGGCCTGTTACACCGTCTCACTGAGTAGACAGGGTGATGTCAGGGCTCAGCAGCCTGACAATGGTGCACTGGCCCTGAGTGCTTTTTCTCTTATATCTATCATACCATAACTCCCCCTGTGCATCATGTGCTATATGAACGGCTTATTTCGCTCTCCTTTTATGACTGTTGTATAACTGCGGATCTACGGCATCCAAGCTATACGCCAGGTGTTCTCGGCATTTTATCTGCCTATTGGTGAATTTGGATTGAAAGCTTTTATTCACAGATAGCTTAATCCCGCATACTCCAAACGCCATTCGGGATACCTGAGAATGAAGCCCGAAGATGTCGAAAAAGCCCACAGCTCGCCCACCGTTGAGACTTTGAGTCTTCACCTCAACAAAAGCGCTTCTCATAGCTCCTCTTCCGATACATATCTCGCAAAGCCTGACCCCGTGCCGCAAACAAGATGTCAACGATGGATCGCAAGCTTGAAAAATATGGAGAGTCGTGGCATTGAGCCCATTTCTATCGAAAATCGAGAGCCAATAACACCTTCAACCATACTGCATATGCTGCTGATGTGGTTTAGTATGACATTGGCTACGAATAACATCATTGTTGGATCCATGGGTACACTCGTGTTAGGCCTCAGCTTCAGGGACGCAGCTCTCTGTGCTGTATTTGGATGTTTAGCCGGCAATTTCACTGTTGGGTTTATCAGTATATGGGGACCCAAAAGTGGAAACCGAACTTTGGTACGTTGGTACCAGAACATGAGTGATGTTTATAGGAGAGGAAGATACTATCAAGATGACGAACGAATGCTCATGGATTTGATAGATCGTGGCCCGATATTTCATGGGCTATTATCCTAGCAAAGTTTGCATTATCCTGAACCTTTTCACCAATATCGGATATAGCATGGTAAACAGCGTGGTCGGTGGCCAGATTTTATCTGTGGTCTCTGGTGGCCATCTTTCCGTGATTGTGGGCATTATCATTGTCGCCGTTTCCAGCTGGGCTATGGCTGTCTTTGGCATGAAAATCTTCCAGCTATATGAACGGTGCGTATCAGCGGCCCGGAACACCTTTGAAGGCACATTCTAACCATTATCAGTGTTGCCTGGTTGCCGCAGCTGTTAGTGATATGCGTGATGATTGGTTCCGCAGGGCCTCATTTCGACTTCGACATCCAGACACCAATGTCAAGAGAGAACTTGATTGCCAAAAGACTCACCTTTTTCTCCCTGGCATTGTCCATTGCCCTCGCCTGGGCCCCACTCGCCGCTGATTACTATGTCTATCTCCCGCCGCAGATGAAGAGCTCCCGGACATTCCTGGTCACAGTCTTCGCCGCCACGAATGGCATGTCAGTTGTCCTCCTTATGGGCGTTGGTCTTGGAACCGTCATTGCTAGCTCGGCACATTACGCGACCAAATACGGCACCACTCCGGGAGGCGTGCTGATGACGGCTTATGATGGTCTCGGAGGGTTCGGCAAATTCTGTGCCGTTATCAACGTCCTCGCCTTGGTTGCCAATAACACCCCTGGGGCATACTCGATGGGAATGAATTTCCAGATGATTGGCGGGAGATTTGGAAAGGTTCCTCGACCGATCTCAACAACTCTCGCTACGGTTGTCTATGCCGCATGCGCGATGGGAGGCCGGGACCGGCTGTACGAGGTCTTCAAATCTTTCCTGCCTTTGATCGGGTACTGGGTCATGATGTTCGTTGTGATTGTCTTTGAAGAGCATACGATCTTTCGCCGGAATAGAGGGTATGACTGGTCTAAGTGGAACTGTCGCGATGAACTGCCTTTGGGGATTGCAGCGGCGGTTGCTTTCCTTATTGGATGGGCTGGTGCGATTGTTGGAATGGTAAGGCTTCAATGCTCAAGTCCAATTGATTACGTCTTGCTAATAATCAAATTCAGTCCCAAGGGTATTACATCGGCCCCATCGCGCAGATGGCTGGCGGAGCTGATCTGGGTCTATGGTTGGGTGCGGGCTTCACTGCGATGTTTTTCCCGCCGCTACGGGCATTAGAGCTCAAATTCTTTGCCCGCTAATGGTGCAACAGTCTTCTTACGCGATGGCCTAATGATCTGCCAGGTAGTATGGAAGTCAACCATTTTATCTCCCCTCAACATAAACCAGAGACCGATAGCGTGAGGACTATAAAGGCCCGATGTGATTGTGTCAGGCTGGAGTTATAATCAATTTCGATATTGCTTAAATATTGCAAGTTATATCCTAGGCCTATGATTCGTCGGCTTAAGAATAAACGCATTGAGGCTTACTACGGGCTTGTGAGGCGTGATCGCATGTGCATGTTGCATAATCGAGAACCCCACTGGCACTTGCTCAATCTGTATGGAACTTGGGGCCACAGAGCGTCATATATACATGTGTACAGGTGTACTCCATACTGTCAATATAACCCTACATAGATGTAGACATTCCCATGTGCAGCACCCGAGGCTCGGTATTTCGGGGTACCCCGCGTTCAAACCCGTCCAATTATATTCTTTTGAATAGCGAAATAGGATTGTCTTACAGTTGTATAACCCATAGACATATGAGTAGATAGCTGAGTGTGATGTATATGCACAATTAGGTGAACACAAAGCGCATAACATATCTTATGTGATGTTCATAAACCTTGTGGATCGTAAATTTGACCTGTTCCGTGGGTCACCCACATTCTTATTTAAATCCTGTGGATCTCCCCCTTTGAATTTCATCATATCAATATGACTTACGTCGACACCTGGGCTTCACCACTACCTGTGGGGGGTATGACCCAGCTACTCCCCTACGCCGTAGGCCTCCTCATCACCTGGCCCGTAGTCACCACAGCCCTACGGTTCCAGCGTCTACGCAACCTCCACAAGCAATATGACTACCCAACACGCGAGTCGATGTCCAAAATGACCGACGAAGAAGCCTTCCAAATCCAAAAACAAGTCGCACAGCTAGAATTCCCATTCATTTTTATCAAGAGCTTACAGTTTGCCTTATTCCGGGTATGAAACATCGACACACAAAAGGAGCTCATATCCTGCCGATCTAGATACATCTTCTAACTAGTACTATATAATTCACCTCAAAAGACCTACGGCATCCCCTCAATATCCACCCTCCTTGCAAAAACAAGCCAATTCTCCAACCCGGAAACCTCCCTGAAGCGGTATACAGATACCACCGTCCTCATACAAGAAATGGTCGGTAACAACCCGACTTCTGAACGCGCATACCTCGGTCTGGCCAGGACACGCTATCTACACAGCGGGTACAGAGCCTCCGGTAAGATCCTCGATGACGACATGCTCTATACCCTGGCGCTGTTTGCGCTCCAGCCGATTCGGTTCATCAATCAATATGAGTGGCGCCAGCTGAGTGACCTGGAGCGCTGCGCTATCGGGACTTTCTGGAAAAGTGCGGGCGATGCGCTTGATATTAGTTATGAGAAGCTACCATCTGGTAAAACTGGGTTCCGGGATGGGATTCAGTGGCTCGAGGAGATCGACGCTTGGAGTGGGGAGTACGAGGCGAAGTCCATGGTGCCTCATGCTAAGAATCGTGAGGTAGCGGATGAGACTACTGCGATGCTGCTTTACATGCTACCTACGATCTTCCATCCGTTTGGGTTGCAGGCTGTGTCCTTTATGATGGATGATAGGCTTAGGAAGGCGATGTTGTACGTTGCAACGCTATAAACCCTACACAATGCACTGACACATCACTATACAGCTACGATCCTCCCTCCATATTCTGTGTAGCACTCCTCTCGACCGTTCTCACAGCCCGCAAGCTATTCCTCCGCTTCCTGTCTCTGCCACGACCTTACTTCATGCGCTTCGCCTCGTTCACCGAGGAACCGGATCAGAACAACCGCTTCTTCCTCACACACTGGGATGCCGCGCCGTACTATGTCAAGCCCACGTTTTGGAACCGCTGGGGCCCTACAGCCTGGCTGACTTGGGCTCTAGGGCGGCCTGTGCCTGGTGACGAGGGGAACAAGTATTATCCCAATGGATATGACATTCCAGATGTTGGACCGAAGTATTTTGAGGGCAAAGGGAGGAAGCAGTTGGATGAAACCCTGTTGGAGTTGAAAGGGTATCGGACTGGGAAATGTCCGTTTCATTAAGCTGTAGAAACAGGGATTGTGTAACGAGATGGGGAGACGGGGGTATGGGCATGGCACTATTTGTTCCGACAGGGCCCAGGTGAGATTGTATACATCCAGGCTTTTGCCGCAAGTCAAGGGCACTTGCACATAGAAACCTATGGCAGCACCAATCTTGACATTCAATACTACAATTACCATAATTTTAAAGGCCATGATAAGTCATTGCGTCACTTGCTTTTCCACTATGTGCTATTCTGGAGGGGTTCGAACAAATGATCCCAAGCCGAGCAGGAAAATAGACAAAAAAGGGGTGTAAATTAGGAGCGCTCAAACAAATTGGGTTCGGGGCCTGCGCCCGCAAAGCCGGTCCGAATGGTAGAGAATGTAGGCTTGACAAGGGTATTACTTTGAACAAATCTCAAAGGAGATTTACTTAAACCTCCTCATCAACAATGTCCTCAGCGAGGCTAAAAATAGGGAAGAAATTCGTTAGTCGTGTTCGAAGGCCGAGTGGTGTGGGGAATCCTTACTACTCCTCCTCGCCCTCGGAGATAGAGGCATCCTGGTACTGCTGGTACTCGGACACAAGATCGTTCATGTTGCTCTCAGCCTCAGTGAACTCCATCTCGTCCATACCCTCACCAGTGTACCAGTGCAAGAAAGCCTTGCGACGGAACATGGCAGTGAACTGGTCACCGACACGCTTGAAGAGCTCCTGGATGGAGGTGGAGTTACCGACGAAGGTGGAAGACATCTTGAGGCCACGGGGGGGAACAGAGCACAGAGCGGTCTGGACGTTGTTGGGGATCCACTCAACGAAGTAGCTCTGGTTCTTGTTCTGGATGTTGCGCATCTGGTCCTCAACCTCCTTCATGGAGATCTTACCGCGGAACAAAGCGGAGCAAGTGAGGTAACGGCCGTTGCGGAAGTCGGAAGCAGCCATCATGTTCTTGGGGTCGAACATCTGCTGGGTCAACTCGGGGACGCTAACCTGGCGGTAAGACTGGCCGCCACGGCTGGTCAGGGGAGCGAAGCCGACCATGAAGAAGTGCAGACGAGGGAAGGGAACCATGTTGACAGCCAGCTTGCGGAGATCGGAGTTGAGCTGACCGGGGAAACGGAGGGAGGTGGTCACGCCGGACATGACAGCGGAGACCAGGTGGTTGAGGTCGCCGTAGGAGGGCTGGGAGAGCTTGAGGGTACGCATGCAGATATCGTAGAGAGCCTAGGATTGTCAGTATGCTTCATGTCAGTCATTTCCCACGTAATTCATACCTCGTTATCGATACAGAAAGTCTCGTCGGAGTGCTCAACGAGCTGGTGAACGGAGAGGGTGGCGTTGTAAGGCTCAACAACGGTGTCGGAGACCTTGGGGGAAGGAACGACGGAGAAGGTGGCCATCATACGGTCGGGGAACTCCTCACGAATCTTGGAGATCAAGAGTGTACCCATACCGGCACCGGTACCACCGCCCAGGGAGTGGGTGATCTGGAAACCCTGAAGGCAGTCGCAGCCCTCAGCCTCACGGCGGACGACATCGAGGACCTGGTCAACAAGTTCGGCACCCTCGGTGTAGTGACCCTTAGCCCAGTTGTTACCAGCACCGGACTGACCGAAGACGAAGTTGTCGGGGCGGAAAAGCTTGCCGAAGGGACCGGAGCGGACAGCGTCCATGGTACCGGGCTCCAAATCGACCAGAACGGCACGGGGAACGTACTTGTCACCGCTGGCCTAGATTATCACGAAAAAGACTTCATCAGATATTGCACGATCATGCGGGTCCCCAGGCTTTGTACTCACATGGTTGAAGTAGACGTTCATACGCTCGAGCTGGAGGTCGGAGGTACCATTGTACCTAACAAGATATCAGGCGTGTGATCCACCGGGGAATTCCATCACGGCTAACTTACCGTCCATCGCCATCGAGACCGTGCTCGCCAGAAATGGTTTGCCTGTAATTCAGTTAGTAACTTGTCAATTGCTACCCAACGCGGAAAAAAAAAGCTCGACACGTACCAGAAAGCGGCACCAATTTGGTTACCCTATATAGCCCAATTCCAATTTAGTTCCTCGAATTGAAGAGTCCAAGATTGTTCCGTATCAACTTACACACTGGCCGGTTTGGAGGTGAACCTAGAGAAGGTTAGCAAAAGATCTCTGTTTAGAGTGGGGTCATGGTTCAGGGGCCATATGAAAACAAAAGACGCGTCTGGAGGGAATAACGTACAATCTCACGCATTTTGAAGGTATTAAAAAGAGATGGAGAAAAAAAGGAGAACCGGTGACAAAGTCAGGGAGGATGGGGAAGAAGAGAAAGGCGAGAGGATCAGTTGAGCGGTGTGTGTGGGATCAACAAGTCAACAGTTGAACTTCAGGGGGAGAGGCCCGATTGGGTATAGCCGCATCACGGGACTCGGGGAGGTGCGAACCACAATATAAGTCTGTTTGGCGCGTGACATCGTACTACTACTACTACTACTATTATTATGTATAACTACAACTACAACATAATGCCTCAATATCATATTTCAATCGTTTCAATTGCAAAACTAATCATACATGTTGGGTATTGGTTCAATTAGGGCAGCTTTCCATTCCCATAGAAGTACTCGCTTGCCTTTCGTAGCTCTCGCCGTTTGAGATGCGTTCAGTTGGTACATAGTTGCCATCGTTTTTGGTTGTTGTTTTTTTTAACTGGGTTGTTCTCGCCATTTTCGATCCGCTCACATGGGACCGCGACAGTTCCCATCAATTGGACTAGTTGTTGCCAGTTTCCTGGCTCTTGTCGGTCTCGTCCTTGCCAGCATTGTCGTTATCGATGCTATCCTTGCTGGTCTTGTCATCTTCGGTCTTGTTCTTCTCGGTCTTGTCGGTCTGGTTTGCGGCGCTTTCCAGCCAGTCTCCGTACCGCTCAAGGCGCTCATTCTCTTCATTGTCTGCATCCAGAGGGTTCACCATCTTGCCCTCAGCGTCTCGTCGAGAGTTGTACTTCTTGAATTTCTCTTCGCCATCCCAGATGTAGGAAACAACAGTATTGCCTGCAAAAAAGCGTCCATTCATGATCTAAAAGGTCTTCAGTAGCTGCTATCATATGGAATCAAACCGTGAGGCTTACCTGAACACAGCGACGTGCATCAGCTGAGGACAAAAATCGGACAGTAACGACACCTTCACTCTCACCATCCCAGACCACCACTTTGGTCACCTCGCCAATCTTAGAGCACTCGCTGTCGATGTCCTGCTGAATCTCAATACTGGCGAGCGGATCTTCCTGTAATTACACGTCAGCCGCGTGTCCATGTTTGCCCATGGCAATTTCGGAAGAGGTAGGGTATGTCATACCTCCAATTCCTTCAGTGTAAACATGTGTTTCAGAATCACATGTCGCCGCGCTTCCTCAGTAGCCTTCATCGCCTTCATGGTTTCCTCGGCTTCATCATCTCCCCAGTCGGAAAGTTTCCTATCACATTCGAGTCAGCATGGAACACCCTGTCGCCAGGATCACCAAACGTACTTATTCAATCGCTCCGCTCGCTCCTTGAGCTTCTTCTTTTCCTTCATGCTCATGGTGACCTTTGGCTGCACATCTTGTTCACGCTTGTACGAAAAGTCGGCCGCCTGCACACGCATTGGTCCAGAAGGGTTGGGGGCACCCATTCGGAAGTCTGTCTCGTCCAGACACTGAATCGCGAGGTTGACTGACTCTGGCCGGAAGTACACGACCAAAGCCTCGCCATTGAAATTGCCACTCTCGTCGGTGTACATCTTAATCCGCGGCTTTCCAGTGTCAAGTTCCTCCGCAAGGATTCCATACTTCACAAACAGCTCTTGGATTTCCGATAGCGAGGCGTCGGTGGGGATCTTGGTCACCCACACAGCGGTGTTCACACGAGGTTTCTTGATCTTGGGCTCATTGGTCTAAAGGGCGAAAGAAGAGAAGACAGTCAATTATCCATGCCGTCAAGCTATCACAAATTACCGGAACACTTACCTCGTCATGCGAGTTCTTTCGCTTCTTGCGATCGCGTGGATGAACGATCTCAGAATCCCCGTCGTCGGATCCGTACCCTTGCTGCTTGCGGATGAGCGCTTCGTCGATCTAGAGTCGCAAGTCAAGTCAGCACAGATTGTCGGCCTACATTGTGGACAACCCATCGCAAAGCGCAAATGTGTCAGTACGTGTCACATACCGCTTCGACCCATCTCTTTAGGATATTATTAAACAGAAACTCGCGACCATCACTTGTCTCGAGTAAGAAGCTGTTGTCTAGCTTCGAGAACGAGATGCGCGGGTCGTTATCAAACTCCGCCACGTTGGTCGGAAAGTCCATTTTGACAAAACAACGGTTCGGCAATCGCTTGAAATGGAATATCAGATGAGCCAGAGAAGAAACACGATACGTCTGAGGTGTTGTGAAGATCGTGAAGACCCGTGGATGGTTTGCGATGATTGGAAAGCAATTGCGGTCGCGATCTCTCGGCGCGGCGTTCCGGAAGGTGCTTGCGGGTGGATCCCGCCAGCTTTCAAGGATTATGTCGGCAGTGCTACGGAGTACTCATTGCTGCTCAGTGTTACTGGTGACTATTCTTGAATACTTCTCAGTTTGCCTCTGTTCACCTCTAGGATCGGTTGTCCTACTATGTACACCGTCACTGTTTGCCTTGGGATCTAAAAACTTGCTCTATCAACTTAGTTTTTTTCCCCCGGTATAGTGTCATAAAATTTGATTTGGGTATCTGAATGGTATCAAAAAAAAAAAAAAAGATTGGACTTTCAGGAGAGCATCCCAAATACCAACAGTACGATACTATAGGCACCCAAGACACTCTGCCATCGCCAACAAAAGAAAACAAAGTGAAAAGAACGAAGGCATTCGCCTATATTAAATATTAAAGAGCCGCTGTCAGATCAAGTCTGATTCAAGCCTTGGTGTCGATAACCTCGCCGACGGGCGTGGCAGTACGCTTAGAGGCGGTCTCGGAGCTTTCCACGCCGTTCACAACATCACGGGTGACCTCAACGTAATCATACTAGAAGATGAATAGTCAGAAGGAGCTCTGGGATGGACTGAGACGCAATAATACTTACAGCAAACTCGCCAATTTCGGCGTCGTCAATACCCATGATCTCATCTTCCTCGGGGGCGCGCAAGCTGAGACCGGGAATGAGGTTCATAAGGAAGAGAATGATACATGTTCCGAAGAAGGCATATGCCATTCCAGTGACTGAATCGGCAAGCTGGTATCCCAGCTGGACGAAGTTCCTGTTAATCCAGCCGCCATCGATTTCAGTGGAACCGTCCAGATGCGCGACGTAATCACTATCAATGCAAGTTAGTTTATGGCCGGAAGATGCCACTAGGAACCAGGTTCACTCACGCTGCGAAAATACCGGTCAGGAGATTTCCAACCACACCGCCGACACCATGGACAGCAAAGATGTCGAGAGCGTCATCAACACCGAGAAGGAACTTGAGCTTAGTAGCATAGTTGCATGAAACAGCACCAACCACACCGAAGATGAATGCAGCCCAGGGAGTGACGAATCCAGAACCAGGAGTAATGGCAACAAGACCGGCAATGACACCGGAGCAGAATCCAACGGTAGACCACTTGCGCTCCAGCCTGTAGTCCATCAAACACCAGGTCACACCTCCAACAGAGGCAGCGAGGTTAGTGACAACGGCAGCCATAACTGCACGAAGATTGGCAGCCAGAGCAGAGCCAGCGTTGAATCCAAACCAGCCAACCCAGAGGAATACGGTGCCGATGACAACGTGAGTCACGTTGTGGGGGCGGTAGTTAAGCTCGTGGGTGCCGTGGCCGCGACGCTTGCCCAGCATCAGAGAGTAAGCGAGGGCGGCAGATCCAGAAGCGATGTGGACGGGAGTACCACCAGCAAAGTCGAGACCTCCGAGTTTGAAAACCCAGCCGGATGAGTTCCATGTCCAGCAGGCGATGGGGTCATAGATGATAGTGCTCCAGATGAACATAAAGACAATGCAGGGGAGCATGCGGCCACGTTCAGCAACTGCACCGACAGCGAGAGCAACACTAATGGAGGATTAAAGGTCAATTGGTGTTTTTGGATTGATATGATAGATGTATGTTGGTAATGACTCACGTAATGGCGGCGAACATGCCCTGGAAGATAGCGAACAGAAGGTCAGGAACCTTGGTACTTCCTACAGATGGCGCACCTAAAACACCCTTGAAGCCGAAGTTATCAAGGTTACCGATATAACTGCTGGCTGAGTGGGAGAAGGCCAGTGAATAACCCCAGAAGAACCATTGGAATGAAACCACGCCGACCGACATGATCGAGAGCCATATCAATGAGAGTGCTGACTTCCGACGAGCCAGACCGGAGTAGAAGAATCTATAATCAAGTAATGAGTGACAGCCCTTAAGTGTCTAACGGTTTGGTCAAGTCATACCCAACACCAGGAATCATAAGCAGCACTAGGGCTGTGGAAAAGATAACAAATCCAATATCACCAGACTGTTCACACCGTTAGCTAGCAAGCTCCTCGATTGGCCTGAATTAAAATACACAACATACACTATAGTAAATGTTCAAATCTTCAGTGAGCGAGTCACCACCAGTGGCGATGGTGCCATTATACACAACCGGGTATTCGGCCATGGTGAGAGAGGTAGGCTAGGCCAATGGTATTGCAAGTGTGAGCAGTTTAAACGCAGCTGCAATGGAATGATGCAGGAGGTGAAGAGAAAGAATGTGAAATGCTTTCAAGCGCCGGGCTGTGAAAGGGGAAAGAGAGAAGTGATATGTCTAGTCTGCAGGGACAAGCCCTGATAATTAAATAACTGACGCAGTCTCAGACAGCCAACAATGCTCCACCATCAGACGCCAGAAGGATACCGGACCATCGATCTTAGCTCCGATAGTGGCAGCTGGTCATTCTGATTTCTGATATGATTCATCTGGTCCGACCGATAGCAGTTAGCCAAGACCCCCATTTCAGCCATCTCGGGTTCATGACGGATAGGGTTGTGCTCCATAGACCCAGACCGGGGAATTACGGGTCCTTGCATTGACAGCCATATTTGGATATTGTACACTCCATATGTATGGGCTCTAGAAGCTATGTTTAAGCTGTGTATCTACTTGTTCTCTACATATGTTTCCCCAAGGTTCCCTCAACAACGATCTGGTAGTGCGGTTGTTTATGTTTCGAGCTCTCTGCATTGACCCCCGATAAGCAGGGGGGTTTCCAACATACCCCGTACATAGTAAGGTGATAGACAGATTGGGTCATTTCAGTGACAGAAGAGAATAATACGAAATAATCAAAATTGAAATTGAAATTGGACGGCTCAGCGACTGGCTGTAGATATGAAGATCGAAGCAGCCAATCACAGCCATTTGCTTATCATTTTCAGACAAAGTTCCAAGGTTGCTTTTTTCTTGTCGGTTAATCTGATTTTTAATACGTCCAGTCGATAACTACATTCTTAATATGAATGGCAGGTTGTCCGGTACCTATACATATTAGCCACCAGGTATATTGTGTTCGAGGAGTTCCAAGGTTGACCAAAAGGACGAAGGTTGAATGTCTTATCAGAATCTCGTGTTGCGTCAACCAATCACAATTTAATTTCCCTTATCTCATATTCAGCATATAGATTGGACTACGGAGTATGCGAGGAGTTATTTTCTTTTCGAACTTTGTCAACCCACTTCAGAACCCCCCAACAGCCCTGACGGCATTACGCAGAGGTCCCGTATAGATCACTGATATCATACAGTGGATTGCTATGTGAACAGTTTCTTTACGTAGAACTCTACATATGCCTCACTGTTCAAGACATACTTCCAGCCTATTCTCTCTACATCATTTCTTTGTGGGCTCCCCCATTTTCCGGGTCGTCGCACCCGGTTCCACACGAACATGCAGAACGCATGGGGCGGGAAAACTAAACTCTTTGCCACGCGGTCTAGGGGTTTAATACCTTGGTAGAGTGCAGAGTACGGAGTACGCCAAGGCTGATAAGCACACGGTCGTCCATTGGTGGCATTATTAGAGGCTGATTCGGCATCCCGACTTGGATCTTGGCGAACCCTCGGCCCCATAACTCAAGAACTATACGGAGTAGAGCCTCCGATAAAAAAATCTATAAATACATATATATGGAACTCTTGCATTATTGGTTCTCCGGTTTATTCATTTTTCAATAGCAAAATGAGAGACGAATGAGAGACTTGATCATTATATGTATAACAATAGTCTGGATGATAGAGGTGCATGCTGTAAGTAGTGACTTGTCTCTGGTGCGATTTGAGGCAGTGGATGTGTAGCGTCTTCGATTCTTCTTGGATTGATCATACTCTGTGCAGATTTCCAGGAGCCTCAGAAAAGGGTCATTGATCTTCGATTATTCTCGAAGCCACTGATCCACTGATCCACTGATCGACGATCTTGAATCTACAATGTACCTACATCGACGTACAGAAGATGTATCCTGTACTGAAACGCAATGCCTTTTAGTCAGGGGTAAAGCCCCTATGGCTCAAAAATAGGTGTGCTGTCCTCTTAAGCCTTGGAAGTACTAACATACCCAATCATACCACGTGCTCATCCCAGGTTACAGAAAATTCGCTTTCGTAAATCAAGCCTCTTACCGCTCTAATTTAGCCTATCGCTAGTGCCATCACTGTTGCCCAAAGATAGAAATAAATAAGGAAATGCCGTATCAATGAAAACTGGCATCTAGTTACTGTAAAAATGTCTCAAGCGTTTTCTTCATAGTCATCGAAAGGAAAATGAGAAAGAACCGCAGCCTTCTCCATCTCAGTGATTGAATGTTCTATCAAACCGTCCTTGATGCTCTGTATGACAGCCCTGCACCGTTCAAGCTCATCCTCATCTGGAACCCAGCCAAGGGCATCTATCCCGATTATATCCCTCATCTCGCCCAGCTCCTGTAGTTTCTCCTGTTCTTGGCGATAATTCTCCAAACATTTTTATACCTCTTCCTCGGAAAAGTGGATTTGACACCCAATAGATCCCGTTTGTGCTCCTCTATCTAGCGACATAGGCCAACTCTTAAGGACCTACAATATAACATACTTTAAAGAAATAGAGTCTCCTTCCTAGGGAAACTGTGTATAGTGAAAAAGCTTCGCTCGAAGTATATAGTTTTCGGACCTAATGGCGTCAAAGTGATCCGGTGGGGATTTTATAGTTAGTGTAGTATAATCGAAATAAATAATCTGTTTCTATATCGTCTCTTAAATATTTTCCTATTTTTTAGGGCTAAGTTAATCAAAATAGTCTAGTAATTTAATACCTAGTTTAAGTATATTCCTAGATAATAGATCGCCTAATTTTGGAAATAGTTAGGAATTCTAGTATATAAACAAAGGGGTAGAATAACTATATACTACTAGTCAATAATTCCTATTATATCTTTAGATATATTCACTATAATATTAGAAGGTGAAAAGTCTAGATAGCGAAGAGTTAGGTAAGATATATAGTGGCTAAATAGAATATTAAGATAGGGCACTAACTTTAAGTAATTAGTAAAATAATATTGGTATAGAATAGGTGAGATTTCTTAGAGCTAGTGTATTTCTCATAGGCACCTTTCGATATATAGATATAGTTTACCAAAATTTTCATAGAATTCTATCTCTCACTTTATAGGTACTTCAAAGTATATAGAAAAGGTATTCCCTAACTCAAAGTTAATACCCCTAAAGAAGATAGGCATTCCTAAATCCATAATAACGACTTATATAGGCCATAGTCAACCTCTAACAAGGCCTATTCTTAATACCACCATTCATACTATACAGTTAGGCCAACGACAATATCGTCCGAGACTAGGATTAAGTGTTTTAAGGCGTCGAGATCATGGCGATAATAAAGACTTCCATTTACTAGGAAATGGATACTTATCAACCGCCTCTCTATATCAACAATCTATCTTATTACTTTGACCCTAGTTTTGGTATCTATAGATAACCATTGATAACTTAAGGGTGTTCCTTTAAGCTTTTCAAGTAGAGTATATTCGGTCCCAACGGCATTTGTCTGGTCTGAAGAATATACAAGGACTTTTGGGACTAGGACCTTATAAGCACGCAGAAGTGCGAGTGTGGCAGCTTCACTAGTCACTGTGTAATGTTTCGGAACAGTTGTCTTGTATGGCAGCCTTATAAGAATTGTATATCCGTTATTGAATGTGACTTGCAAGACACGGTTAAAGCCCCCCTCGGTAAGTTTTGTAATCGAGGCCACGCCATTAAGGGGTCGACCGACAGAATGGCAGGCCACCTTTGTAAGAGCATTCACGTCAAATTCAATATGGCGTTCAGAGCGGCGGATGTCTTCGTTAAATCTAGTTTGACGCAGTCAGTCTATCTGAATTGATGCATCCAGCACATAACCGCCGTCACAACTCACAAAAAGCGCCCAGATGTGTACTCAAAAAGATCAGGCTTACCACTCAAAGAAGACATACTCTTCGGTAATAGCCTTGAGTAGCTAAAGCCCCTCGAAAAGTGTTGCATTTCTAAGCAGATGGTCGTCGGTTTCAATGTTGATATTATTTGCACAACTTTTTCCACTTTGGATTGGTCCCCGATCACGTCTACTATAGGAAGGACGGCTTCCGTACATCTAGACATCCCTGTGAATTGTCGGATTATGTCTCTCTTGAATCATGGGTTTTCGGGGCAAACTGATTGTCGACATCGGATACTCTGTACAGTCCACTTTATCCCTTAAAATCTCAGACCCACTTTAGTCTATATGTGGCCTAGATCATCCTTGTTCTATCGAATAGAAAACATAAAGAAAAGAACCATGTGAAAGAAAAAACACATCTTTGCCACGTCAGAAGCAAAACCCTCTGACGGTGTGGAATCAGGTGATGGTAGCACTGATAGAAATTATTTAGTAGCCTTAATTTGCGCATTATATGCAGTCTTTTACAATCTCAAATCCAATTGGAGAACAGGCTCAAAAAAAAGCAAATCTCACTTCGACAAGGATGAAGCATGTTATGAGATATTTATATCGTGTGCAATGGAGCATCTGACTCAAGCTTGGACTATCAAACATGTACAGATCAAGATGCCACGTAGTGGCTGAGAATCAAGGAAAGATTCTCCCAGCAGATCAATAAGTGGGGATCGGTCATGTAAGCCACAGCGCACCGCCACAGTATCCGCCTCCTATCACCTTGGTCCAACACCCAGGTCTGCTCTCCCGGACCATCGCACGGTATAACCACTATGCAGCATTCGGATATCCCTAGTCCTGATTCAGATGGCTCGGGCTCTTCTGATGAATTCCCCCAGTATCCTGTGAGAACTAATTCCTCATTTGGAGACACCATCGACGATCAAATCCAAACGCCTACAAGCACCATCACATCTTCCCCTCCGTCCATTTCACCCAATCTTACCTCATGGTCTAACGCACCACCGACACGGCCGCGTGGAGTTAGCCTCAGCGCTACCACTCTCCTTGACAAGTCCGATGGGCTTGTCATGGCCAGCGACTTGCGACCTCAGCGCCCATCCGCCCCGGCACGAACGCCGTCAAATACGTATGCCCCACAGCGGCGCCCAACACAATACATCAGTCTTCAAGAAAATCGCCAGCGATCATCATCAACCAAGCGAGGAACCCGACGCGATCCGAACGCGCAATATCGTGCCCAAGAAAAAGCCTACGTCCAACGGATTCGAGCGAACCCGCAAGCTTGGTACCATCACTCCAAAGACGCGCAATCCAACACCATGATAGAAGGCGATGGGGACTTGGAAGAGCCCTCTCCTTCCTCCGAAGTGGCGTTTGAAGATGATTCCTACGACCCTGATACACAACTTTTCCTTCCAGACGACAATCTACCAACCACAGAAGAACTTAAAAATCCTAAGAACCAGGAGCGGCTTGAGTGGCATTCTATGCTGGCATCGGTCTTGAAGGGAGATGTAGTGAAACAAGAAAAACAACGACTCATCGGATCGGCGGAATCGAAACGGTCGGCGGCCCAGAGCTTTGCACTCTGGATCGGAGTTCGGGCAAGGACGTGCGGCCGAAGTATCCCTCTGCAGCGAAAGCTAATTGAGGATGCGCGGTCACGTCTGGGTCCCTTAATTGAAGATATCATCGGATTTCAGATTAAAGGCGAGACTGAGATCGGGAAACCGGCCAGGCAGCAGGTCGAGGATGTTGTGGAGAAGATCGAGCGATGCGAGGTTCTCTACTCTTCACATAAGGAAATGGAACTTGCAAACCCCCGTGTTGCTTCGGAGGAATTCAACTCAAGCCGCGCAGCTATATTTGCGTGGCACAACATTACAGCTCTCATTAACACCGAGCTGGCTGTGCTGCAGAGCTGGGTAGGAAACGAGGCTCTTGATTTCAGCCAACCGAGGATCAAGTCTGCGAAGGATGATCTCTCAGATGGGTCGTCTTTCCTTGATCGCATTATGAAGGAAGACGGCCTGAAGACGCTCCAGGACAAAGACGGCATGCTGCTTCGTATTCTCGTCGTCATTCAGAAAGCGAAGAGTACTCTGATCGAGAACTCTGAAGCGTTTGCCGCACGGCACCTGCCACCATACATTGAAGAGCTACTAACATTGATTAACTTCCCCTCTCGGTTGATCCAGGAAATCATCCGAGTCCGTCTATCATATGCCAAGAACATGAAAGACCCAGCCCAACAAGCCCCCATTCTGATTGATCAGATGATTTCTCAATTCCAAATCCTGATGAAAGTGGCGGTCGATATTAAGTTCCGCTACCTTGATGTCTCGAGGCCAGAACCTGGGTGGGATTTGCCTCCCTGTGTCGATGAGAACTTTGATAATTCCGTCTTGGATGCTATGAAATACTATTTCCGGCTCCTCAACTGGAAACTAAATGCCAACAAGAACACTTTCAAGGAGGCCGAAATTCTGGAGCAGGAATGGGGATTCTCCTATGATATCGGTTGCCGGCTTGACGGTGGAGATATCGAGGTGGCCGAACAATTTAGGTAAAGTTTCTGTGCTTTACATCGTTATCAAAACTAACAAGAACAACAGTGCTCTCACTGCCAGATCACTGCAGCGTCTCATGATTCATTTTGAACGTGAGCTCGTCCCGAGGCCTACCGAAACTGTACAAGACATGGACAAACGATACAAGAGCATTTTGGATTCAACGCGCATTCGTCAGCGCAAGCTCTACCGATTCTCCAAGTTTTTGTGCCAGTTGTTCGAGAACGCTACCGAATACAACATCACGACTGATATCGCATATGATTTCTTTGAGGCACTCTTAATTTCCGACCATTTCCTTGTCACCTCTACCACATCCGTCGGACAGAAAGGGGTTTATCTGATTGCACATCATGCACTATGGAATCGCCCCGCTGATATCCAGGGTATCCTATCTACCTCCTTTAAAGAAAATGATACAACCGAGGATGTGCATGTTCCCTATGTCCTGGCCATCCGACCCGAAAGACCTCTCGCCTGGGCAGGAAAGGAAATGCAAATGCAATTTCTGGAGCACCCAACGGATGTGCGGCTAGGTAAGCTACGTGTCGTTGTTGGAGGCATGCAAGAACGACTGCAGAATGCGCGTGTGGAACTCGCACGACTCACAGGCATCCAGCTTGATATGGTTATTGAACAACGTGCAAACCTTGGACGTGTCAACGTCGAGTTGAACAAGATTAAGAAAATCTCTTTCAAACTATCCATGACCATTATGGACAGTGTGTCTATCATTAAAGATCAACTACGTGAGAGAAAGTGGGAGAACAATGATTTGATTCAGGCCTGCTATGCATTTGCCACAGAGTTTGGCAAACGGTCCTCGAACTATGTCGATGCTAACAGGCGGGCTATGAACAGTGCTCGGCTGGTGGAGTTGTCTCTCGACTGGGTCGCGTTTATCTGCGATGAGTGTGATGCTGCAGATCGGAAAACCTTCAAGTGGGCTGTGGCAGCCCTTGAGTTTGCAATGGCGATCACATCCAGCCGACATCTTTTGTCCATGGACCAAGATCAGTTCAGTGATTTCAGACTGAAAGTGGCAGGGTGCATGTCCCTTCTTATATCTCATTTCGATATCATGGGTGCGCGATCTTCCCTTGCGGCGAAGAATGAGAAACGCATGGAAGAACGCAACGGAGCCCGGCAGATTGGCGCTGGCCGGATTACCAGCGATGAGGAAGCATCAAAACTCGTTCGTGACACATGGTGCGCGCGTATTATGGAGATTGAAGATAGGAGAATCGAGGAAGATGCAAAGCGTCAGGCTCTCGGAAAGGTGCTAGAAGGGTCTGATGAGGCTGACCGGTCACTCACCGTATTATCGTCATCGGCTACCAACGTTACTCTGCGTTGGCAGCAGGGTCAGTTCATCGGTGGTGGTACCTTTGGATCTGTCTATGTGGCCATAAACTTGGACAGCAACTATTTGATGGCTGTCAAGGAAATTCGCCTGCAAGATCCTCAGCTCATTCCCAAGATCGCCCAGCAGATTCGAGACGAAATGGGTGTGCTCGAAGTTCTTGATCATCCGAACATTGTCTCTTATCACGGCATCGAGGTGCACCGTGACAAGGTTTACATATTTATGGAGTACTGCTCAGGTGGCTCGCTCGCTAGCTTGCTGGAGCACGGGCGCATCGAGGACGAAACGGTCATCATGGTTTATGCTCTTCAACTCTTAGAGGGTCTAGCATATCTCCACGAGGCCCACATTGTGCACCGCGATATCAAGCCTGAGAATATTCTGCTCGATCACAACGGTGTCATCAAATACGTTGATTTCGGTGCAGCCAAGATCATCGCTGGCTCGGGCCGAACAGTTGCCCCAATGGACAACCCTCTAGCCAGTTTCAAGGATCCGGCCAAAGATCCCACGAACCAGCGTAAAAACCAGAAGACTACCACAGGAACTCCGATGTACATGTCACCAGAAGTGATCCGTGGCGATGCTGCAAATCTAGACAACCGCCAAGGCGCCGTGGATATCTGGTCTCTGGGATGCGTGGTCCTAGAAATGGCAACTGGGCGCCGGCCATGGTCGACGCTTGACAACGAGTGGGCAATCATGTACAACATCGCCCAAGGCAAAACGCCCGCGCTTCCATCTCGCGATCAACTCAGCGATCTAGGTATCGACTTTGTGCGCCGCTGTTTCGAATGCGATCCCGCTCGCCGCGCCACTGCCGCCGAACTCTTACAGCACGAGTGGATCGTTTCCATCCGTCAGCAAATTGTCTTAGAGCCTCCTACTCCGACCAACAGCGATTACAGTAGTTCCAACTCAAGCTCTCGCCAGAATTCGGGATACATGTGATCTTCTCTTCGCGCCTTCATTCCAAATCTCTTCTATCATGTCGCCCTTTTCACCTGGACGATATCTACAATTTGATTATCATGGAACTTAAACATAATTTTCCATCCACACTCGCTCGATCTCGCCGTCCTCACTGGCATCGCATGTGATACCCCCTCTCGCCTCTTTTTCTTGCTTTAACGTCTTTTGTTCGCCA